AGGTAGGACATAGAGAACAGTTGACGGTTCGTCTTCCTTTTCTTGGGCTTCTACATAGTTGCCATGAGTCAACAATTTTTCCAGTAGAGCATGGCTCTCAGAATCAAGTGATTCCACAAGTTCCACATAGTGCATGTACTGTCCTTGAACATCACGGGCTCCCACGTTGGCGGCCAGAGCCTGACGTCGAAATTCGGAAAAGGCTGACGCTCCAGGGATGACACAGACTTGTGAATGATCCATGGTTGACAAGTGACACTCAGAGGCTAGACGATCCTAATATGTAGCATGATCACTGTCACAAGGAGGATCGCAATACCACCGTTAAGGCCCGATAAATGTAAAAGGATACGATGATCCCACGCAATAGAAGAAAGATGTCGAGTCTTGTATGCAGGTTGGTTGAGAGAAGGATCAGACGGTCATCCGAGGCCAGCCGAAAGCAAAAGGTAGAATCGATCAATCACGAAACAATCGTCAGGGCTCCATGTTCACGGCCTGATCATACAGCTCTCGTCCAACTCGTGATTATCCATTGTGGCTGATGTGTGGTTCTGAGGAAGTTTGAAAACTCTGCGGTCGCGGCGGCTTGGCGTCAACGACGTTGGTTCCCGGCTCAGCGGAGGGAGTACGTAGGTGGTTGTGGTTAAGACGCAACGCGGCTCGGGCGGCACTGGGGGTTTCTCCTGGAGTAGTGGCACCCCTAGCTGGTGCCTATCGGACTGCCTCGAGGCTTGTGGCTTCCCCAGAAATCAGCCTCCCCCTTTATGCTCCTCTCTCCTGCGGTCCTCCTCGGTGGTAATACCTCGCTTGTCAATCTTGGTCCAATATTGGCTTGCCAACTACGTCGCCAGATCAAATCTGGTATTATCCGTCATCCACCCTTCTCACTCACACCCAACTACTCCAATTTGTAGGCCGCCAACTTGAGCTTTTCCCTTCGCTATCTTTTCCCAAAGCTACTGCATCATTTGACAAAGTCCATTTAGGTCATCCCCGCCGTCGGCTGCCCTCACATGGGACAGTTTTTCCTGATCCGCTTTTCTCGTGATCGGTTCTCCGGTTCAATGCCACTGTCATCATCGCCATTAGTTGACCAGTGACCGAGTCTGTCGGCTTGCCGTCTGATCGTTGAGCCCGACACCTCGATTCATACCCGTCTCTCGACTGCGCACCTGACCCACATACCGAAAAACCTCGAGGTCTTTCTCAGTTGGACACGAGGTATCTCAAGCTCCACCAATATCCCCTTTGAAAGGTTGGGGCAAGTCGTTCAGACTGCCCTTTTCCCGCCGACACCATTCCTTCTCCTCGCCCATCTACCGAATCTTTCCTCCACCACCGATCGCATTCGTCTCGCTCCAAAGCAGACCTGGAAGACCCCTCGTCCACATTGCGAACTTCCACAGGGAACGAAAAAGACGAAAGCATTCGGCGACCATCGTACTCGGGGTCTGACTCGGACGATTTCTCCCTTTGGAGTGACACTGGAGATCTCGCAGAGCAGCTTACCAACAGCGAGGACCCCTATCAGATCGAACTAGATCCTCTGACCCGGCAAGGCCAGAGGCTCAGAGACTCGGGTCGTGGTCACGGTGGAGGACGGAAGAAGAGAGTCGGATTTCGAGAACAAGATCACCTTGAGCGGGATCACCCCCCTCTCGGTATAGATAAAGAGGCTATCTTCATCCCGGAGCCTCCACCGAGGCAGATCTCCAAGGCAGAAAGAATATTAGCTCTCATCATGGCTCCCACAGATACCCAGACCGCCCGAGCAAAGGGCCTCGTGGGAAAGCCGTTATTGTATGGCCGAGCCCGTTTCTCAGGAGCGTCTACAGGTGGCTGACAGCTGAATGCAGGTACTTCACAAGCGTTTTCGTATCACTGGGTGTCTTTCTTTTTGGCTACGACCAAGGCGTTATGTCTGGCATTATCACGTACGTCTATTCGGAGCGTCCCAACCACAATTGCTGACCGGGATAAGTGGTCCCTTTTTCAGAGACGCATTCAATCAGCCTGGCCCAGCCGAGGTTGGCACTATGGTGGCCATTCTCGAGGTTGGTGCTCTTATATCATCTTTGTGCGTTGGACGCATTGGCGACATCGTTGGTCGTCGGAGGACAATTCTTTATGGGTCCATGATTTTCTTTGTCGGCGGAATGCTCCAAACCTTCGCAAATGGTATGCCCATGATGATGGTAGGGAGACTGATCGCGGGCTTCGGCGTTGGTGCACTCTCGACCATTGTACCTGTTTATCAATCCGAGATCAGTCCTCCACACAATAGAGGCAAGTTGGCCTGTATAGAGTTCACGGGTAATATTACGGGTTACGCGGCAAGTGTTTGGGTCGACTACTTCTGCAGCTTTATCCAGAGCGACCTCTCATGGAGGATACCTTTATTGATGCAATGCGTCATGGGGGCACTTCTCGGATTCGGTAGCCTGATTATCTGCGAATCCCCTAGGTACGTAAATCCGCACAAGAGGCATCATGTTTGACGCTAACCTCTATATTTGCAGATGGCTACTGGACAACGACCACGACGAGGAGGGGATCATTGTCATCGCCAATCTCTATGGCAAAGGCGACATTCATAATGCAAAGGCTCGACAAGAATATCGCGAAATCAAAATGAACGTTCTGTTGCAACGTCAAGAAGGAGAACGATCATACTCGGACATGTTTAAGCGCTACTATAAGCGTGTTTTTATTGCGATGTCGGCCCAGGCGTTTGCGCAACTGAACGGGATCAATGTCATCTCATACTACGCCCCTCTAGTCTTTGAGTCGGCAGGCTGGGTGGGACGAGACGCCATCCTCATGACTGGCATCAACGCGTTCACCTACCTAGGATCAACGATTCCACCATGGTATCTGGTTGATAAATGGGGCCGGCGGCCTATCCTCTTGTCTGGAGCGGTGGCTATGATCATCTCGTTGTCGCTCATCTCCTACTTCATCTTCATCGACATACGGTGGACCCCAACACTGGTAGTGGTATTTGTCATGATTTACAACGCAGCATTTGGAGCCAGTTGGGGCCCTATACCGTGGCTATATCCTCCTGAAATCCTGCCACTCAGCATCCGGGCAAAAGGCGCCAGCTTGAGTACGGCCAGCAACTGGGCATTCAACTTTCTGGTGGGCGAACTTACACCTATCCTGCAGAAATCAATCAAGTGGAGGTTATATCTCGTCCACGCCTTCTTCTGCGCACTCAGTTTCGTTCTCGGTGAGTCTATCTGTCCTGGTAGGTATGTTGTAGTTACTAACCACAAACGCAGTCTATTTTGTGTACCCTGAAACGGCCAATGTTCGCCTTGAAGACATGAACGCATTGTTTGGGGATGCCACAACGGCCATGCCAACTCCCTCGACCCAAGCAGAACGCGGTTCTCTGATGGGCGTGGGATCCCCATCCTCTATCGACATCAGACACGGTGGTCCGCAACCAGGTGTCTTTTCCGCAGATGCTGCAATTCCTGGTCTTGACATAGACCCCCCCGATATCCAACTAGACGCAAACGGACGGCCACGAGGTCGAAGCCAGAGCAACCAAGAAGGGTTGGGCGGTTGGATTGGTCGAATGGTGTCCAGGACACGACAAGACAACGGTGGCCGCGGACAATACGGGAAGATCGGCCAAGACGAGGACTGAAGTCACAATCGATGGATTTCAAGTGTTATATTTTCTCGACTTACACTTATTGGCTGTATAGATATAGAACTGCAACGCGCCACCACTGTCGCGGATGAACGAAATGGGGTTGTACGCCACTGCATCTGGGGTGTTCAAAAGCCGTCTGCTTGGGTCTGGAACTCTGCACTGAAGGCTGGGAGAAATCATATCGAGCTGTTATGGACATGTACTGGTTATGTACTTGGTCCACTGGATCGCGCTGGAAATGAATGCTGCATTAATAATTTCCCGGCCAGCGGCATTGTACGTCGTGCCATTGTTATAAGCGGAAACTGTGTGAAGTCGGAATGGAGGAGGATGACTAAGATGAGATACATTACGCATGAACAAAACCCCAAGCGGATGCAGGGAGAGGGTCATCAGGCTGCGTCAATAGGACCTGACAGGGTCGCGTGGATGAGGCAAGAAAGGAGCAAGCCTAGCAAGTACGGGATGCCCCGATCTGCCCTGTGTGGCCGCTGGTGGTCGCTGTGGCGCACGCCCAGGTGAGCCTACGAGCCAAAACCAGAACCGGCAGGATCAACCAAGGCTTTGTTCTGGCTCCCCGACTTCGCCTCGCGCCGTCCATTGTCCATGATGCCTTACGGCCTTTTGGCGTCAATCATTCCCCCCATTGACCACCTCCATCAACTCGTGCCTCTGACCCAACTGCTACATGACCGTTTCTCAAGGAAATTGTCCACCACGAATATAGACAACCAAACTGTCGCAGCATTTGGCACTTCAAGAGATCACAGTCCTGCTGCTCCTTTCGCAGAGACATTCCAACACTCACTTACCGTGTTGTGCCCCTCTATCCTCACATTCCCGATTCAGTGATTATTCACTGGTTCGCATTCGCCCAACCTGCGCTTGCGAAATCGAACTGGCCAACTGCGACCATCGCTCAGCCTTCTCATCCTACTTTTCTTCCCGCCTGCTCCCTTGTTCGAATACGTCCTGAACAGCCCTCCGTCGCAATAAGTGTTGACCACTTGACCCGCCGAAAACACCAACCCGCGCAGATTAAATCCAGGTTGCGCCAACTCAGCCCTCGCTGCCCTCATTCGCGTCCCTCCGCCAGATCGGTCAGCTCCCCTCCGATTTCATTCTATGAAAGTTAAATCACCGCAAACAGGCGCCGTGCCCGCGATACAAACCAAGAGACCTGGTCGCTACTCAATTTCGGATATGTGATGCTACAGTTTTATGAGCCGTCGATGTGTCCAGCTTTTGTTCGTCAGAGCTGGTCACCTTGACGAACTCATCACAAACTGTGATGGAAAGATAACCGTTGCTCCTTGCCTTTTGCGACAAAATGTCCCAAGGCACGGCCAAGAGACCTCCGGAATCGACAGACTTGTTGCCTAGAGGCAAGCAGGTCCCTTCACATATCCTTGCTCAATTGGATGAGCGTTTCAAGTACCTCACCGACACCATTCTCCCTCCACATCCCTACCTACTTTCTGTTCCCTCCGACGTGCCCTACCGTCACAGCTCGCGCTTCGTCAATACGTGGTACGAGGGCACCCCGTTCGACCGTAAAGAAGAACAGCTCCAATATCTCAGCTTCCTTCCGCATTCGGGTGAACACGAGGCTTTGTTGAAAGTCGAGGGCGGGTGGGCAGACGACCACGGGAATCCCGTTGTTGAAGAAGAACTTTCTCCCAAGGCTTTGCCAGCGAGTGGTCGCCATACCCCAGCAGACACAGTCAATCGCAAGAAGATCAGCCTGAAGGACTATAAGACAAAGGCCAGAAGTCCACCTCAGAGTGCTATAGAGTCTCAAGACCCAAAGAAATCCGCGACTTCTGCCATCCCAGTCTTAGGCGTAGAAAAGGAAACGCACACTACGCAACCTTTGCCGGACAAGGAGCAAGAAAAACATTTGCGTGGCGAGGGGCGCAACGGAGTCAAAGATCATCAGCTGCACGTCTCACGAATGGATGGCAATAATTCCCCCAAAGTACCTTCCAAGATGCAGAAGACAAACTCCCCGAATCCTGCCAAGCGAAGGAAGCTCTCTCCAGGTGCTGAGGACCCCAAAGTCGGCATAAAGACGTCGAAAATCGAATCACAGTCTTCCACCATGAAAATGCCCCGGTTGCTCTCTCCTACCCTACCTTCACCCGAGAAGGAGATCGGCCTACCACAACTTTTGTCGCCTGTCCTCCCTCCATCACTTACAAAGGCTTTGTCAACACCCCCGAATACCACGTCACTTGGAAGCCCTGTCAGTGGCGCGAGCAAGCGATCAGAACCCGTCCGCTTGATCCTCGCCGGCGCAGACCTCGACAACGAACCTCCAGGCGATCGAAGTGGACTGGCCCCAGCTGGGAGTAGGGTGCGCTCAGATAGCCAGCATTCGGCCCGGAGCAGCGCCCCGGGGACTCCTAATGCTGCCAAAGGGGCTCTTGGAGCGAAGATTCTGGCGAAGGGTGGCATTAGAGGTGGAACACCCCTGCACAATGGCGTTCGAGCCAGTCCTGGCCCTCGACAAAGGCATACAATCATTCTGAAGTACGGCAAAAAGAACAGGAAGAGGGTCGAAGCGCTTCTCAAATTCGCGTCACGGCCGAAGAAAGACCTCCTAAAGCAAGATGCGCCAGGTTCTCACAATAGCTCTGACATACCTGCAATGAAGGAGATATCGAAGCAGGTCACCCCAGAAACTCAACCTACTACTGAAACTAAGTCGAGAGCGCCGGTCATCGATGAAATCAAGATGGAAAAGAAGAGGAAGGCCGAAGACAGTAGTCCTGCACCATCTCTCAAGAAGATCAAGGCCGTCGATAGGGAGACCCGGCCGGTCACACCAGGCCCCTCGGCTGGTAAGACATCGGCGTCATCTCAGTCGAAATCAACATTTTCCACGCCGAAGAAGGATCTCAAACCTACTCTGATGAGACGTGTCGAGTCGTCGGAGGGGGTCGACGCCCCGACTCCTACCGGGGACAAAGTGAGGGTTTCGACACCGCAAGCCATGCCCAAGCCATCTCCACAGCCACCAACGGGCTCTGCATCTTCTCGAGGGGAGGAGCGGCAACAGTGGACCAGCATCAACTACAAGTTCTTTGCATTGGGCCGTACTCTCAAGCATGAAGGATCGGCTCTTCTACCACCTCCCGATAATGATGCGAAGGCCTCTCAGTCTGCGAAAGCGGTACTGACACTGATTGAAGCGCTATTGTGCTTCATGATCAACATATCCGCGCTGTCCCATGCCCGTCCAAGTGTCGACCCGGGCTGGAGGTCAATCATTTTGTACCACATCTTCGTGTTCCGTGCATCGAGGAAGTTTCCACACCTTCACGGACTGGTCGTGCAACTTGGGGCCGTATGTCGGCAACTTGTACACAAATATGACATGGACAGACTGGCGCGGGATCCTCTACCTGACGACTACTGCAATTCTGCTCCCACGCCTGGTAGTGATGGTAACACCAAGACGAATGAGGACGGGGAAAAATACAAGAAACGATACGTTGAGTTCAGGGATGAGTTGATCCAGAACGCCCGTGAACTGCAGACGGCATGGCTGGATGGATCCCGACAACTCTCGCTCGACCTGCTGAAACGCGAGTATCCCATTACTTGGTCGAAGCGGGCCAAGGACCCGAGTGCGAGACTGCAAGAGAAATTGACGCCATCGAAGATTCCTGAAGACTTCTACCTGCCAATGGATGCAAACACTACCGCTTTTGAGGCAGCCAGATTCGGCGTGTCTTTTCTCCAGGAATGGGCGGAGAAGGAAAAGGTTGATTGGAAGACAAGGATCGATCTATGATAATGGCTGTGCATCTAATGTCGCAGCCGATAAGACGTTACGACCGGATATGATTTCAGCTATTCTTGGCTGGAGGGGTTGAATATACAATGGGATAGCTGGCGGTCAGCATGTGTTGCTGTTTTGATATTTTTAGAAGATACCACATGAGCGATGAAAAGAGCCGATTTGAACTTGCCTGAGATGCATATTGAGTATACGTTAGGGGTGCTATGTTGTGCCTGCGTAAGACTTGGTAGAAGAGAAGTCCCTATCTATCTGCTCCCTTGTGAGCAGTGTACAATAAGAGGTGTACATGTACAAGTAGGGAGGTATTTTGTATAGTATCTTGTATGACGTCGAAGTCAACAGCCTTGTGCGGAAACGTTCCACCCGAGTTCTTGCTCTTGGGCCGTGTCTCGGTGGTACATTTTGTCTGCGCCCGTTTCAACGTTGGCAGAATTCAACGGCTCTTCGCACCCCTGAACCCTTCCACACCCTCCTCCGTCCCCGGTCGAAGCCAATGAGTCGCTGTCAATAATGGCCACCTCACTTCGGAGCGAGACGGAGAAGCATGGACTCACTCGATGACGACCCGACCAGCTTCGAAGGCGTTTTGCCTGTGATTCCACCCGACTCCCCTCCAGTGTACAAAGACACAAAAAGCAATGCCGCAACTGGTGCCTCCGCCGCCGGGGTTCGAGCCTTCACGGCGCAGGCAGTGGCATTCTATTTCCGTGCCCCGGTGAAAGCTTTCTTTCGAACAAGAGTGGATTACCTCGCGTACGCCAAAAGCATCAACCCAGATATACAGAATGGTCGTTGGTCATGGCGGTCCACCACACCAGGTCTGCTGGCGACGGCGATCAAACACTACGGTTGGCGCTTTGTGCCTGAGCAATTGGCCCTGCCCTTGTTCGCGAATGTGGCTGTTGGGGCAGCATTGTATACGAGTTACCTGCAGATTTTGGGCCTGTTGCACGAGCCCTCGGCACATGCCAGGAAAACGGTATATCCGCCTCCGTCGCCGCAGAGTACTTTTCTTGCGGGATTTGCAGCGGGCACCATCCAAAGCGTGCTGGCAGCTCCCTTGGATGCCCTTCAAGTGCGATTCGAACGGCGCGGGCCAAGATACGAGGATAAGACCATGTGGGAATATGGGAAAGGGAAATTAAGAGAGATCGGAGCCAGAGGAATATTTGCGGGTTTTGGGCTGAGCTTCTTGAAGGATAGCTTTGGGAGTGGTGTGTTCTTTTGTGCCTTTGAATGGGTCAAGGCGCAGGGTTACCATGGATATGTGCAGTGGTACTACGGCCACAAGCTCGCAGAAGGTTGGAACGGAGAAGAGCTTGGGATGAGGGAGAAGAAGCCAATCCAGGCGACGGTAGACGAGCGATTAGAGTCGAAGAGCGACCCTGAGGCATTGCTGGTTCGGCCACATTACGCACTTGAACCGGCTTTTCTCATGCTGGCGGGGATTACTGCGTCGATCGCTCAACAGGTCGTTCTTTACCCTCTTTCGACAATCCAGACTCTTCACTACGAGCGGCTAGAAGAGCTCGACCAAAAGGCAATGAAAATTACCAATGACAACGTTCCACTGGCAAAGCGTGGACGAATGTTGAAGGCATACTATCACGCCTATCAAGAGACTTGGAAACAGGCTCGCCTGCAAGCAGTGACTGAACGGGGAATGAGGCGATGGCTGTTCAAAGGCTTCTGGTGGTTCACTATCAGACAGGTTCCGAGTACGAGTGCGGGATTGATCATCTTCGAATTGGTAAGGAGGAAATATGGCCAGGAGGGCTTGGGTGATGAAGTCAGGATATCGAGCAAAGGAAAGTATGATATCCTTCTTGTATGAAGTCCAGTCCAAGGCTTTTTACAGGTGATGCATTCAGCTCTGGCGTTCTGGGTTCATTCGCAGAGTGTAGAGGGTTGATACAGCCACACGGGTTCAGATTAGTATCAGCAGCCTGATCGTCCAAGGCTGGTGTAGATATAGATGTAGTTTTATCACTGAATCTCTCTCGTCTTTGCCTCTTCTTCAACCAGTAATATCCTCTATAACGCAACCCTTACTATGCCTATCGACAATAGAATATGTACAGTAAAGTTCCAAGGCGATATCTCCGGTATCAAGAAAGCACTGTCGCAAATGAGAAGGTATCCTCCCTCAAGGCAGGGCCTTTAAAGCAGGAATGTGATGAAAGTAATACAGTGTAGTGCGAGTCAGAGGCTTGGGAAATCAACTCAGAATTTTGTAACATTCACTTGCCAAATTAGCTTGAGGCACTCTGGTATATCAACTGGTTACGAATATATCATGGGGAGGTGATATTACTGGTGACGCGTTTGGTAGAATCGGCTTCGCGTTGCGGCGCGCGAGTTGGGCAAGTTTAGCGCGGCGTTTTGGGGAAATGTCGCCCTCAATCATGGATTTTGGCCTGACTTGAATCTCTGATCCTTTTGACTCGGCGAGGGTAGGACCACGACGTCCGTTTCCAACATTTCGCCCTTAACCTCTTCACTCTCTCTTCATCATCTCCCTCGACCACGGCGTCATTCTTGTCTGCCTGATTTCTGGGTCTTGTCCTCTTCCTAAAGAATCGCGCGCCCATTACATCACATCGTGATTGAGAATCCCTTTCACAATACGACCATCGCCTCCGTTGAGGCAGGCAGCACAAGATGAGCGACATTCTCATCAACTCCGACACTTTCTTCGAACGTCTCCAAACCCTTTACAACGCCTGGAAAGCAGACAAGAGATCGGGAAATGAAGTTTTTGGCGGCGCGGACAGCATCATCGTCTTGACTGGGAAGGCTGCCGAGGACACTATATATGCTAAGAACAACGCAGTTCATGTGAGCAGTCCCATCAGCCCCGGCTATGCCGTTGCGCTACCCCGCTGGTTGCTATGAACTCGAGTGGCCGACTGACGGATTTGTGATATGCTACAGTTCTGGCTCCTGGGTTATGAGTTCCCTGCGACGCTGTTAATCTTGACCACTGCCACTTTTTATGTGGTTACGACAGAGAAAAAGGGTAAGTTTGGCATCCAAGGAGACAGTGTACTTCCAGGACTCTAACTCGCTCTTCTCAGCTAAGCACCTTCAATCCCTTAAGAATGGGAAGATACCCGTCGAGATCCTGACGGTCCACATGAAACAACCCGAGACCCGAACCCAAGCGTTTGAGAAATGCATCGAAATCATCAAGAATGCCGGAAAGAAGGTCGGGACTATCCCAAAGTCCGAAGCGCATGGGCCTTTCGTCGATGAATGGGTCAAAATGTATGGCGATCTATCCAAAGAAGTCGAGGAGGTGGACATCTCTGGCGCCTTCTCGATGGCGTTTGCTGTCAAGGACGAGAACGAGCTGAGGAATATGCGGACCGCGGCTCGGGCAGCCAGTGGCATGATCTCAGACTACTGGGTTGATGCAATGTCCGCTGTGCTTGATGAAGAGAAGGAGATTACCCATCAACAGCTTTGTGACAACATGTCGAAGAAGATCGACGACAACAAGTTCTTCAACAAAATCTCCAAGCTGCCCAGCGATTTTGACAACCAGCAGCTCGACTGGGCGTACGGCCCTATCGTTCAGAGTGGCGGGCAGTATGATCTTCGACTGAACGCGCAGCCGACCAACGACAACCTTCACTCCGGTTGCATCATTGCCGGGGTAGGTTTCCGGTACAAGACCTACTGTTCGTTGCTCGCGCGTACTTACTTGATCGACCCGAGCAAGTCGCAGACGTCCAACTACAAGCTTTTACTTGCTGCGCACGATGCAGCACTGAAAGAAATCAAAGAGGGGGCACTGCCCAAAGATGTCTACAACAAGGCCCTAGGCGTCGTCAAGGCTCGCAAACCTGAACTCGAGAAGAGCTTTGGGAAAGACGTTGGATCGGCCATCGGTATTGAGGTTAGGGATCCGAAATTTGTCCTGAACGGTAAAAACACCAGACCACTCAAGGACGGCATGACTTTCAGCGTCACCACCAGCCTGTCGGATCTCACCAATGACAAACCTCAAGACAAGAAGGGCACTAACTACACTCTTGTGCTGACGGATACCGTCCGTGTAACCAGAGGAGAGCCAGTTGTTTTCACCAAGGAGGCACACACCGAACTGGATTCAATCGAGTTCTACTTTAAGGATGACGAGGAAGAGACCAAGCCAAAGCAGGAGAAGGCGAAGAAGCCCGGTGTGAGTGCCATTGTCACATCAAATATCAAGGCCACCCGTCTGCGAGGCGCCAATCGGCAGGACAATGCCAAAGAAGAGGAAGAGGCTCGACGAAGAGAGCATCAGAAGGAATTGGCGGCCAAGAAACAGCGCGAAGGTCTAGAAAAATATGCTGAGGCAACGGGCGACATGAACGGTGAGAACGAAAAGAAGTTCAAGAAGTTCGAGTCGTACAAGCGCGAAGGTCAACTTCCACCACGAGCAAAGGACTTGATCGTCTGCGTGGACCTCAAGGCTTCGACTGTCATTATTCCCATTATGGGGCGACCAGTGCCGTTCCATATCAACTCGATCAAGAACGTCAGCAAATCCGACGAAGGCGAGTACACGCATCTGCGGTTCAATTTCTTGTCTCCTGGACAAGGTGTTGGGCGTAAAGACGACCAACCTTTCGAGGACCCTCAAGCCCACTTTGTCAGATCTTTGACTATACGGTCCAAGGATCAAGACCGCCTCTCGGAAATTTCTGCTCAAATCACAGAACTGCGGAGGTCGGCTGTTCGTCGAGAGCAAGAAAAGAAGGAAATGGAAGATGTTGTGGAGCAGGACAAGTTGATTGAAATCCGCAATCGTCGGCCGATCAAGCTGACAGATGTCTACCTTCGACCTGCGCAAGATGGCAAGCGAGTTCCTGGTGAGGTTGAAATCCACCAGAACGGTTTGCGGTACCAATCCCCCTTGCGTCAAGAACATGTCGACGTGGTCTTCTCCAACGTCAAGCACTTGTTCTTCCAGCCTTGTGTGGGTGAACTGATTGTGCTTATCCACGTGCATCTCAAAAACCCCATCATCATCGGTAAACGCAAGACGAGAGATGTCCAGTTTTACCGCGAAGCCACTGATATGGCATTTGACGAGACGGGCAACCGAAAGCGGAAGCATCGGTATGGCGATGAGGAGGAGTTCGAACAGGAGCAAGAAGAGCGAAGACGCCGAGCCGAGCTCGATCGCCTGTTCAAGAGTTTCGCGGAAAAGATCTCGGATCAAGCCAGAGACTATAATGTCACGGTCGACATTCCATTCCGCGAGCTCAGTTTCAATGGTGTTCCGAATCGCAGCAATGTGCTAATGGCACCAACAACCGATGCGTTGGTTCAATTGACGGAGCCACCGTTCACTGTGATTACGCTGGATGAGATCGAGGTTGCTCATCTGGAGAGAATACAGGTAAGTTGGATCCGTGTTCTGAAGATTTGGGCCAGTGCTAATTCATCGGGCAGTTCGGACTCAAAAACTTCGATCTTGTCTTTGTCTACAAGGACTTTCATCGCCCTCCGACGCACATCAACACGATTCCAGTCGAGTCGCTTGATAGAGTCAAGGAATGGTTGGACAGCGTGGATATTGCATATACTGAAGGCCCACTTAACCTGAACTGGAGCACGATCATGAAGACGGTGACCACTGACCCACATGCTTTCTTCAAAGACGGTGGCTGGAGCTTCTTGGCTACGGAGTCCGACGCCGAAGACGAGGATGAGTCCGAGGAAGAAAGCGCCTTTGAGATGAGCGATTCCGAATTGGCGGCCAGTGAATCGGAAAGTGAAGAGGATAGCGAGTTTGACGACGACGCGAGCGCAAGTGATGATGAAGGAGAGGCGGAGAGTGGGTTGTCTGACGAAGGAGAGGACTGGGATGAGATGGAGAAGAAGGCCAAGAAGGAGGATAGGAGAGGCGGGGTGGAAGACGAGGACAAGGGAGCGCGGAAGCGCAAGAGATGATTTTGGTCAAGAAGCTGGACTTGTGAGGGATGCAATTGCGACACTGAAGGCCTTTGGTGGAAGAAGATGATTAAAAGTGAAGCAATATCAACGCGAGAAGTTGGGAAGGCTGGAGAAGTTCCCCTTGTCGTTGCTGCTGTATTGATGTATTGATACTGGGCGCTGGGCATCTATCTGAATAGTCGTCATGGATGAACGAATACCAGGTACTTGGGCGGTACGCCGTATGCTCTGCACGCTCTGATCTGTACTCGGTGTCGACATACACACTTACCTAGGCATGTAGACACGAGTACATCGCGGTATCGTATCGCATGATATCACGATCTACCTGTAAGAAGTGCCTGGATAACGAGCGTGCGAGGTTCGTAGACGGTTCCGCTTCTTCGTCTAAACTCGGCAATTGAAAAGCGGAGATTTTTCCCCGAATCATGTCCATCTCCAACGGGTCAACTCCGACAACAACTACTATCTCTCCATCCAGCCATCTCAATAGCTGGTTTGAATCGGGAGACAATAGCAGAAAAACCCAGGAAGCTAATCATTCAGACACTTCCTGAAACCAGCCGCCGGATATATCCTCGTCGAAGCAGCATCGCTAGAAGTTTTGGCTGTTAGAAAGCTTGGAGCTGTTCAGAAGAGACACGACCAACGACCAATCACGGCAGATCGGGTACAATCGACAATCAATACGGACGGAGGAAAAGAGTACAATTTTGTGGAAACACGACCAGAGCATTTGATTAAGCATTGGACAACAACCGAGCACAGCGGCCTCTATCGCTTTCTCCGTCACATCGCCCTCCTTCGTCTTTCGAGTGAGTGAGTGGGAGAGAGATAAATAGATAGACAGAGTCACACGACCCAACCAGGGTATTCCGCAACCCCGAGTCCCTCTCGCAAGAGAAGTCAACAAACGAAACGAAAAGGTACAAGAGAGAGAGAGAAAAGCGACAAGAAAGAAAGAATGGGCCCCTCCCTCCTCTCCAAGTCCCTCCAAGCGGCCGGCATCAGCACCTTCGCCGGCGTGTGCGCCTTCGCCGTGTGGACCAAGCACTGCCGCTTCACGCCCGTGACGCAGTTCAACCCGGCGACGGAGCCGCTGTTCCAGAGCGCCTGGTTCCGCAGGTTCAACCCGCAGAACCACGAGGCCACGTACGACGAGTGCGTGCGGCGCATCGGGCTGCAGAAGATTAAGCCCGAGTTGGTCGAGGACGCGCGCAGGGGCGGGACGAAGCTCGTCGAGGAGTTTTGTCGAGGCGTTTGGGGCGGGCCGGGTATGTTTTTCTCCCGTTGTTGCTTTCTTTCCTATCTTTTTTAGCGGTGTTGATGTGGGCGGGTTGACTCGTCTCGATTCGATTCGGTTTGAGAGATGAGTTGGGTTCTCTGTGTTGATGTGCCCTCTTGCATTTTTGGACTACTCTTCTCCACAAGGGGGTTGGGTGATGGAACGAGGCCACGGGAACTGAACACAAACCCACCATCTGCCTCACTTGTCCATTTATGTTTCCATGGCATGACTTGAACGACTGACCAATACTTGAAAGGCTACACGATCCAACGCCTGTACTTACAGCGCAAATACCGCAACGTCACGACGACGGCGCACCAGCTGTGGACGCCCGCGCAGCTCCTCACCTCGACCTACGACCCGGGCACCGAAATCACCGACCACTTCGTCGTGCTGGACAAGACGCCGACGCGCATCCTCATCCGGTGCGGCGACTCGCCGCTGCACAACCCGGACGGGCCGCGGCCCTCGGACGGCCTGTTCGAGATGTGCGCCACCGTCGACGTCGACCAGGGCATCGCCGAGTTTCGCCTCAAGAGCATCTTCTACGTCGGGGAGGGGAGTTGGGCGTCCGCGTCGGAGACCACGGCCGAAACGAAAGACGGCCAAGGAACCCCGAATAAGTGGGAGAATCGGGGCCCCATGCAGGGTTACATGCTCTACGCGCACAAGTTGTACACCAAGCTATGGATGGAGAGTGCCCTCAGAAGAGTCAAGCAGTGAATAGGCGCGCGGAAACGAGGTCATTTCCTCAAAGTCACTCTGTAGTATCTCTCATTGAGTCGAAAGGAATAGGGCTATCGTGATGAATCAAAACTCCGACTGCTCTACTGTCTGTGTTCTCTCAGGCTTCCACCTATCACTTGATGTGGGATTCTCCAAGCCATAGTTGGTTGACGTTAGCTCTCCTACACTGTCCAGCTCCCTTTCCTTGCTCACAGTGGCATTTTGGCCACTTATCATGTCCCTGATGCACACTCCCAACGGCTTTTTGAGTTGAATCCGGCGTCACGAAAGATGACAACCATTACCGTCTGGCTTTCATCCAATGATGCCGGCGTAGCTCTGTGTTTGGTATCCTGCCAATCCATGCTGTGTGTGGCTATCCTGGTGTTGGTTGTCGACCTTCCCTAGAGGTTCAACCAGTGTGACGAACATAATAGTAATAGCCACTGGTCACATGCTTCTCCCAATGGCCCACCGGAAAATCACCCTTCAACGCGTCGTTGTACTCCCTCAAGGTCCAGCTTCCATCAAGTTCCTTGCACCAGAATTGTGGACTTGCACCAGGTTTGTACGGTGCCAGTTGGCTGGGTTGCTGCTGGCTAGCTTGCAAATTGGCAAGCAAAATGGCGTTCTGGGCTTGAATCTCTGCTGCTGTGGCGCCGACGAAGTAAGCTGGTGCGTTTGGCATTGCAGCAAGGGCAGCATTGGCAGCTACTGCAGCCGCGGCCTGTGCCGGACCCGGAGGCTGAGACCATGGCGAAGTGACGGGGAATTGAATCGGATTCGGGGCTGTATGGTATGGTGAGTAGGTGTACGGATAGAACGGGGTGCTTGGTGTAGAAGTGGCAGGCAAGGTGTAGCAAGTGTAGGCAGAGGAGGTGTAAGGCCAACCAGTTGTTGCAGACGGAGGGCTCATGCCGTAGTAGAGGCCATTCACGTAGTAACCCGCCGGGGCACTCGAGCTCCCCTAGGAAGAGGTGTCAGTGAGGTCAGGCTGATTTCAGGCACAAAGACTGAGGGGCTTACTTGGAAATAATACATGGCTGGCTGAGCTGGTTGATTGGACTGATACACGGGCGCCGGTGGATGAATCCCCTGTAAACCTTCTTGGTTAGAGACGTAGAGATAGGTTCTGGGCCAATCTGCCGGGTTCTCCCAGTAGCCAGTCGACCCTTGTGTGTTGACAGCGGAGGGGTTGGGAGTTTGGTATGTGTAGAAATGGGGCATGGTTTGTCTGCGGCGTCTGGTGCGAGCATGAAGCGAAGAGGAAGACAAGCAAATGAGAAGAACGTCAGTTGCCGATTGTCTGATAAATGAGTTCAGGAAAGATGCGCGAAGGATGAAAGAGAAAAATTCCAACGTCGCGGATTGAGCAGAAACTTTCACTTTGAATTCACTTTGTAACGCACCTGCCGGTTATCGGGATAGAAACCATGGTTCTCGTCGAGGAAAATGTACTCTTGCTTGACGGGTTCAGCGGCAAGCTGGACATTGTGAGCCCATGGCCAGCCTCCACATGAAAAACACATGATGACAAAGGAGATGATGGAAGGGTGGTGATGAATGCAAGGATCTGGAACGATATGGAAGGATGCGAAGACTGCGTTGACTGCGTCTAGCAATCTGGGGTTGAGAAGGACGAAGGGGGAGGAGGTGGTGATGAAGAACTGGCAGGCGGATCTGGCAATGGGCAATGGGTAATGCGCAATGCGCACAACGGTCGATTTGAAGATTGTGTGAAGCAGCAGATCAATATGTCTTCCTTCACTTCATCGAACACAATTGTATTCTCTCATCAATAGCTGCAGCTCAAGTTGTCTTGTCTGGCTGTAGTCGTTGACACCGAGACACCCCTACCCATTTGTGCAATTCTCATCCCATTGAGGGTCACCAGCTGAATATGTCTGCATCAGGACTCTTCACCCTCTCTCTTCTGGTGCACTCTCTGTCCAGTGACAACCGACATGTTGACAAGGTGATGGTGCGCAGCTCGCCCGTAGCCTGCATTTTTCTCTCTTTCTCTGTAGCTCACCCTGAATGGATCCGCCTCTTCCATTGTCTTCTTCATCGACAAGCCACCACAAGTTGTCCATCATCAGCACATCGAAAAGCCATCCAAATTATATTGGAGGTTAACGGGACACCAAGAACAAAGTTCAATGTGCCAGACGCGACAAGACGCGCCTCTGAACGGCTTGACACGCTAAGGACACGCTCATCGAACCAATGAGTTGCACTTGGGCGATCAACGTCATTTAATCTTGTGTAGTACCACAGGACGAGAGCAATCAGACGGTGTTGGGAAGTTGGGGAGAGAATCGGACTCTTCTGGTAACTCGACAGGTCCATTCTCTAAGATCTTGCCAGATAATACACAATTATATCTCTCTCGTGCCAAATCACATCTCCCGAGTCAATCAACCTATCACAGGTTGGCGGCGACGGCTGCCTGCGTCTCAATAGCGCAGGCAGCCTTGTCAGCCTGACCACTGCCAGCCTTACCAGCCTTACGACGAAACTTCATAAAATAAAGGTGTGGCACCTGGCTTGATCTCTGTCTGCTAGTCCGTTGTAAACATCGTTTTCGACGCAGAAGATCGAATGCCCAGAGATCGCCATGACTTCCAAGAGCGAGGACAAGAACTTGGTTCCCCCTATCTACACTATCGATCTCTCCCTCGAGCCAGAGGAGCGCTACCAGGCCTTAGCAAAGGCTTACCAGAGCCAACTTCGAAGCCTCACGACTTTATTCAACAGCCTGCTCACTGATATCGGCCTCTCCACATTCTACCATGGCCCGGTAGGGCTACTGGCTCGATTACTCCTCCGAGGCCTGAACACTCCCGTCGAAACTGCTGAGCTCCGTGGGATAGCAAAGGTAAGCGGGCTCCCTATGCACCTGCTTGTCAGCTTCAATGTGATTTTGGATTGTCTCATGGGGTGTACCTCTGGAGCGGTCAATGTCGTGGACGCGAATCGGCCCACAGGACACAGGCGGATGCTTCATTTCCGCACCCTAGACTGGTCAATGGATCCGCTCCGGTCGATCATCGTTCAACTGGAATTTGTTCGAAGTAGATCGGCGACACCTGGGCAGATCATCGCTCGAAGCGTTACATACGTCGGCTTTACGGGGATATTGACCGGCGTGCGTCAAGACTTGAGTCTATCTCTCAATTTCCGTGGTGTACACAACGCTGTACGCAGACGCGACCATGCGAGATTCTACCTGCATCATCTGCTAGTTCTCACGGGTTGCCGCCCATCGATATCGAGCATACTGAGAGGATACATCATATCAGAGGAGGCAGAAGGTGACCAGTGCAAGACTTTGCAAGAAATCTCGGAGGAGCTCGTCCCGCGACATACCACTGCGGCTTACCTGCTCCTTTGTGATGGCGTGTCGGCCATGGTCATTGAGAAGGATTATGCCAGCGGTGTGATCCGACAATCCAACGCCTTCATCGGCGTTACTAACAATGACGAAGAAGAGATTGGGTTATCAAAGGAGGCAACTCCTTTGGCATCTCAAGTCCCGGCCAAGTCTTTTGCTGTGAGGGCTGGAATGGAAGAAATCATTGAAGAAAGCAAGGACAGACTTGACGCAATCTCCTCAAGATGGAGAGCATGTCTGCGAAAAGCAAAAAGAACGTCCAAGAAAAAGGGCAAGAATTCCAGCCAAGCAGAAAGAGAGGTGGCAATTACCACAGACGAGGTGATTCAATGGGTGTCGGCATATCCAACGACCAACGAACAGACTCATTTCGCCACGATCATGGATCCCCTGTACGGACAGGTAGTCTGGACACGGATTTATCCCGAAGCGGCTGAGTGAGGACGTCGATGTTGACGCGTTCTCCCAGCCATCGGCCATTAGGCGCCGAGAACCTCTACTGCGGCTTCGACTTCAGACTCGAAAGTACTCGTAGAAGGCATCAAAATCAAAGACATCATCATGGGCGTTTGTGGGGATGCTTGCGGCAACAAGTCCGACGTAAGATGGATACTGCTGAAAGAGCATGCACCAATACCCTTTATAAAGTAGATGTATTCTGGATCCTGCTCGGGGGGCCTCTTGGCTCCTCCACCCCTCTAGAGCGAGGCCGTGGTCGGACAAATGCAGAGGGAAAATATTAATCAAACTAAGGTTATGGGAAGACGGCGATCGACATGCGGATGGCGTTGCCTTCCGATGTTTGAAAGTGAAATGTATGACGCCTCGACTCGGGGAAAAAAAGAAAATGAAGCTTTTTACTAAATATGGAAATCCGCAGAAAAAGGGACAACAACACCAAGACCACAACAACCCCTTTTCCGGTTATCATCGTCGCCTTACGCCAGCCACTGTCGATACAGCTATCACTCGTCATTCAAAGAAGTCAAGAAGTCATCTTGCCGCGTCGCAGGACATGGACATGCCTTGGCCATGGCTGATGCTGATGCTGTATCTCAACATCGTATCCACCTCTACAACCTCCAATATTGACTGACCATCGGACATTTCGACTTCTTCGTCAACGTATTCAGTGGTCCACCCACACACATGATTGTTCCTTCCGGAATCACGGAATCACGGAGGTCTTGGTATGGATGTCGATCCATTACAGCCTTTGAGATGAAAAGGAAGGCGTTGCCTCCCACCTGGTGAGCTGGGACATCTGCCACCGTTCTTTCATCTTTTACTTCTCCCTCCGTGGTACCTTCCCATCTTCCGTACCAGACCTGCTGGTTTTGCAGTCAATTGCTCTGCAGAGTCACGGATACCACTCGTTTTCACTTCCAACCATCTTTCATTCCATCCCACCACCATAGACACTCGTTGATCCAAACCCCCCAATTATCCACAACAAGCCCAACATGTTCTTCTCATCCATAACTGTTGCCCTAGTGGCACTATCTTCACTCACCATGGCCATGCCGCCAGTCAGAGGCGGACCAGGACGAGGACCGGAATGGGGGGGACCAGGAAGGGGACGATACGGCATTCCTGGCAAACGCCCCAATGCCGGTTGTACCCCAGATAGAATCAAGGTCCGCAAGGATTTCGACTCGATGGCTCCTCAAGAACGCAAAGCCTATACCGACGCCATCAAATGCCTGGCGAGCAAGCCTTCGCAACTCGATCAAACCCTCTACCCTGCCGCTACCAACCGTTACATGGACTATGCCGTTATTCACGTCAACCGGACAAGAGAGGTCCATCTATCTGGCTTCTTCCTGACCTGGCATCGCTATTTCCTCCATCTGTTTGAGGAAGACCTGAAACACCAGTGTGGCTACGTCGGTGCATTCCCCTACTGGAACTGGCCGGCGACTGCGGACAATCTTCATGGCAGCGCAGTCTTTGACGGATCCGACTACTCTATGTCTGGTGACGGTGCATACGTCGACAGTGGCCCCGTAGTGCTTTCGCCCTCCCTTTCGCTTCCTCATGGATCAGGAGGAGGTTGTGTCACGTCTGGTCCTTTTGTCGACTGGCAGACGACCATGCAGGTCATCCCCACCAGCTACATTATCCAGGGTCTTCCACTGCCAGACACAGCTTTCCAGTTGAACCAGAGCTGCCTCACCCGGGATCTCAACAGTTATGCCGCTCAGACCTATACAAACACCACTGCCCTCGAACTGTGCTTGGAAGCCGAAGATATGGAGTCCTTTGACACTCAAATCAATGGCGTTATTGGCGGCGGCACACTGGGATTACATTCTGGTGCTCATTTCGTCGTGGGATCTCCTGGCTCGTCGATCTACGTCTCGGTGATGGATCCCATTTGGTGGGCTCTCCACGCCTTCTTGGACAATCTATACACATCGTGGCAGCTCCGCCATCCTGACATCGCAGATACCCTCTTTGGTACTGAAACAGCTGTCAATCTTCCACCGAGTGACAATGTTACGCTCGACACTATCCTGCCTAGCTGGGGATACTTCCAGGAAGCGCCAATTGCGGTGCGAGATCTCATCAGCACCACGGATGGTCCCTTCTGCTACGAATATGATGTTCCTTTGTGATGACCTATTCTTCGACCCCGGCCAGTGTGCAGTACAATTCCCGCGGCCGCCATTTTGTGATTTGCAAACTTTTTGCCAACCTGCAGTGTTTGGCTTTCTCTCACGGGAAACCTTTTGAGGTATTCCATTACGGTGGTTTAGAACACCTTTGTCTATACTTACACGACGTGGCGAACTGGTGTTCAGTGTTGGTGTTGTTTGGGGTTTACGGAACTTTGGGGAGGTTCCCATGGGATAGGCGTTGATTAGGTTGAATACATTAATATCATTTTCTGATGTTCAAGACGTTTGTGCCTTTGGTCATTGTGTGTTTGAGGTCGTCAAGGCTCCTTGATCAGCTCCCTCTGCAAAAGTTGACACTGACATATATGGTTGCAAAGAAGCTGTTCCCGCAACATCATATCAATATCCAGAAGAAACGGTCGACGCCGGTCCTAACCAGGTCATGCCCTTTTCGTGTATAGCTCAAGACTAGCATGTCCTACCAGACGATTTCCGAGCTCCTCAGAAGCCTCTGTGAACCATTTGGCTATCTATCCACGCCTCGATAGGTATTATGGGACCGGTTTTTCTTGCTCTTCCTCTTCTCCTTCTTCCTCCCCCCTGTGGATCCTTGGACTCTAGATGAATGGGCGGGTGAGTAACCTGATGAAGAGGCGCAGAGACGCATTACATTCACAAGGGAGTTTTCTTCGGTTGGGGGGGGGGAAAATATTCAAAGAGTCAAAAGAGTCTCGGCATTTGTTTATTTCTTCTTCTTCTTGGTCTTGTCCTCGACGCTGAGCCAGCGCCGATCCACGCCTCTGCGGGCCATTTCCTTCTCGACCACGTCCCTCTGGTCGCCCTGGACGAGAATCTCCATGACGCCCGGCTTGCCGCCGACGAGCTGGCCGACGCTGGCGGAACCGGCGCATTTCTTCTGCAGCTCCGGCCCCAGGATGTGCGGGTTGATGCCAAAGACCTCGAGGCCCGAGATCTTGGTCACGACCTTGGTCCCCGAGCGTTTCTCGATCACGATGCTGACTTGGGGCGGCGGGCCCGGTCTGGGCTTCGACAGTCCCGGATCGGGCGAGTCGGCGTCGTAGGTCTGTGTGTTGCGCAGCAGGAGCCAGTGCGGGATGCAGAGGTGGGTGTCTTCGAGGATGCGTTTGAGGAGAGCGTCGCGCGCGATCTCCCCTGCGGCCAGCGCGCGGGTGTCGGCGGCGCTGGGGTTCGAGCTGAGGATGTTGTTCGCGATAAAAGGGTCGAGTTTGATGAAGCGCGCAGACGAGGTCTTTTCGCTCAGCTTGGGTTCATTCTCAATGTACTTTTTGAGGAACGAAGAGATCTGCGACGACGTGTAATATGTCGTCTTGGAGGGGATCAGATCTGGCACCAGCTTACTGGATGCTCGATAGACGGTCTGGAGTGTGAGCTTCTGCCCAAGGGAGGTATCGCCTCCGCTGGCCGAAGACTGTGCGGTGTCCGAGCTGCCCGCTACCGTCTGGATTTTGGGCTTGGGTAGTTTGTACGGCTGAAAGCCGACGACTCTGTGGTCGTTGAAATCGACGTCCAGGATCACCGTCTCTCCGCCATTGCGATCTTTGGATTTGACGAGCACCTGCTTTTCGAGGTATTTGATAAACTTTTTGGTGTTCTTCCAAGACGTCTTCTTGATGGTGTAATGCTGGTTCTGATAGCGGAGATGTGGTTGTACCATGTTGGATATCAGAAAAGATGGTTGTATGGGAAAGTCGAGCCCGTGGTGTGGAGGGTCGCCGCCCTTTTTAGCGTCATAGAGGGCATACAGAAAGGCTTGTACAAATGCTTCGTCGACTTCGGCGGTTGATGGTTCCCGGTCTGCCTCTGCATCCGCCTCTGCTTCATTGTCCTGGAGCTCGCCGGGTCCATTGGTATCACGATTCCCGTTGTCAGCTTCTCCTTTCGACGCATCGAGGGTGACACCGCCCTCTTCTTGCACGTCATCATCCTCGTCGCTTTCTCCTAGATCCAACCTTTCGACTCCATCCTGTATGTCACCATCTGGAAAGATCCATCCGTCTATTGTCTCTGGACTGGCTCGACCTCCACTCCCAAACTGGCTCCAGTTCCAGATCTCGTCCCCTTCCCAGTGGACGCCCTCGACCGCGGCGCCCTTTGTTCCCTGTACCCTCCCCAAACTCGATATGTCGATTTTACATATGCCTACCCACAGAGGCACAGTCGGCTTCTTCAAGCCTGCAACCGCAACAACGGACCCCGGTTTTGCAGCGTCTGGCCACGGTGGTCCACCAACAAGTCCCGGCGTCATCAGATCGGCTCCTGTGCGCAGTTTCTCGACGACGAAATCTTGGGTATGGAGCAAGGGCACGATCCCTGGGTTATGCCACAATGTGTACACGGTTGGGTACAGCCTCGCATCTTTTCCATATTGGATCCATAAGATTCTTTCCTCTTGGCCGGGATGTGAACCAACATACACTGTTCCCGAGACTAACGTTGCATTGGCCCCGGCGTGGGTTGTGAAGCGGGCGGAGAGGCATGTCTCGGGAACAAGGCTTGTCCGGACGGAGGTGAGTGCTGGAGTAGGATGATGGATCGAGGAGGCCGGGGTAGTGTTCTCTGCGGTCGCCGCGTCGGGATCGATCTCTTCCAGAGTAGGCACATGGACTTTGTAGTCGGCAATGATTTGGTCTGCGAGTTTGCGGCGATCGGAGGATCTGAGGGGCGAGAGGTTCTTGATCTGGGGCTTCTTCTTGAACATGATGCTGAGAGTACGAGGTAGACACTAGGCTGACACGCAGAATCAAAGAATAGTCTCAGAATGACTCGACGAGAGGGTGATCAGGTTCAGTGCGGGGAGGTGAAACAACGTGGAACGATTTTATGTGTGGGAAAAGCGAATGTTCGACCACACTTGGATTGCTTGGGGGTTTCTGCCTGCAGAGAACCCAGATAAGTCAAAAGATCACACAAGAACTCCTATAGTAAGTGAGTCACGACAAAGATACGAGGTATTTGGTGGTTTGATAATATTGGCGCTGAGCGGCAACGAACAGGAGGAGGTGAAATTTGGACGAGGGGCGAAGACACGGGATACGTCATTTCAAACAACAAAGTCACAGTTAGAAAACCCATTATTCATGTTCCAACCTCGAATACCACACAAAGTACTGTAAACAGAGAGGATGCAGTCAACGTCACGCAGCGTAGATACCGACTTTGTCCCGCTGAGCCTCTTTCCACCAACTGTCCGCATTCTCTGAAACGCCAGGCAACTCGATGTCCTCTCTCAATTTACGCTTCCCCGGCTGATCGATGCCCAAGTCCTCGTTCCTCTCCCTCATGGCCGCGTCCACGTCGAGCTGTCTCGCCTCGGTCAACGAGCCCATCAGCGTCGGCGGACCCAGTGGCAGTTCGTCGCCCCTGTCGACCTGCCAGAAGTGGTACAGTTTGCCGTAGAGCGTGACGACCTCCTCCATGGCCTTGGTCTCGAGGGCGTCCCACTTGTCCTTCCGGCGCCTGTGGGACTCCGGGTACGGGAGGACGAGCATGCCGGACTTGACCTCGAACTCGTGCGAGTGCCAGTACCGTTGTTCTTGCCGGTCGAGCGCCTCGTAGCGGGCTTTGGGGATCATGAACTCGACGCCAATGAGTCTCGCTCCGGGTTTGCACGAGTCGTAGATGAGGCACTGTCGAAGATCTGTCGAAGAGAGGGATATCAGTGAGTGCGGTCAGAGAATTGCCATGGTTGGATCTATCGAGAGAAGGAGGGGAGAAGGGCGCTGTAACTGACCTTTACTGGTGTGGGAGCAAAAGTGATGGGCCGAAACGGTCCTCACCTCCCCTCGTCGAGCCTCGTCCGTGTAGATGTGCAGCGCGTGCAGGTACTCGCAGACGTTGTGTAGTGGCTTCATCTCCGGCTCAATCGTCCCTCGCACATGCGTTTGGATCCCCAAATACAAGAGCCACGACTTGAACCACGCGGTCGGGCTGAATTGGAGCGCCCATGAGGCCAGTCCAGATATACTGGGACCGACGACTTGGCTTTGACTCATGGTGTGCGATACCCGACACCTCGCTCGCTACTCTTAGAGATATGTGATGATCTGGTGTGGTCTGGTGTGGTCTGGTCTTTTTTTTTTCTAGTAGTAGATTGATTCTCCCGAGGGTTCCAAACTGACGAGAGGCACAAACTGCTTCGAGGGAGAGGCGACATTGATATTCATGCATCACTCTGTCGTAGGTAACCTATCTATTTGGGACACTGATGTCACTGTTGGCAAGGATGCGATCATATCAACCACACCACTTGAACCGGTCATTGTTCTTGCTTTTTCTTCTCTAATCCTCCGATATTGGCCACAGGCGTGGCTGATGAGAGGGAGTACCTGGCCATGTATATGTTACATACCTTGACGGCACACTCACTCACCCACGCACGGACGGTCGGTCGTTATGGTCGGTCCCTCACAAAACAAAACCACTCCCAAATCCATCGGATGTGTTTCCCGACGAGGGGTTTCATTTCGACTTCGCCCACCAATGATTTCGGACAATACCTAGCGAGTGGCTAGGCGGGGGAGAGCCATGAGCCATGAGAAAGCAACCCCCCCGTCACAGTAGTACTTGGTGCAATTGGTGCTTCCGATGCTACTTGATTCAGACGAGTACCGCTTTCTTCTATCTCCTTCTTTCTCTCACATACACAAGGACTGTATTACCTCGTACTTGTCTACCTCCTACCAATGGACAAGGCACAAGATGAGTCAGTCCATCGACATGGAGAAACCGACCGGACCGTGCCACCGTCCTCCCCACTGAGGGGGACGAGGGGACGAGGCTGCGTCGCGGTGCTCCCCGGGAACACACCGAGGGGGCCATACACAAAGTACCGAGTACTCGGTATATATATGAATTTTGCTTCTGTAGGTTGTTCTGTTTCTTGTCCCCCCTCTCTTCAAAGTAGTTGCCTCCCTTATTTTTTTTCCAAGCCCATTTCGAAAAATCTTCTTTTCTGTTCCTATATACAGATTCCACAAAATACAGGTAACAAGATGGTAGGACGTCTGGAAGGTAAAGTGGCCATAGTGACCGGTGGAGGGTCGGGTTTTGGTGCCGGTATCGCGACCAAGTTCATCCAAGAGGGCGCAAAGGTGCTCATCTGTGATCTGTCTGAGCAGAACGGCACCAAGGTCGCGCAAGATCTGGGCTGCGAATTCTTGGTTGCCGACGTCACCAAGCGCGCCGACTGGGAGGCACTACAGAAAAAAGCCGTCGACGCTTACGGGGGTCTGGACATAATCGTCAACAACGCCGGCACCACTTACAAGAACAAGCCGACAGAGACCGTCACGGACGACGAGTTCGATCTGTGCTTCAATGTCAACGTCAAGAGCATTTACCTGTCGAGCAGCGTGCTGCTCCCGTATTTCATCGAGCAGAATCGACCGGGCTGTTTTATCCAGATCGCCTCGACGGCGGGCATCAGGCCGCGCCCCGGCTTGACTTGGTACAACGCCTCCAAAGCCGCCGTGAGCAACGCGACCAAGACCATGGCGGTGGAATATGGGCCCAAACAGATTCGCTTTAATTCCGTTTGCCCTGTCGTGGGCAGTACCGGGTTGTGGGTCTCTCCGTTGTTTGTTCATACTTCTGCGTACCACAGGAGTTGCCTTGTTCTCACTGCTGACACTTTTGAACCTCCTTAAGAACACATCTTTTTATTGGGAAGCCCGACACCGAAGAGAACAGAAAGGGCTTCGTCTCGACCATTCCGCTCGGACGAGGAAGTACGCCAAAAGACGTGGCAAACGCTTGCTGCTATCTCGCTAGCGACGAGGCTGAATTTATCACTGGTGTTAACTTGGAAGTTGATGGCGGGCGATGTGTGTAGCGCGCCGACAGACTGCCATCACTGAAGGAAAAGAATGCTTGCTTCACGAGCCAACGGCGGTATCGAAGGAGGATACTGTAGAAGTATCGTTTCAATAGAATTTCGGTATTGGACTAGAGCATTGAGAACGCCACGGTGGCGAGTGTTGATTGATCCCTTCGGTGTCTTGACACCTGCCAGAGGAGTTTGATGTGTAGGACGGTGTGGTAGTACTCCATATAAGATATCTAGAAGACTTTGCTATTTCGTCAAATGCAATGTTCGAGTCAGTCACAATGTTTTGCTGCCTTACGGCATGACACCACCGAATGACCTGATGCTCAGAACCAACATAACCTGCAAAACGCGCTGTCTGATCTGCACCTTAGACATATCAAGGAGACGCTGCCCCCAGGCCAAGACAGGACTGGAATCTTGGACACGTTTGAACCCGTTCAGGGGAAATATGCCTCTTTGGGCATAAGGTATAGTGTGGTCGCCCGTTTACGTGAAGACCAGCTGTGCTCTCGTTAATTTCAGGGATCTTTGGGGGACAGGAGGTGGCTCAAAACACTGACATATTAGAACCGACCTTCGACAACGCATGTGTCAGCACGGAGTCTGAGCGTCAACGACGGTTACGACAATCGCTTTGAGGTCTGGTCAAATGTACAAAGCGAATTCTAGACCCTCTCTCCACCGTGTCAGATTTCGCAAAAGGCAATTTTTGATAGCGTGGGAGGACTCAAAGTTCATTGAGTGACACAGACCGGGACCGTGGGCGGAGGGCAACACATACTGGGTTGCAGTGAGGTTGTATCCGCTCCGCAACGCAGCCAGCCATATGTCAAATTCGGATGCTGATTATGACATGGCAGCGGCTGCGAGTCTCTGAATCGTGGAACCCCCTGTTCTTCGGGAAGGTTGTCGGAATGAATTGGAGCTCGAGGATCAGTGAATCAACGGGGCCGACGAATGACCTCAACATGCTTGATCTTTCAGCAGTCGAATTTGGCAAATCGGGCTGAATATGAAATTATGCTGGTGTTGAGACATCATGCTGCCGGTGTGGAGAGTGACTCCTGCAAAGACACGATCACTTTCCACTAATCAGCATCGAGAATACTGTTGTGTGTTGCAGGACACCCTCACATTGCGATCAGCAAGCATCACAAGGACGCATGGACGACCGCCACCTCTTGTCCAGTCAGCCACTGTCCAGTATATTGTCTTCTGACCTAAAGCCAGCCTGACCCAGAGAAGGAGGGCCAAGTTGATGAACCAATCATCAAGTATTGTCGCGCCATGGGATAGGCAGGTTGAGACCGAGTCTGACGCTTCCCACACCCTCAGGCCAGCAAGTCACTGCCGATTCCAGAATCTGAAAAGTCATTCCAGAAGCATGTTCGTGGGCTATGATTCGTCCAGAGTCAGTCCAGACTATTGAGTCTGCGGAGAAATTCTGCACCACTCATTGCAGTTCAGGCCAAGGTTGGCACTCCTTGGACTGGCCTAGACGGGCAACTCGGGTGTAACGGCGAAGTGGGAGGTCGAAGCCCTGTCAAAAGCGTGGGAAACAGCGGGAACTTACTTTGTCGACCTGGTTGGACGTGTCCGTAGACATTCGAATGGATGCTGATGCTCATGCGGACGGGTGCCTGACGAATTCTGAAGCCCCGGAGAGTCCGTCGGGAAAGATTAACCGCCAAAGTGCTTCAAATGAGAAGTCGTCCCTCTGATGCAGGTACCAGAAGTGAGCGGGGGACAGTCATTCGAATCGCTTAGCCGTAGGTCCGTAGTTGATCTCCTGTGCCGCTGCTCGGCTTTAGGAATTGGAAAGGAGACCATTTTTACAATGGCTCCGAATTTTGTGTCAAGCTCACTGATGATCTGCGGACTGAGCAGCTCTGGTGGCTCTGATGGATAGAAGGTGTGGGACAGAGAATGAAAAGGTTTTTTTGGGAGGTGGAAATCAAAGTCTTATCCGGGAGCCGTGATTGAGCAGTCAAAAGGCAATGTCAAGCCAACGAGAGAAGAAAAGTGTGTGTTTCCACAATTCCGCAATTCCCCAACATTTCGATATTTGTACGAGGTACTCGGTATGTATGTAATAATACTTCCCACCTCTTCTAAATCGTTACCTCTGGGATGGCACTTGGGTACGAGGTAGGTATAGACGATAGTGAGACGCGATAGCGAGTCCGAGTTCGAGTTGCATCTGCGACCACTTCTGTAAGCGAGGCAACTGAGGCTTCTGTTTGGCACGCAATAATTTTATCGACCCCGTGTCCTTGGTTGTGTGGGAATTGGCTTCAGGGGCCTGGAAGAGAGCGTCGCGGCGCATGGGCTTTTCGATAATCATGGTGCTGGTAAAGAGTATGGATGGGGGACTCGTAGTAGTGCCATACGAGTAATGATCAAGAAGCACTTATGCACAGCTAACAAAGACAATCACCAACCGTTGCCTTTCTTTGACAGACTAGGGCTTCGCTTTGATGCATGAAGGAGACCTAAAGGACCAAAAGTCAAGCACCCTGGCAAGTTCCAGCCTCTGACCACTTGTTATTTTGTTTTTGAGGACCAGACTCGATTTGGGGAAGGAAGGGCAGGAAGGGGGAGGCCTAAGCCTAAAATGCGCCTTGCTGGTTGCCGTTCCGAAGTCCAGGTCTCTCGGTGGCATCTGCCCCGGAGCAACGGTGGAGCCAGGACGCTGGTAGCCTGGCCACTACTGGCACCTGGCACTTGGTGCGGGCATGCCCAGCTCTGTCTCCAGGCTTTCGGGCTGGTGTTGCGGCGAAGGATGAGAGCCACTGTGGGCACCAAGACAGAAAGGGTCATGATCCCGCGTCTCCCCGGTCGTTGCCGTTCCAAGGGTCGTTGATCGTCTTCCCACCTCCCTCTTCCTAGGTAGAGTACCAGCCCAATGTCCGAAACTCGATGCTTTGGAGGCCGCCCAAGTTTCGGGTTCAGGCGTGCGCCCGGGGGGGTTGGACCGCCCGGAGACTCTGGCCATGATTGGCATTCCTGGGCGTGTCTCTTGTCCATTGAGAGTGCCTCTGGTGGGCTTCATTCCCCATTCTTTCTGGTTCACTAGGCTGCTCTATACTCGCCGTCTCCCTCGGGTAACCAGTTTGTTTGTCCCTGCAATCTATCGCCGTTCCCATGGCCATGTCCTTGGGACTCCCTGTCAACCACGTTGAAAAGGACTTGCTGAAACCTGTCAAAGATCCTAGTAACTGAGGTATGCACATCCTCTCGTCATCTGTATGCATGATCCCATATGTCAGCTGCTTCCTTAATATTTCCTCTACATTATTATTCATTATTGCACAGAGTCGCGACCGCTTCGGCCGGCTCTAGGCAGAGAGCCCAAGAAAGACAAAATGGGTGGGTGCAGGCAGTGTTTGTATGACTTTTGAGTCCGTAATGCAGAATCTGTGACAGATTCAGGTGGCACAAAAGCCTCCCCTTGTAAGGGTAACACGTGTGCTACGGCATCAACGGGGTATCTGGTCGCACAAAGCAAGATATGCATGCTGGGGATCAACAACCCGGCCTCGCACGAATCTGGGTTGCAATTTTACCAGGATTCATCATGAGATCAAAGTTGTCCAAAACCACGCCCAAAGTCTAGAGCCGTGTGAGCATCCTTCTCCTATTAACCAGCACGAGGACCAACACGAGCCCATGGCCTGTGCATCAGTCCACCCCCTGCCATTTGGAACCATGTTGCTCGTGGACCGACCGGATTCTTCAGCTGTCCGAGATGAGACTAGGTTGACGAGTAAACTTGTCATGCTGCCGGAAAGGTCCTGGTTGTCTATCAACACAGTCAGTAATTGTAGTGAACAAACAGTGTATTGTCGAGTACCTCGTACATGCCACCTGCTTGTATATCAATCAGTGGTGGCGAAGCAACCTCACACAACCACAACCACAACATGGGTCTTTTTTACTTTGGCAGTGATGCAATGCCTCGAAGCGGTAGGCTGGCAGTGGCAGTTGTTGCTAGCGGCTGAAGCTCCAACATTGAACTCTGAAGCCTCTTGCTTTTTCAGCGCAGGATCTGCCCTACCTCTCCAATCAACCATCTTTGTCCCACTGGTGAGGCCCACAACAGCGGGGGGGATAACCGACCGAAATGCACCAGGGGGTGTGAAGCGCAGAGCGGTTTTCCCCAAAGTGTTCATGGCGGCCATGCACCTGGAAGAAGGGCGAGGGAACGTGCGCAATTTAGCCCACACACCAAGAGTCCAGGCTAGCGAGTACGAGCAGGATCGTCTAACACTAGGCATAAGATAGCCAGCAGCAGATGTCCACCCATCCATCCCCTGAGAGTCGGGGAGTCTGCCAATGGCATTCGCTAGGATGTACTCGTAAAGAATCTCTTTCTGCAGTGCACATGCTCGTGGAAGTCCGTGCCTTATTGCTGGTAGTACAACCGGGTTGACAACAGTAAGCAGAGGAACAAGGGGAGGCCTCCGACGGGGAAGGATTCATAACAATAGCTGGTAGGAGCAGGAGCAACAGCAGGCTTCGTAGTGGGCATCGCAGTGGGCATCGGGCCCGCCCCAAAGTCCCGAATGGAATGGCCTTGGGGGGGCAAGCACTGGGCCGCTGGGCAGTTAGTGGGAGGCCCATGATTCTGACCCTGTTAGGCGTACGAGGAGTGGAGCGCAGCCATGGGGAAAGCCTCCTCGCAGGCTAGGCCCAAAGCCAAAAGCACCATCCCAGGGCACCGACAAGGGCCCACCAGGGCTAAATGACCATTGACCACTGACCAGAGACAGGAGGGCAGCGCTGGCCCGCTGGCCCGCTAGGCTGCTTCGCCTACCATGCTGGTGCTGCTGCCGGCGCATGGTCCTGGCGTCTGGGTGCTTGTCGGTGCCGCTTTTCCATATTTTCGCTGGCGCTGTTCTTCCTGGCTCCCCGGCTGCGACGTCGTTGCATCCCCATCTGCACCTCTTCTTCTCAGTCTTTCCCACTCTTCTCGCAGCTCTTCTGCTTCATTCCTACCCTCGCTGTCGCTCGCCTCGTCGGCAGGGGAACGTTACCAAACCCACCCTCCTCCGATCCTAGCATTCCATCTCTTCTGCCTTCGAACTCTTCTCGTTAGATTTTGTCCGTCTCCGGGCATTGGAGGGTCTAGAAGGGAAAAGATATTTTGTTGCCTGCTCCCAACATTGGTCGTGACAGTCCGGCTCAATCAGTGAGCGAGAAGAGTCCCAGTTGTCTGGCTCCTCAAAAACCTTGCATCCCTCAGTCGCATTTGGTGTCGAAGCAAAACTCGCATCCGCTCTCCCTCCACCAAACCCGAATCCTGCGATCGACCATTGTTGGGACATTCAGCAAGGCACGGTCCACGCTGACACGGTCATCCCTCTACCTTTCCACTGGGTGAAGAAACCGGAATACGTTTTCGATTCAACGGCGCAGGAAATAACAGGGAACTTAAGCTTCTGGTTGTCTATATTCGTCGGGATCCAGACTTTGAGCGCATGCGATCCGGAAATATTGTCCGCTTGGCCTCTTGGTTGATCTCGACAACCACTAGACCCGGACCTCGTCGTGGTCCAGCCATTGCACAACCAGCAAGGAAGAAACGACTCGGGTGATAGGTTTTGGTCTGATTAAATTGTGGTGGAGCTTTGGATTCTGGTCAGTACTTTTCACTTTCCCAGTGGTGTTTCTTTTGTGTTCTTGCCCGTTTGGCGCTGCCAGCCTTCTGCGTCAACCGTATGCGTCTCGAGCTACCAGAAGGAAGGAGAGACTCGAGGACGACGGTTGGATTCGCGCTGGCCATTTGGCGGGGCTGGGCTCCAGGATACCTCTCTATGGATTGCCCAACCTCCAGGACGTTGGAATCGCTCCGTATTGTCTACATGTATTTCGTATCCTGCTTCTTAGAATTCATCCTGTCTCCAATACAGCATGTCTTCTCCCATTGATAGAGATGCCGCTGACACCGCCAACATGGATAGTGCCCAGAAACTGCCGGAGAAACTGTCGCCAGTTGATACGTCGACGACTACCCGTGACTCGGATCAAGGCCTCCCAGCGCTCAAAGACTGCCTGGGCCACGAGTTTGATATCAACAATCTACGACAAATCCTACCCCAAAAACCACGTCCTTTCATACCGGGCCTGTTTGTACCGGGCATCTCGGTCCTCTATCTTGACGGGCTACCCATTCGAACCTACAATATTTGTGGTATATCATACAACATGCAGCAACCTCCTAACGAGACGAGGAGCTCCGTCAGTAGGTTCACCATCGACAGGAGGTGCATCAAATACTCGCTAGAAGTCGTGCAACAGCCAGAAAAAGCTCGAGCATGTGGATCTGGACCCAGATGTATGTTAACCGCACCGCCTTTGAGAATCTCTACTAACGTACGAAAGCATCAAATGACCGGAGACCAGTAGACCCACCTCCGGTTGTCGAACTGAAGGTGTTTATCAATGATGTCGACACCACGATGCAGTACGATGCCACCTTCATGCTCTATGCCAGTTTGGAAGTTGCTCGGCCGATAGCAGGGGGTAAAATGCACGTCCCGCCCGCTATTCCCGTATTGGCCGGGGTCACAATAGCCAGTGCCGCTTATCTGGAAAAGCCGAAACGAGCCGCCTACTTCATCTTTCCAGATCTATCCGTCAGACATGAAGGCTGGTATCGGCTGAGGTTCTCGCTGTTCGAGGGGGTGAAACACGACCAGGATGCCGATATCGGAAAGCCGTTTAACCGCACCGAGAGAGACGGGGATAATTTGACGGCGCCTGTCCGTCACGAAGGCGTCTTCAATCGGATGGAAGTCCTGTCCACTCCATTCCAGGTCTACAGCGCCAAGAAATTCCCAGGACTCAATCAGAGCACGGCTCTAAGTATGATGGTCGCCGACCAAGGCTGCAGAGTTAGGATTCGGAGAGACGTCCGGCAAAGAAAACGACGGCAGAAGTCTGGAGGCGAAGGCGATGACGCTCCGAGCTCCTACCAGGGCACCCCCCAACCCACCTATCGCAACCTCGACCACTCCAGATCAGTCAGTCGCAATAGCATTGGCACTCAGCACGAGAATGAGTTACAAAATCGCGATCCCGCCGAAGCCCTCTGGGCTCGCCAGGACGCTGCAATGCGGGCGCGACTGTTGGCTTCCAACCACTCGTCGATAGCGGCACCCAGTGCTGTACTACCTTCACCTACCACATCGATGCCTCCACCTCCTGTATACAATCCCGCTCCTGCACGAAGGCCATCATTCGACAATCGGCCCAAGCCCTTGCTCACTATGCCGATCCCCCGACCCTCGCAGCCTTCCTCTGCTGTGCCCAACCAGTCGTCGGTTCCAAGACCCATGACCCCAGACACCGAGAGAAGTCTTACTCTGCCGCCGCTGAGATTTCCCGGTGCGAGCACGTCCAAACCCGATTCACCGGGTCTCAGATACAATATGCCAGCACCTACAGCAATGAAGAGGACATTCAGCCCCGGATCCTCTATCCAAGAGACATCCTTGAAAGATGGGGCTCGACCTGGGATGCCTCCTGCCCATTGTCCACCACCACCCCCTCCGAGTGGTAGCGATATTATCGAACCGGATGTCAGTGGCGATGGGGATGACGACGATGAAGAGGCGGAGTTATTCGCCGATGCATTGATATACACGCGGGCGGACGGTACCAAAAGCTACAGATACCGTCCAGGAACCAGTTATTTTCGGTAATGGAGACTAGCAGACTGCCACATACGTCTCAGACGCCTGCCTCTTTCTGTCTGTGTCGTAATGTACTTGGAGTGGCATTTTCGACGTGATTTGGGTTCACATGCACACGGGTAATCAGGACACACAGGACACACGGGTTTGGGCGTCTTCGAAATTGCACAATAAAAAAATCAGCGCTAAGCCTTTGGCCTTTGATGCACCAGTCTTGTTCTTTGGACTCTTTTCGACTCAATTTCTTTGGAAGAAGATACGTGTCCTCTGGCACTTGTTTTTCGTTTGCGTTATCTTCTCGAGGAAGCGGTGCGGACAAAGAGCGACCAGGCGCATCTAGTGGAGCCACATGAAGTTCCAGGGGCCAAGACCGGCATGGGTCGACGGAGTGTTCTTCCAGATAGCAAGCTGAGAGAGGCGCTACTGGAATTACATCAAGGTCGCCACGTGGAAGCACATGAAACCAGTCTCGCGGGTAACCAGCCAGATCAACCGTTTTGGATGAGAATGGAGGAGACTAGACGGCAAGCTGTCTTTGTCTGGGTGTTATTTCCGACTTACACCGTTGGAAAGATGGGGGAGGTGGCCATGACGGACCAGAAGAAGACGCATTACATCTAGCGGTCCCATGTGGTGTTCATGAACAGAAGCAGCTTGGGCATTTACAAACTGATATCTCACTCTATATTGCAGTTCTCTCTATATCTGTGGTCTGTATGTGACGAGGTAGATCCTGTCTTCATACGAGCGGTGTAGTACCTCGCAGGGTCATGGTTCTCTTAGATGTTCCTGAATTGGCCACGTAGCCCATGGGTGGATATACTCGGTACAGGCTCGGTATAGGCTCTAGTGCAAGGGTCCCCTCCTTGTTCGAGGTGTCCTTTTTCTCCCATGGTCATACATACATGCATCAGGGGCGTTGAATGTGAAAACCTCCCACCGACAGGTCGATAGCGTTAGATTTGACAGTGTGCTTCTCTTTCCCTTGTCCTTCTTCCGCTGCTCCTTCATGTTCGTCTCGACACGTCCAAACTCAGACTCGGACTCGAGATCGTGCCGTCCATCTTCACTCTTCCACGGTCTGTGAATCCCTACTAATACCCACTTCCCCAATTCCAGTTCCAGGCCCCGTCTCAGTTCCAGGGACGTCTTCTGTCCAGACTACAGCGTCCAGAGATGGTGACGACCAGATAGAACGAGAAAAGAACAAGTGATATGGTATGTAACAGCACAGCACAGCACAGCACAGCACAGCACAGCGGGTGGATGAGGTAACACGGTACACTCACTCATGGTGAAATGTGACTTAGCATGGCGATGAAATCGATTTCTCTCCCCGAGCATTGACAGGGTGGGAATGCTTTCTGCGAGCGCCTAGGGTGAGCAGGAGGAGGAAGATATGTCCCAATATCAACGCCGCAGGAGCTGCGACATCAGATTCTGGGAGGTTCTCGGTCCATGGCACGTCTTATAAACCCTCTCGTCGTTGTCGTGGATTCCTGATCGATGATCAATGCGAGGATAATGCCGTAAATGCCGTGTGTACTCGGTACAAGTACTGCCTGCCCAGCGAGGCAGCAAAGATTGATGGGCATGCATGTGCAACCCGCTCTCATGCTCTGACAACACGCCGACCATTCGAGAGTCTCTCCCTCTCTGTCTCTCTATCTCGCCCCCAGGCTCGACAAGGTATGGTATGGTATAGTGTGCTTGGCCTCTTGTCTGCCATGTTGTTATTTCTCCTGGGAGTCACACCATCCTTTCTTTCTTTCTTCCTTGCCCCGCCTGCTGGCATGCTTGCTTACCTGCCCCAGCGCGCCATACATGGTCCGTACCCCCTGGTGTCCCGGATTATGGATCCGACTCCTGTTTCCGGGGACCTGAACAATAGATAACAAAAGGGTTTATCCATTCATGCACCTGACTGACTGACTGACTGACTGGCCGACTGTGGAGGTCCAGTGGGGCACCTACCTAGCAGGATGCTCTGCCCATACCCGTATGTCCGTATGTAGAGGGCAGAGAGCATACATACAACCCCGGAAATACAGTCCGAACAAATTTGGCTACCTAGAGATGCCTGCGACCCCGTTGTCCGTTGTCCGTTGTCCGTTGTCCGTTGTCCGTGCGTCCCCCAAGATAGGCAGGCTGGCAGGATCATCTTCGGTTTTGGCAAGTCTCGTCAACATTACCTCGTGCATTTCATCACGTCCGTCGATCACAGTGATGCGTACGACATCCAACGACCACGTCGGAAAATAACTCCGGGGATGAACAAGTTGTGGGTAAGAGACTCGGTGCCCGTTGGAAGAAGAGCCGCTAAAAACGAAAGTAAGCTTTTGAAATTGAATGGTGACGAGATAGGTTCGAGTCAATGACCGGAAGTACGATTCGGGGGAAAATGATTGGATGGATCATCTTAGGAGGTGCTGACGGAGATATCACTATAAGGATAGTGGGAGGGGAGTTAATCTGGATTGGGTACTAGTGAGTATGAACGAGGACCTCGTAATTGGCGAGTAATGAACGGAGTTCATCTGATATTTGTGCCTCGGAGCAGACAGAAAGAAAGACAGACAGAAAGACGGAGAGACCGCTAGATCTAGTATCCGGCAAAGGGGGAAAATATGGGTCTGTCCGTAAATCTATTACAGAGGCAAATGCGCTTCATCGGTGACCCTCGCGCGGCCCCTTGGCACTTTGGTATCCAGAGAAACCCTCCTCCCAGAATATGCCCGGGTGTATCTCTTTTTTTTTTTCATTCCCTCGACCGTAGACCTCAGATGTTTGTCAAGATGTCAGTGTCGCCCGCAGGACCGCCCACGACTACTATGATGTCGACCGCTGTAGGTCGTCAAGCAGAGCCTCCGCAACACCTCCTCGATCCCGATGCTTCCAACGGTGTCCCGCGACCCCTCCTACCCCGGCTGCAGAGTTTGACGACCGCCTCGTTCTTGGGCATGATGAAATCCCCGAAAATCGACAAACGGGCTCGCACCAACGTCACCGTCGCCTGCGATGGATGCAAGCGGGCGAGGGCAAAGTGCGACGGCAAGCAGCCCTGCCAGCGGTGCACCAGACGGTCGTCGGGCTGCAGATACGACCAGGCCCACGACCGTCGACAACATCGCGGATCAAACGAGGAGATACAGGCGCTGACTGCGCGGCTGATTCGCTACCAGCGCGTCATCTACCTGCTCCGCAACTCCTCCCCCAGAGACGCAGCGTACATTCTCCAGCGCTTGAGGTTGACATCCGACGCGGACGCGGACGCGGCGGGAGATCAGAAACCCCTTCCTCCCACCGACGTTACCTTTGTGGCCGCCGTGCAGTTCTTGCTGCAGACCGAGCACGACTCGCCCACGGCCACCAGTCTGGAGGAGACGGCCGCCTTGGTCGACTGTGTCAGGCGTGACATGGACGATGGTCCACCGCCGCAGCACTCACCAACCACACCCAAGAAGTCGTCTCCGGCCCCGCCTGGACGTAAGAATGACAAGATACCCCGCCCCAAGACTCACAGCAGGGCCGACTTTACCGTACAGGGCCTCTTGTGTCAGGAAGTCAGGGACGACGAAAACCCGTGGACGCAGCGGCTGACCTGACCGGTACATATTGAGAGAATGTCTTGTTCCCTTTTCTAGAGAGAGAGTTCTTGAGAAATTCCTTGTATAAAAAAAAAAAAACGTCGCACAGTGACTTTTCCTAGGGCGGCCCGAGAAGTGCGTCCGCATCCGCGTCCTCGCGGGCTGGTCATCAAGTCAAGTCAAGTAAAAATGTTTTGTATACGGAAGATCGTAGGAGCCACTGGCTGATTGACTGTTTCTATGCCATATTATCACGTGCCCAGCCACTCAGCCACCCCTGCCGTCCAGCTTGTGCCAGCCCAGGTGCCCAGGTACTCCGCGGAGATCGGAGATTCTTTCATCCAGTTGAGCCTGCCCATGCCCCTCACCAGTTACAGTTGGACTCGGGGCGCGAGGAACACCAATGACAAGGAAAGAGGAAGAGAGAGAGAAAAAGGGGTTTCATGTTGCTTGTGTTTATTATCTACAGCAGCATCTTTCGACGGATATGTCAACGAGACAAAGGGCTAGTCGTGCGAGCGTACCAGTACAAGTCCCTCGTATCCCCTCTCCCATTCTCCTATTAGGCTCTGTACAGGTATGTGAATTTAATTTCCGGACTCATAACTCTCAAAATAGCGAAGCTCCTCTCCTTCTCTGGTCTCTGTTACAGGGTTGTCCCCGTGCGGTGGCACCTAGGAGGCGATCCAAAGGGTACGGAAAGAGGCTGTCATCCCGCAGCTTGCTTGCTTGCTGCTTCCTGCTCAAGCCTTGACATGGGCATCCGCACTCGCCACGCCGCTGGATCCGTTGCTCGCCGTCCGGGCGAGCCTGCGCTTGCTGACGAGTCTGAGGCCGCCGACCAACATGATCAAGAGTTCGGCACCGAGGATGACCCCCAGGGTGACCATGGCGCCGATGACGCCGGCCACGGCCTTGCTGATGCCACCGCCGCCGTGATGCTCAGACGAGCTGGAGCTGGAGGATCCGACGGCCGTGGAATTGTCGTCGCCCAGCGCGCTGGGGCTGCACACGCCGGTGGAGTTGCCGCAGGCGCTGCACCACTGGGCCTGCGAGCCGATGGCGAATTTGTTCGAGAACTCGACGAACTCGGACCACGGGATCGGGGAGCGGTTGGTGCCGAACAAGGGGAATTCGACCGGCTCGCTGATATTCGAGGTGGTGCCGTTGTGGAAGTAGAAGCGGACGCTGATGTCGTCGGCCGAAGGGAAGGCGGCGCCGCTCCCCACCGTGGCGTTCGTCACGAGCTCCCACACGAGGCTGGACGCGTAGTCGGGAACGCCGTAGAAGAGCGGGCTGGTGGCCGTGAGGTTGGCGAGGCCAAAGTACGAGAGCATCCCGGCGTAGGCGCCGAACTGGATGTTGAACACGTTCTTGCCCTTGCCCGCGATGGTGCCGTTGAGGGCCTCGACCACCTGAGCGGCTATGATCGAGCCGGTAACGGCACGGATGGGTTCGCTCTCGTTGTACGCGAGGCCCCATTCGTGTTGGTCGGCCAGGGTGCGGAGTTGGAAGAAGTCGGCATCGTCGGGGAGCGCGACGCTGGCGTTGTGGATGCTGGCCACGTTCAGCAGGTCGAAGATGGTGTATGCGTTCTTGAAGCTGGTCTGGGATTCGGTGTAGGTCCGGTTCACGAAAGGTTGCATGTCCGCGTAGAAGCCCTTTGTGCGGTTCAGGGTGGACTGGTATTCGTCGCTCAAGAAGTAGTTGTTGGAGCTGATCTGGGCACTAGATCATAGAAACACGACACATAAACACATTAGTATATGATCTTTCTTGTTCGCTTCCACTTCGGAGCTTTCTCACTAAAGTGTGTCAAGCAGCCTGCCCTGTCCGGAGGAAGGGACAGGCAATGCTAGTCCGGAAAAAAAATGACAAAGGAACTCACTTGGCACAATTTGTCGCCCCTTGCAGCCAGGCAGCGTCTTCACTTCCGGCGCCGTTGGCAACCGTCTGCACGGGAATCAGTTGGTAGCCGTTCAAAGGTGTCTGCACGACAGTGCCATTGCGAAGTGTCTGGCTGCCCAACGTCGCGCCGACCGGTGGGTAGAGGCCTTGGAGGAAACCCATGGCGGATGGCATGAGGACATTGTCGAGAGGCGCTGATGCGGTGATCTGAGACAGCTTGACCGTGTCGGGCTGGAGGCCGAAGATCCGACGGCTGCCATCACTGGCGACGTAGCGGTTGCGATAGTAGGTGCCCGAGGTGAAGACTTCCTGTTATTTATTCCCGTTAGTCAAATTGCGACTCCCATCTTAAAAGAGCAGCTGATAAGAAGAGCCCGGTGGTTCGACAACATACCTCATAGCCAAGGTCTGTGAGAACAGTTGGTGGTGTCGCCTTTGCAGTCCTATCTCCATGTCTGGAGAAGAGGTAGACACCGAGGACGGTCTCGGCGGCCGCAGTGGAGCATGCCACGGAGGCGAGGAGAAGAGCTGAGCTGCGCATGGTGACGAGAGCTGTTGTGATGGTAGAAGAATAGGTATGAGCGAGGGATCCTTTCAGAATGCTAGAATGTCACACCACCAGATTCCTGCTCTAGAAATCCTCTGATCTGCACAGCGACAGTATAATGAAAAGAAGTCAGAACTATACCTTTGGCCAGTAGCAAACACCACCTTTGGTCGACACGAGCTTGGTGTTGCGTCGTCAAGTGTATACTTCGAGGCTGAGGAGAAGGAGAAGGATTTCAATTTCTGGGCAGGTCGGGCTCTCCTACCGTAATAAGTACATGTTCAGCGAGGGCGACGGGGAATTGTCTTATCGCTCCGCAACTCGCGCGAGGGGTCGCACGATCACATGTGGAAACAGCAACAAGAGGAAAAGTTTTACCCCGCGGACATCATACCTCGTAGTCGGACATGGCCGGCTCATTCCTAGTTGCTTTTAGCAAGGAATGCGACGTTGAAATCAAAAGTGGGTATCGGTGATCGAGAGATGGGGGAATGAAAGCCCAGCCGAAATATCTCTGGCCGGCACACATTACCTTGGCGGGACTGCGTGAGAACCCTTGAGTGTGCCAATGAAGAGAGGTCGCAGGTTCTTCAAGGGAGGAGCATCAAGACTCTGGAGTAGCCGAAGTGGGTAGCTTAGCCCTGGAAGCCAATGCGAAAAGCTTGAGCTGCTGGAATGCTGGCATATCTAGAAGTAAGAGACACTGGTGGCGCTCCAGGCTGACAATGCAGATGTGCTGTACCCCTGAGCAACAAGGGTATTGGTTGGTGGCAGGTTGCGTGGCAAAGACAAGATAGACGAAGAGGAAGAGCCACAGCACGACGAGGAACCTCCCTCCGTGTCGTTAGATCACTGCCCAACAGAGACCAGACAAGCAGAAGATCGCTGATCGTAAGGTGAGTGAGGGGAAAAGTCCGGGTAAGAGTAGCAAAATCAATGGCCAAATGAACAGAGCCCGGAAAAGACGGAAGCCCACGAAGCTAGAGCCATCACAGCCCATCAGAGGCTTAATCTTGACCCTGGCTTAACTGGATAGCCGAATACCCACCAAAACCTACCCCAAGAGGTCGAAGCTTCGGGTGAATGAGCTGCCTTGGGTCTGTTGGAAGACACAAATAAGCGGCACAACCGGCCATCAATTCATGTTTGCCTCTGCTTCGATGCTAGACTCCGCATATCATGGCTATGACTCGGTCACGACTGATGGTATTGACACCTGTAGGCGAAGAGTCTTTTGACGAGCGAGGTCCGGGGAGAATAGCCCGTGGAAAGGGAAAATGCCCAATGGCACCAAGGGAAGAGTCGGTATCGGCGCTCCCTGCAAGTGGTGAGGCTCCCTAGGGACATCTACCTCCGCGAAGACTCCCCCAGACTTTGCAAAGCGCTGCTGTCTTTCGGGTGAACGAGGAGCACCAAAGGGAGAGGCAGGTATTAATAATAGCAAGACTCCGAGACGAGGCAGCGATCTCGGAGTTCCCCAAATTAGCAAAGTGGCTGCCTCCACCGCTCTCGAACCCTGGTTTCGAGATTGTCTCGGAGATTCGACGTTGCCTTCTCGTTTGTTCCTGTCTGGAGTCTCTGTTCTGCTTGCATCTGCGGTTTTGGGTGATATAGACGGGGTAGTCGTCTTATAGATGATATGCAGTGTATTTCGAGAGCGTGGCGTCAGGCTTCAAGCCCATCTCTCTCACCTCGAACCCTTTTGAGGGTCCATCAGCCTCCTGAAAGACAGCCGCCGCAATGGATGTCTCGAGTTCACATACGCAACCTCCACCAGCGCCGGAGGGCGACCACCTCATCGCTGAAGGCCATGAACAACAAATTCGAAGTAATCGATCACCAATATGACGCCGTGGTAGTTGGTGCAGGAGTAAGTGTTCTGAAGTCGCTTCTAGGCGTCGTTCTAATTTTTTTGCGCGGACTGTTGCCGTTGCCTCTGAGCCCCAACTTCTGGGGTGCTGGATTGTCTTCTCTTTGACCTGACTACTGATGAGAGATTGAGGGGAAAATAGGGTGCGGGACTTCGAGCTGCTGTAGGTCTTGTCGAGAGCGGACTTGATACGGCTGTGGTGACCAAACTGTTCCCAACTCGATCTCATACTGTGGCCGCCCAAGGGGGGATAAATGCCGCGCTGGCCAAGTAAGTGACATTCTTCAGATCGGTCGAATATCACCCAACTAACGCTTGCAAAGTATGCACGAGGATGACTGGAGATGGGTAAGTCACAAGCACGGCGAGAGTGCCTTTGTGTCAATGTTCCCAAGACAGATGCTGATTGATTCTGTTGATCGACTCCAGCACATGTACGATACAGTAAGTTGACCACCCAGGCCCCTACCCAGTGATGCACGAACCATATTCGAGTCACTGTCCTCGAAATGGACTTCCAGAGTAACCCAGTCCAGGTCAAAGGGTCAGATTGGCTGGGTGACCAAGATGCGATCCATTATATGTGCCGCGAGGCCCCCAGAGCCGTAAGAGAACTCGAGGAGTACGGAATGCCTTTCAGTCGTACCGATCAAGGCACGATCTACCAAAGACCCTTGGGAGGACAGAGTCTGAATTTCGGCACCGGAGGACAAGCCCATCGGACCGCGTGTGTGGCTGATAGAACTGGCCATTCTATGCTGCATACCTTATACGGCCAGGCCCTCAAGCATAACTGTCAATTTCATATCGAGTGGTTTGCATTGGACCTGATTATGGACGGCAAGGACTGTATTGGCCTGACGGCACTCGACATGGAAACAGGCACCTTTCATCGCATCTTTGCCAGGAACACGATTCTCGCCACGGGAGGCTATGGCCGCTGTTACTTTAGTGCAACGTCGGCACATACCTCAACCGGAGACGGCTTAGCAATGGCTGCAAGAGCAGGTCTTCCCCTTCAGGATATGGAATTTGTACAGTTCCACCCCAGCGGCATTTATGGCGCTGGAGTCCTGATTTCAGAGGGCGCTAGAGGCGAAGGCGGATACCTGCTAAACGGCGAGGGAGAGCGTTTCATGGAGCGTTATGCGCCAACAGCTAAAGACCTTGCAAGTCGTGATGTCGTCAGCCGGAGTATGAACATGGAGATCAGAGAGGGCCGGGGTTGTGGTCCAGACAAGGATCACATCTTCCTCCAACTGTCACATCTGCCGAAAGACATCCTTATGGAGAGGTTGCCGGGAATTGCAGAGACTGCCAGTATTTTCTCGGGTGTAGACGTTACGAAACAGCCGATCCCCGTTCTACCAACCGTGTAAGTCTTCCCTTAATTGCTCGAGAAACGCAAACTGACCGGTTGAAGACACTACTGTATGGGGGGCATACCTACCAACTGGAAAGGCCAGGTTCTAGAGGTGAATCCAAGCACCGGAGAAGAGACCCCGGTCAACGGTCTATACGCGGCCGGAGAGGTCGCATGCGTCTCGGTGCACGGCGCTAACCGTCTGGGAGCAAACAGCTTGTTAGACATTGTCGTCTTTGGCCGAGCTGCTGCCGGCCACATCGCTGAACATAACGAGAAAGGCATGCCAGTCTTCAGGCATGGGGGCAGCATCTCACCGCAAATGGGAGTGGAGGGATTCGTGGACCTGGAACACCTACGAAATGCAGATGGAAAGAAGTTGACCTCTGAGCTCCGCGCTGAGATGCAGAAGAATATGCAGAACGACATAGCGGTCTTTCGAACAGAAGAGAGTTTGAAGACAGGCCTGGAACACCTGCAACAAGTGGAAACCGACTTCAATACAGACGTCTGCGTCAAAGACAAAAGTCTGATCTGGAATTCCGATCTCGTGGAGACATTGGAGCTGCGGAACCTTTTGACATGTGCTGCACAGACTGCCAGAAGTGCTCTTGAGAGAAAGGAGTCGCGCGGCTCTCACGCTCGAGAGGATTTCCCGGAAAGAGATGACCAGAACTTCATGCGCCATTCTCTGAGTTGGCAGAAGGACGTTGGCCATGCCATTGCCATTGGCTATCGAGATGTGATTTTTTCCACACTCGATGAGCAGGAATGCCAGACTGTGCCACCGAAGAAGAGGACGTACTGAGCGGAGAATCATTGACTGAAACCATAATCCATGTACTCAGTACACAAATTGAGCAAAGAAAAGGGTTATCAAACGCTCATTTTGTGGTAAACTTTGTAAACTGCGCTTTGACGGTATCTGCTCCGCTGCTACGGGTGACTATTCATACCGCAGTTGAACTGGATTTTCGACAGCAAATATCACCGCAACCTCCGATTCAATGAAATGAAATGCGCGTGCTGCCAGTGTAACATGATTTTTGCACCTCATTACTTACGCTTTTGAGGCACCGGTATTCTCCATGTCTTCAAGAACCTCTACGTCTGGCCGCATCGTCGGTGACCTCCTCCGAACCTCCAAACAAGGCCCATCCTGCGACCATCTTCGCTTTCGACAAGCATTCTGCAAAAGCCCCCGACACTCGCGCCATGTTTCTACCGCAGCTCCTCAATTCTCCGAAATGGAAGTCGACGCAGAGAAGCCTCCGCGTTGGTCCCAAACTCCTCCTGCACTGAAAGCCCCTGTGCGCGTACGCCCACCGCGGATACAAACGCCTCTCAAGATCAACAAAGATCAGCGGAAGCTGGATGATTTCTACGTCAAGTTTTTGGGAAGAGATGGGGACAAAATGCTGTCAGAAGAGACCAAATGGCTAGCTGTCACAAACAAGAGTTTCGATGCTGGACGGAGAGGGTTCAATGACCGGCTTGCATTTTTCGGTACAGGAATACTCCTTTCCCTGCCGATCTACGTAGTGCAATACTGACGGGTGGTTATAGGCAAGCGTATACTCGAGCTCCAGTGTTCGCTAGGACTGATAAGCGTCGCGGATGCTTCACGCTACCCAAAGAGCCAGGAGCAGGATCCTTATGGACGGCAACCTTTTCGACACCCTGCAACCGAGTCCGTAGAGTGCCTCCTGGGGGGGGCTCATCATTGGTTTACAAGTCACAAGCAACTCTCGACGTTGGCAGAGCAATACGGTCTACCGGAAGTGGTACGGTGGCATCCTAGGGATGTATGTTACTCTGACCGAATCCTCTGGTCGTACACCCTCACTAACCGCGTCACAGCCCGAACGTCTTCAAGCATCTGGCTCGGAACTGGTCTACTCACAAGCGATCCTCGCAATCATCGGCGCTCTAGCCCTGGAACAAGGCGGTGCCGTGGCGAACCAAATAGCAAAGGAGAAGGTGCTGGTGCCTCTTGGGCTGAAATTAAATTGGAAACCAAAGGCAGAGCTGGCGCAGCCGTAGCCGCAACGTTGGGGTATCTATTACTCGCACATGTGTATTAATAGCTATTGGCAATATACCGCCATCGCGGGGTATGTACAGGAGATAGAAGAAAAAATGTCTGGGGCCTCTGACACCGCCTAAGCAACCGTCGAAATAAAATATTCATGCTCAGCCAGCTCTTATGGCACCGTCCACAAAGTTAAAAAAAAAACTTCGATCGGTCTCCGCGTCTCTAAATCGCAAAGGTCGGCAACTGAGTAGAACCACGAGACTGCGAACAGAATGTTCACAGTCTCAGGCAAAGATGCTGCATTGCACTGTCTTTCGGGCGCGTTGGATATGGAAAAAGAGAAAAAAGAGGACAATTGGGCCAGAACATTTTTAATTAAGGCAAGGCTGTTTGGGTGGACCGGCTTGGCTTGGCGGCGGAAGACTTGTGAAAACTCTTGAATACCAATTCTTGATCCATAAAGTTTCCAACTCGTCAAGAAGGGCAAAGCCAAGGGCGCTGCAGCATTTCGGCAGGAGTTTCCTCTCTTCAGAATTCCAACGAATCATACACTTCATGAAATCGACAAAGAGCCCTGCATCTATGCCTTCGAGTCGCTCTTCCAGCTCCAAAGGAGAGACTGCCGTTCCCGTCCATTGAGCCGCTGAGGATTTCCGTCTCGATCAGCTTCGAAAATCTGCAAGAACCAAGAATCGGGACTACTCACTTGCTTCGTCAAAGTATTCACCTCGAACAGGACTCGAATCGAGCAGTTCCAGAGGAGGAGGTCCCAGAGTTGAGACCATCATTGCGAGACAGTCCCGTTCACTTTGATCGCCAAATAGCCTCTCGCCAAATAGTAGCTCCCATACCTATCCTGCTGTCAGCGGTCAGCCATTTCTAATTGATGGATGAGGGCAACCCAGAACACCAAGATTCCACATATCGATGCTAGAATTCCACTCCTTTCTCAAAACCACCTCTGGGGCTCTGTCTGGGACTGGCTGTGCGATTCCACTGTGGTTGCCAGAATCCAAAACAGCCATTCCAAAGTCACAGAGTATTGGGAACGTCAACTCGTTCCCATACTCCAAGGTTTGCGACGTATAGATGATCCTATTGTCGCCTGAGACTCGGCGCGGCCCGGGTTTGAGCTTCTCCGCACGTACGCAATTCTTCAGGATCCTTTCCTCGTCATCCGGGAGGGTTTGAAGAATGTTGTCGAGCTTCATGTCTGGAGGTTGTCAGACAGTGAAGTCAAATGGGGTTTGTATCATATTGACCTGTATGTGTCACGCCAGAGCTATGCAGGTAATCAAGGCCCATCAACAAGAATCTTGCGATGAAAGACACGGCAGCATCAGGAAACCGTTTGTCTTGCTGAAGATTGACATGGTCGAGAAGACTTCGTCGAAGAGGCGGATATACATGACAACAGTGCCTGCCCTGCCTGGCCTGAATGTAAAACGAGTCGGAAGTTCTTCTAACACAATAACGTCCATCATGCGATGATTTCTGTTGCTTCAGATGCTTCTGGACCAGAAACTCTCGGTCTTCACCTCGAATGCGAACCCCTATTTTCAAAAGCTTGAAAGAATTGTCCCTTTTGTCATTTAACATAATTTCGTGAGAAGAGATCGAGTATCTTACTGCAGATCTCGGGACACCTACACGGTAGAATAGCCTCCGAACCCTAACTCCGCGACTGCTTGATAGCGATCATTGAAGATCTCGTTCAAGTGGACAGGATAGTAGGTCGATTCCGAATAGTGTTTCAATGTCTCTTCCTCGATTCGATTTCTCTGTAGTGTATGTACTCGCCGCAGGGCAGGACGGTTCAGGGATCTCAGGAGCTGCCGAGATAGCATTTGGACGACCTGACAAGCTTGAGATTAGCCAGCGAACTCCGCCAATGTGAGATACTTTCGTCTTCGCTAGAGTCGCTGTCGATGTAGCAGGGAGATGGGGTGAAAAGATGCACAGAGTAATGCTGCGGTCGAGGCCAAGACCTTCCCATTATTCCAAAGCGCTGGGTATCCTCGTGAATCAGAGATTTATAGAGAGTCAGGGCACTGGGTGAGACGTCTTGTTGCAGGATGTGATTCTTGGGAGGAATGCCACGCTCAGGTGGGCACAAGGCTGAACAAGGCTGCACGAGGCTGCACTGGTTTCAATATTTCGCGAGGCTGCGACACGTGCGGGTCTGGTACAATGCGGAGTTGGACTTGTAAACGTAAACGTAAACGAATTCAATATCCCCATAAATATTTATTTCACGTTCCACTCTCACCCTCTCACCTTCCCCTCCACCCCATTCTCTTTCGCGTGATGCACTACTTCTCTCAATCGTCAACCTAACCTCTTCATCATCCCATTGCAATCTGGTCGCTTCTCCTACTCTACCCCTCTCTCTTCGGAGTCTCCAGGCACCATGGCGTCTGCGGTGTTCTTCCTCGACTTGAAGGGCAAGGTGAGCGACATGAACGCGCGAGCCTGGATAACATGACACATGATACTGACGCATCCTAGACTCTTCTTGCTCGCAACTATCGTGGTGATATTCCCATGTCTGCCGTGGAGAAATTCCCAATCCTTCTTTCCGAGGCCGAAGAGGAGTCTTCTGCAGTCCCTCCATGCTTCTCTGACGAGGGCATCAATGTTCGTCGCCGGTCTTCTCAATGAATGTGATCTCAGCTAACCACACTCCAGTACCTCTACATCCGCCACAACAATCTCTACCTCCTCGCTCTCACCAAGCGCAACACCAATGCTGCAGAGATTCTGTTGTTCCTCCACAAGATCGTCGAGGTCTTTACTGAGTACTTCAAAGAGTTGGAAGAGGAGTCGATCCGAGACAATTTCGTCATCATCTATGAGCTGCTTGATGAAATGATGGACTTTGGATACCCTCAAACCACCGAGTCCAAGATCCTTCAGGAGTACATCACCCAAGAGTCTCACAAGCTCGAGGTGCAGGCGCGCCCTCCCATCGCCGTCACCAATGCGGTGTCTTGGAGAAGTGAAGGCATCAGATATCGCAAGAATGAGGTCTTCCTCGACGTGATTGAATCTCTCAACCTCTTGGTGTCATCCACTGGCAACGTCCTGCGATCTGAGATTCTGGGTGCAATCAAGATGAAGTGCTACCTCTCTGGCATGCCTGAACTCCGCCTTGGTTTGAATGATAAGGTCATGTTTGAAACCACTGGGAGATCCACTCGAGGCAAAGCTGTCGAAATGGAAGATGTCAAGTTTCACCAGTGCGTTAGATTGTCCCGCTTTGAGAACGACCGTACCATCAGCTTCATCCCACCGGACGGAGAGTTCGAGCTGATGAGCTATCGCCTCAATACCGCGGTCAAGCCATTGATCTGGGTCGAGTGTGTTGTCGAATCCCATTCTGGTTCCAGAATCGAATACATGTTGAAGGCGAAGGCTCAATTCAAGCGACGATCGACTGCCAACAACGTTGAGATCAGCATTCCTGTTCCTGATGATGCTGACACTCCAAGATTCCGCACCAACATTGGATCTGTGCACTACGCGCCGGAGAAGTCTGCAATCGTCTGGAAGATCAAGCAGTTTGGTGGTGGTAAGGAGTTCCTCATGCGAGCGGAGCTAGGCCTTCCTAGTGTCAAGGGAGACGATGAGCGTGGTGGCGGCATGACAGGTGGATTCGGCGGCAGTATGGGTGGCATTACAGGCGAAGGAAAGGCCAAGAGACCCATCAACGTCAAGTTCGAGATTCCTTACTTCACCACCAGTGGTATCCAGGTGCGATACTTGAAGATCATCGAGCCAAAGGTTTGTGTCCCTCCCTTTACTGTCAGTGACGGCCTCTAACGCTACACAGCTGCAATATCCATCCCTGCCATGGGTGCGCTACATCACACAGTCCGGAGATATCGCAGTCCGCTTGCCAGATGTGCAAGGTGGTTGAGCCCTCAAATGATCCCGCTTCTTCTTGTAGCAGTGATCCCAACCTTGGCGAAACCACTCTCAACGTAAAGCAGCGGAATTTTTGCTGGCCTCACGGACACCTGGTGCAAGCGGTCGGTGACAAACTCGCTCAACCTGCCATGTACGATATTACCTTGGCGAAAGAAAAAGAATTGCACAAAGCGACATGAGTCTTGGTCGCCCCCCTGGACAAAGCCACGAGTTGGAGGATGAACGGCTTTCAAGTCCAACATGCAATCACAACCGAGCGAAAACAAACGAGCTGCAGACACCAAATTCAAACACACCAAAAAAAGAAACAACTTGTCGACTGCATTGACCGCACCACTCATGCATTGGTGCAGAACAGCAGACGAGGTTGACTGTTCAGAGTAACTGGTCGCTCGACTATTCACATCTATGTGTGGTCCACAATGCCAATCCGTCTCTTGAGATGGATATGTCTTGTCTAGGTGAATGGCTCTGACGAGTACAACAGCATCTGTGGCCATGAAGAAACAAATCCAGATGAGCAGCCCTCCGTGGGTGAGACATTGAGAAGAGTATCCGTAGATTGAACCAGTCTAGACAATCATGCAAAGAAACCACAATTCCAAAGAACTCATATTTGCTCCTTTTCCTGTCAATGTCCATATCACGTCGTGTTCTGTCTCTAACAGGTGTGTGTGAACCAAGTGTTGCGACCTTTCACAGCCTTGCGTCCCTTGTAAGAAGGAGATGCCAATAAGGTTTCCTTGTGAACCCTTACTGACCCGTTGACGTCACTCTTCTACCGCCCACAACAATTGGCCTTTTGCGGTGTGGGCCACTAATTTTTTTATTCTCCCTAACACGCAGCCTTCCGTCTTTCAATCTCAATCTCGATGATAACCCAGTCTTCCTTGCCGATCAACGCTTTTTCCCCCTTTGGGGTATTTTGCTATCATTCTCGTGCAATATCAATCAATTGATTTAACGCAGCTCAAGGCGAGTTCAACACCTTCTTCTTGAATAGAGAACTTCCAAGAACACCTGCGAAACAATGCCCTCCACAACCCTCCCCACACCCACGCCCGATGAACTTGACGACCTCATCTACTTCACACGCACAGGCGATTTGGCAAGCTTGATGTCGCTGGTCACTTCGCTATGTGGCACACACAAATGCCCGCCCTCGGTCCTGCTCGCCTCGTCCATTGATATCGACGCCGACGGTCTCGGTTCGCGGTCCTCGCTGCTTCACTACCCCGCGGCCAACGGCAATCTTGAGATCATCACGCACCTCCTGTCCCTGCTCGCACCGTCTGAGTCTCTGGGCACCTCACCTTCGGCGACGACGGCGGACAAGTCTGCACCTTTGCTCGTGAATCACCGGAACATATCTGGCAACACGCCGTTACATTGGGCCGCGATGAACGGACACTTGGATGTGGTCCAGGCGTTGGTCAAGGCTGGCGCAGATCCTACGATTGTCAACGAGGCCGGGCGAGACGCCGTGGTGGAAGCGGAGATGAGTTCAAAGGACGGCGCAAAGGAGTGTGCTGACTGGATGTTAAGGCACTGCGAAGGACTGGAAAAAGGTGTCGGTGACGAAAGTATTGGAGCGGGTGGCAGCGGTAGTGGGGAGGTAGAAGAAGAGGCGAAAGAGGAGGCCGCGAACACGCAGGGGCCTGAGCTTGATGAAGGTGGTGAGAAGTCTGAAACGCCAGTGAGGAATGGGGAGCAGAAAGAGACGTGAGCGGTCATCCAGGAGCGAGGTCCATCTTTCGGAACAATCCTCGCCTGAATATCTTGGAACACTCAAACCAACAAGACCAATTCGGTACAGAGGAGCATGAACAACCAGACAAAGGGAATAAAATACACGGACGGGCCTGGATCGCGCTCCAGGAAACCCCAAAGACACCCTCTCATGCATCAACGACTGCGAATACAGACCCCAGGAATACTCTGAGCAAAGTGGTCATGTCAAGTGATACTTCTTCAACAATTCCCCCATCACAAACGACCAGTCACAAAATCCACCTCTCGGTCACAGGCAATTTCGGGTTCCCATACCATTGCCTCGTACCTAGTCAGTCAATGGTATACAGATGCACTGCAATCCCTCCTTGCCGGCGAGGGTGCAGTAGGCTGTGATGCAAGTTTTGCCAGTCTTCAGATTCACCACGCAACGTTGGTTGACGCAAGTCCCGGAATTCCCTCGCTATGTCAACCCGAGAAAGTCGGTTAGCTGGCTTCAAGACCAGAGCGTTGGATATTGAAAACTCATGATATCTTGTCGCTCTGCCCGTGCACAACCAAGGAAGAGCTCCTGACACGAATAAGAGTGTGGGAGGACAGAACTGTGGACGAACCTTGACAAGCTGCTCATCACTGAGTGGATGAGCACTAATTTCTTGCCCGGTGGCGGGGACCGGAGTGGCCAGCGCGACAGGGAGAATGAGAGCAAGGCCCGCGAGGAGGAAGTTGGTGAAACGCATTTTCTATGCGGATGAGCTGGGGGTTGTTGTTTTCAAGGGACGAAAAGGTATGGACCGTGTTCCAGGCCGGACAAGTCTTGTTGCGCCTTTCACAATCAGCAGTCGGGGTGAAGAATACGCAATATGCAATGCGCAGGTTCTGACCCGGCCGTCTCCTAAATATCTTTTTTTCTTCTTCTCCCTCTCCGGGGTTCTGGTATCCAACCTGTCTGTCTGTCTGTTTAGGTGCAGCCAGCCAGCATCGCGGTCTCATGTCCTGCAGGGCGTCAACTGGATAATATAGCTCATTTGACCTCGTTTCTCATGTCTCGTTTAGCCTCACCACCCACCCACCCGCGCACGCCTGAGATGACATGACATGACATGACACGCCCAGCTACACGAACGAGAACGAGAATGAGAACGGGTAGACATCATGTGTCTTCCAAAACGAGCATGTGTTTCTACACAGGTACTCCCGACACCACCTCCCCGCAAAAGGAGAGAGGGCGGGCGGTGGTGCTTACTCTCACTCTCTACTATACGAGGTCGACCAGAGCAGAGCAGATCAGGCCTGAACGGAAGGTGTTTTCGGGCCATACATAGGAAACAGCCATGGAAACATCTCGATCAGGCAGTCATTTCTATTCCTCTTAGTCAACTGTATCTCTCTCTGTGTGCTGTCTGTGGTCTGCCTTGACCCTGTGATGGTGGTGGCTGTCCCGTCCTGCCCTATCTTGCATTCCATGGCATTACTTTCTTTTTCTTTTTCTTTTTTTTTCGAGAGCGTCAAGTTGACGCGAGGGACGAAGCGCAAGCCACGGCTGAACATGTAACCTATGTGGCCTATGTAGCTCGTGCTCGGTGATACATATCATTACTGTTGTCATGATTGGCTCTCTAATTGAAGAAGCCTGGCCCAAAATAACAAGTGCCCAATACGGAATGTCCAACGCCCAACGCCAAATGCGGAATGTGTTCGACCTCGCTCGCTCGAATAGTCAGTGTCTATCTAAATTAGTGCAGCTGGGATTCAATACGGGATGCATACCCTACCATACCCCACTATATCGTACTATTTAATGCCATGTCAAGACGGAACAAACATTCCCCAGAAAGGCAGAAAGGCAGAAAGGCGGAGGAGAGGCTGACTGCTGAATGCGGAATGCCGAAAGCGGAAACCGTTCAAGCACAAGCACATTACCTCCGGATTGGATAATGGGCCAATCAAGGAGTCGATGGACAGGCTGGTGCTGAAGCTGATGCTGAAGCTGAAGGCTCGCAAGGCAAGGCAAGACAATGAATGCCACGTTCTATGTCCAAACAATAGCATTGCTTTCTCAGGCGGTGCAAACCCAGTAAGTCACACATATGTACGAGGTATATACATTGCATGTGGTATCAGCTGCCAGGGTGACCGGCCATGAATAGAAGTTGGCTGCCTGGGTGCCTGACTTGACAACAAAGGGTAATAATTATTGCGTTCTGAGATACCTCACACTGCGGTCTGGGCAACGCAAGAGGACGGTAGAGAATGCGAGGAGATGAGCCATAGTAGCTAGTTTTATTGCCAGCCAGACATGACTCCCACATACCAGAAGAAGAAGAAGAAGAAGAAGAAGAAGAAGAAGAAGCACTGCTTTTCGATCTACGGGACGGTTTCTTCCTGAACTCCTACTTACTAACTAGGTAGCCAGGGAGGTACTCACGAATACGGGATAGTCTCTCGACAACCCTCTTCCCCTGTTCATCACCACCCCTCTCGCCTGGTCAGCCGAACACGCACATCCCTGGTCGGATTCACCGCCCCAGCCCCAATCTTGCGTCCCGGGTGCACCCACCTCCCGCCGTCACTGACGGGGACCATGTCCCACTGCATGACCAGCGCGGCGACGAAGAGGACGACTTCACGCTCGGCAAATGTCTTGCCCTTGCACATCTGCTTGCCGCCGCCCCAGACCTTCATCGTGCCGTATTCGACGCGGACGTCGCCGTCGCCCCCGCCTGCCACCCCTTCGTGGTCTTTGTCCTTGGCCCAGAACCGTCGGGGATCGAACCGCTCCGGGTCGCGAAAGTACTTGTCGTCGCTCTGGTGCACGCCGTGCGGCAGGCAGAGGTACTCGCCCTTGCGGAGCAGCCAGCTCTGCGGCTCCTTCTTGCCCAGCAGCCGCGCGTCCTCGTCGTTCTCAAACACCACAAAGTCCTCCTCGACCATCTTGTACGACATGCTCGGCACCTCGAGGCGCATCGCCTCGAAAAAGCATCCCTTGAGGAGCGGGCACTTGCTCCACAGCGCGGCGATGTCAATCTCCAATTTGGGAGGCTCTTGGATCGGGAGTCCCGTGGCGGCCGGCCGGCGGAAGCGCACGTAAGGGGCCACCTCGGCCCGGAGTTCCTCAACTAGAGAGGGGTTGGAAAAGATGTACCATATCGTCCAGAAGATGATGGGGTTGGCGTTGATGTTCATGGCCCACAGAATGGCCCCGTTGCCCGTGGCGTAGCCTCGCGGCGCAGAGCCACCCTCTCGAAACGCTTTGGCTCGATCAACAATGACCGACGAGACATCTGACATGTCGGGCCACCGGCTTCCGGGATCCTGGCCGTCGAGGTACTTAAAGAGCGCCTCGTGGTGTTCCTGGATGGCGTCGACGATGCGTTCCCTCGCCTGCGCCGGGCCGCTCAAGCCAGGTAGCCAGGAAGGAGCGCCGGCCATGAAGAGGTTGAATTGCATGTCCATCTCCCACAGGTCAGGCATGATGTTGGGGTAGTTCTCCATAAAATCCTTACCGAACAGGACTGTGGAGGCAATGTCGCCCACGAAATACCGCAGGAGAGGAAATAGACTCGCCTCGGCCACGAGAGGCTTGTCGCCCTCGCCGTTTGAGATGATTTGCACCCCACCAAAGCGCTCCCAGATGCTTTGATCCACGGGACTCTGTAGCCCGGAGACCAGGTTCCACGTCCTCTCCGCGACCATGTCGACCGTGCCGCTGATGGCCACGCTGACGAAACTCTCGCGCAGCATGCCCGACAGGACACCATGGATATTTCCCCAGAGGTGGCTCGGTTCGATGGCCTTGATAGTGCCGCGGTCGTCCCAGAAGTTCTTCATCGTGTGTAACACAAAGTCATTCATCGTGATGGGGCTGGTCCTGTCCATCAAGATCTGCTTGGCCAGGCTGGGCACCGTGACGACGTTGTGCTTGGTGTTGGCCATCTTCAGGGCGTAGATGGACCCATTGGGTCCCAGCGAACGAGCCGCCCGGCCCAGGAAGTCCGATCCGCCCGCAATAAACGAAAACGCGTGGCCGACCCATGGAATCCAGTATGGCAGGACAGGCACGGTTCGAGGGCCGTTCGACCCGGCTGTAGCTTGTTTTAGAACCGTAGAGCGGTACTGGAGACCTGAGATGACGCGGGTGACGACACAGACGACGAAGAAGATGGCGACGAGGCTCTGAAAGGGATGTTGGATACCTGTCGACAAGATATGTTGGAGAAAGGAGGAGCTTCGAACTTGTGCAGAGCCGCTCATCTTCGCGGGAAGCGGTCAGCGTGTTTGCCGTGGGTTTCTTGTAATCCAAAGATGACCGGCGACAACGACAAGCCTGGTGATGTTGTTGAGAGAGGTTGGATGATTGTATGAAGATCTATCCCTTTTTCTCCAGATCCCAGAATCAAATGTAGCACGAATGTTGCACGCGCCGCAATGTTTCGTCTGTAGTTTTGGACACACAACAAGTTTCTCGAATGTCGATTGACGCACTCGGTGCTGGTATGCCTCTTCCTTTTTTGAGACCGAAAACCACGAGACCCCAAGCTCGAGGTGGTCAGAAAGGAGCGAGCGACAACAAGCAAGTTTAACACTGTGCGTGTGTATCGTACTCTATCCCTCGCCTGGCGCAGCTGTGTTTGTGCATTCTCGAGTTGGTCGTGCAAAGCCTCGTGTTGGAGGTAAGCATACGAGGGTACGTTATAGGCCAAGCGAGAGTGTTGGATGCCTGAGAATCCGCGTGCAACGTTTCTGACCAACGACAATGGGCGAATAAGGGGAAACAAGGTGCTGATAAAGGGGGCCAGAAACATCCTGGACCAATTGGGGCCATTGTCGAATCAGCGACCGGCATTTCCAAGGATCGAGCTTAGTAATCTCGAGCAACGTGTTAGGGGCCACTTTCACAACCAGCATAACTGACGACAGACTCGGTGCATTCGCTGCTACAGTACAATACATGTGTATATTGCTCGCTCGACAAAGCTATTGAAAAATCACGAATTGAGGAGAGTCGTCGATATCTCGTGTGCGACTGGGACGCACAACATCAAAACTGCTCAGCAAGCACCTTCTTCAACCTCCCACTCTGCGCCTCGTACTTCATAATCTTCTCCTGGCTCGCCATCGCTTTCCCCAGGCACCATTTGATCCGGGGCTTCAACTCGCTGGGCGTGCCAGGCATCTCTGCTAGTGTCTTCAGCTCCGCCTCGTATTTCTCCACGTTCTTGTTCTCCAGGCTGATCAATTGAGACATAATTGCCAAATCCAGTCTCGCCCTCAGCACGTCATCCTCGGTCAGATACTCGAATGCAGATTGGTACACCGGTTTCCCAGGCTTGATGCTGTATGGCCGTCCGTTCTTGGATGTAATCGTGATCAATTCTGCCTGCTCGAGGGCCTGCAGCACGGTCTCGCCATCTTTGAAGAGATCATTGAGGAGAAGCTCATTGTATCTGAGAGTTTCGTTTGCCGCAAGCTCTTTGATCAACAACCATGCTTGTTGAGGCGTCCACTTGCGGCTCGAAACGTCGACGTCCAGAAGATACATTTTGAGGATCTCCGACGCCGATTGCTCAATGATCTGGCGAACTGCTTCTGTTTTCAATTTGTCAGTAATGATCGATGACGGGAGAGAGTTCAGTCACGTACTTCCTGGTGTTTCGCCTGTCTTGATCCTCCGCGCCAGGAACTCAAGGTCGGTCAATCGACCGCCGAGAACTTGGATCACTCCGTCCAGCTCATCAAGATCACTTCTCAGCTGTGATGGACTGATCTTACCCTCGCCCGGTTCGCCGCCTTCCGCAATGTCAGCGTCCAAGTGCTTGATTACGAACTTCTTTGCCACTTCGGGCGTGCAATCACTCAGCGTGATTTGCCGGAATACCCTGTCCGGTAGGGCTTTACTGAGGGACTTGGAGAAAGACACGTCCGTAGTCAGGAAGATGACATGGGCAATGTTCTGCGTCGTCAAAAGAGCTGCCCACTCTCCCAGTTTATCATAGACCATACTCGCAGAACCCTCATTGCTTTTGTGCAAGAAATTGTCAATCACCACCACTGGTCGATACTCTGGATGAGCTTCGAGCCACTCGTCGTCTGCCATCTGCGCATCTTTGTCGTCCTTTTTGCGTGGCGCCAATGCAATCTGCTTCAACGCTGTCGTCGTGTTGCCCCAAATCTTGGCCAGTTGGTTGTCCAGCGTCTCGGAGAATCCTGCTTTCGTGCCAATGGTGGCTGTCGCTGCAAGATCGACCATGCTGCTGATACTGTTCATCCAAGAAAACACAGGGCGGTAGCCCACTTCGGCGGCGGCGGCGGCAATGGTGTTGCTGTCTCCGCGTGCTTCCTGGATCTTCTTGCAATCAATCACCAGCTTATGTGGTCGATCTTTCAGTGCCTGGTCGAGGACCAATTCCTTCTTGCCTGCCCCGCGCGGTCCTTGCACCACTATAAATGTGTCTGCAGTCTCGATCAACCACGTTTTCAACTGATTGATGACGTCCTGGCGGTCTTCCCAGACAATCTTTAGGTTGTCCTCGTCACGATTCTGGTTCCGGAATCTGATGATGTCGTAGCCTCGCAAGAGTTGGCTTCTGACCCACTTGAAGATACGATAATCTTCCAGATGCAGACCGTGGCTGATATGCATCCTGATGAAGAATGTCCGGATGGGGTCGAACACGGCGACAGACGCCGCTGTCAGTAGAGCGACTATGAAAGGAATAACAATCCTGGGGTGGTTCGTCATCCAGTCCCATATCCAATAGCTTTTGCGCTTGGATTCATAACTCAGTTTGAGGAGCGTTCCAGTCTTTCCTCCGCCATCTTGGGCCGGGACGATGTAACCATGCATACAATTCTTGGCCATGGTTGCGAATCGGACTCGTGTGTAGTCGATATAGGCATACTTTGGCACAACTTTGGAGTCGGAAGGTTGCGGTATGATCTCGGTGAGCTTTCCATATCGCCGGAACAACGAATAGAGTGTCTCTTGGGTCAATTCGGCCGCAGCATTCTCAGGAGCAGTAGGCAAGAATTCGACCTTTATTCTGGGAGTAGGTACGCGATACAGATCTTCGATCCACGGCTTGCCTTGCACCAGAAAGGCGCGCACCCTCCGAAAAGGATTGAACCATGGTGTAATGGGCTTTTCCTCAAGGTATTGTTTCAGCGTGCTTTCCAGCTCGGTGGCAGATATTCCTTCTTCATGAGAGAACTTGACAAATGCGCCGCCCTCGCGCAGTCTTGGTAGAATCGTTTTGACATGGAGGGGGAGGTTCTCAGGCAGGGCTCGCTTGATGATGCTGGAGGGATCGGCCAGAGCGAGATTGGGTTGATTGACTTTGCTGAGGGATGTCGCAAGGAACTTGTCGGGATTTAGATAGGGGATACGATTGAGCCATTGAAGCTTTAGAGGAAAAACATCTGTCAAGGTCAGTAGATTGCGCAGGCAAGGTAATAGACTGGTAGCGGCGCTCACTGTCAAAGAACAAGATTCCCTCATTTTTCTGGGTTAGTATGTGGCCTGATTCATTGTCGCCGGCTTCAGTAGAAGTCCACCTCTTCCGCGACGACGTAAGAGAGACTCTGGGCGTCGAAGAAGGATTCTTGCATGCGTACGGCTGCCTTTTTCTCGAGAGCTCCGCGAGCAGCCCTGTCGGTCGCCCGAAGGAGTTTCGAGCAGTCCTTGATAGAATCATGCTGCCGATGGTCAGAGCACCATTTAGCGAGGGTTGTGGTCTATCTGCTCATCTTGCCATGATAAGATAGCATAGCTTGAAACATGGTCTCCTTTTCTTATCTATACACAACGCCTCACCTACAAAGAACCTTGAGTTTCTCTTATTACATCGGCGCAGCTTGACAAGCGTGACCAGCCAGCATCATCGTTGTGGATGGGGCCATGACGTCGGTAGAATAAATTTGTGGCTGATCTGTGGCTGTTTGGCCAGTCCGTGGCTTGTACTATCCATTAATTTTCTTGCTGCTCCAACGCGATTGTCTCCAACCTGGTTCCTTTCCACGGGAATCAATCGAGTCAGGATGAGCTGGTGGTGGCGGCAGAAGCCCACATCAAGCAGTGATGCTGGCAGAGAGGGTGCTTTGTCCAGCCCTGAGACACAGGACGAGCTCAAGCCTGTCTCTGCTGTTCCAGTTCCAGACCCTGTCAAGCGCACCCTCACCCGAGATGAGCAAAGTGAGCAGGAATTGATGGAGTTCTTGAGGGAGATCCAAGCGCAAGCAGATGCAGAACAAGCTCAGAGAACGAAATCCAAACCGTTGGCATCTCCGTCACCCCAAGCACCGAGTCAAACGGACATCTCTCCCAATTCCCTCTATCCAACCGAGCTCTCGTGCAGATCTGCCTTCGACTATGCCATGTTCTGCCAGAGCTTTGGAGGCCAGTTTGTCAACGTCTATCGCTATGGTTCCTTCCGCTCATGCTCCAACCATTGGGACGATTTTTGGCTTTGCATGAAGACGCGAAACTGGAAAAAGGAGGACCGTGAGAGGGCCATACAGGAGCATTATCGAAAGAAAGCAGTAAAATGGAAACCCGGGCCAAGCAGTGAAGATGTGTGGGAGGTCCGACAGGAGCCAGTCAAGGAGCCTTTCTCCGGCAATTTGGCAGAACTTGAAGCTCAAATGGCTGAGTACAAGAAGAACAACCTAGCTGTGCCAGAACTTTGGACGCCGACAAAATGAATGAGGGTGCCCTACCGCAGTTTCTGCCTCCAACAACTTCACTCGAGATGTTTCATTGTAGTGAGACAAGCGGAGGTGCGGCAGTTTGTTGATACAAATGCACTTGGCCACCCCTCTGCTCAATTCACCTACCTCGACATCTCTTCAGACGAAATCACCAAGAATCCCCTTCATCCACGAGCCATGGATCCGGCACTCCCACGATTTATGACCCGTATGATTCTATCTACGGCGCCGCAGCAAGCCTTTGCACAGGTAGACGAACTTTACCTGCAGGCCGCAGCCCTTCGAGAACAAGCCCACGAACTCCAAGAGCAAATCGACTTTCTCAAAGATCGAGCCGACTGTCTGGCCACAACGGCGGAGGGTCTTCAAGAAATTGCCGAGCAAGATCGTGACGCCATACAGACCATGTTCGAACGATCTCTCTGCATTTACCAGCACATGTACACGGTGTACGTCTCGGCTCCCCGCAGGGAAGCACGTTTCAATGACATCAAAACGCGCTCGGAAGACGGGATGGTGACCATGGAAGAGATGGAAGAATTCCTGGAAGATGTATACCAGCACTTCCTCGTCACGTCCGAGAGAGTGGAGAGATCAGCCGCACCCGAGCCCGAAAGTCCACCAACTCTGAATACACTCTCCTCCGCAGCACAAGCTCAAAACCAGTCGGAAACGGAGGTACCCATCAAGCAAGAGTTGAAGCGAAAGTTTTCCACCTTTCAAGAAGATGAGAATGGCATCGATGCAGACTCGGGACGAGCCAACAAGAACAATGATGCTGTCGAGTCAAGTGATGAAGCTTCCTCCTCAGACGAAGACTGTCAAGATCCATCGACCAACAACGCTGAAACAAATGAGGAGAGCAGCTGTGAAGGCACAGAAGACATGGAAGAAAGCCCAGGCGAAGAATCGGGGTCAGCAAGCGACGAGAATAGTGACAATGAATGCGATGATTCCGAAGTGGTCGGTTCATCTGATTGCGAGACAGAATCAGATTCCTCAACTGGATCCCATACAGCAGTCGACGTGGGCGGGCCAACTCCCAAGAAGTATTCCAGTCACAGCAGCTCAACCAACAGTGTCCAATCTCTTTCGTCCTCAGCTTCAAGCACTGCTTCACTTGGTTTCCGAGCTATGCACGAGGATCGATCGTTACGAGGGAGAGAGAATCAGAACAACTTGACCAGGGGCGGGAAAAGATTGAAGAAGAATGTGCTGCGTGGTTGGGCATGAGCAGGTCTGCAAGGCGACGTCTAGAAGAGCGATTGAGAGCGGCTTCACCAGGAACGAAAATGACCTGGGCTGCAAAATACCAACCACACCACTCGACTAGTGTGCCGCGGACCTTGAGCTCAACCCTCGCTCCCTTGTTGTCTTGGATGTGGGATGTGCTAGATGAATGGCTTGGGGTACTACCGAGAGGAAGAGGCCTACTCCCAGACGCTAGGTGGTAATGTTTCTTGATCGACTCTGAACAGAAGTGAATATCTTGAGGTGTTCACTTCTGTCAACAAAATCAAATCCAAACTCCTCACTCTTGTTTCATTCCCTCCTCTATCTCGTTTACCTTTTCTATCCTGTATTTTCTTCGAGGTTACCTCTACTGTTTCAATCCTTTGTCTTTCTTCTCCTATTATTCTTTGATTTTCCGTACCCCCACATTTCATCATGGCAGCAGCAGTCTTAAGCCGTCCAGACTCTCTTCTCCTCGAGGCGGATTTCTTGCAGGCCCAATCCGAAATATTCCAGAGTCTCAGCAGGGACATTCATTTTGCAGCCAAAGTTCTCGACTACAAGGTCTATGACATAGAGAACCGCAGTGCAGGCCTAAGGAAAGTAGCTTGGGAAGCGAGGTCGAAGATCAACGGCCGTGCTGGAGATGCCGTGCTGGATGGGCACGACGAGCAGGATGAACGCAGACTCAAATCCGTCTTGAAGGATGCACGCACATCGATCGAGTCTGTACAACAAGTCAAGCAAGCCTTGACGGAGGTTGTATGCCGACGACCAGAGGCGGCTGAGGGCATTGCTTCGGCACAAGAATTGACAGAGGAAAGAAATGGAGCCGTCTGGATCGAGAAGATCTCGAAGATGGATCTTCGTTCGTTTCAGGAGACGCTGATGCAGGCTGTCCCTCGCGCCAGACCAGTCTATGTCCACTCGAGCGGGTTCATCCCAGTCAATTTTCACACCATGTCGTCCCAAATCCCGAACCAGGAAAACGCCCGGTCCGATAAGATCTGTCGACGATCGCAGAATGTCAAGCAGCCACCCCTGGCCGGCGAGCAGACAATCACAAAGACCAAGGTCCACCGTCGTCGTGGTCGCAACAACTCACGAGGGCGCAAAGTCGACGTTTCCTCACATGTAGAGCTTTACAGACACTTCAAAGTCGACAATCGCTCGAGATCTCCAGCGGCGTGCCGCCAGGCAGAGAAGCAACAGGTGGAGGGAAAGGGAGACTTGCTTGGATAGATCCCGAACAAGGTCCCGGTCGCCCGTCTCCCTGTGGATGAAGGTCTGCGAGCTTTGATGAGGCGGGAGGAGCAGAGCAGGCAGCGTGATGGGGCTTGATAGTCGACAATGACCGATCCCATCCATCACGGACGAAGGCGGGATTTGCTTCTGGGGCCCTGAGGAGGTCACGCATGGTCTGACGCAGGAGAAAAAGAATTTGACCAAGTCCGTCTTATGCGCAGCATTTTGAAAAAGGGGGCGCCGACATTGAAACCCATCTTCTGGAGAAAAAGTCGAGATACGAGCTTGGGTTTGTCAATTTTTGGAGTTATGGACATGACATGACTTGACATGAAGGGACTGGACCTCCTTATGCACAAGGACGGACGCGCCATCTGATCAATCAGAACAGAAGGACTTTTCTTTTTTTGGGGGGGATTTAGTACGGATGAGACTTGGACTTTCAGCACCGTGGATATGAACAAAGATCAAACAGAAATGGTAGTGAAAATCTCGACATCTCTCTATCTCTTGTGCCTCGTCCGATGTTTCGTCCACCAGCCCAGCCCAGCCCAACCCCTTTCCTCACGCAGCCTTCTTCTTCTGAGTGAGTGAGTGAGTGAGTGAGCGAGCGAGCGATGAGCAGCCGCCAACCCGCCGGCGTACCTGGGGTGGAGACCAGGGGAAGACGTGATGCTGACAATCAACCCACGGGTTATGCATGTTCTTTCGATATGAATCCTTACACAAACCCCCTTTTCGCGCCTGGTTTCTCTACTCGCCATGCACGCTATTACATGAGATCTCACTCCAATCCCCTGGTCTCCCTGTTCGATCACTCTAGCGCCTTCCTCTTTGTTGGTAATACATGCATACATACAGACATACATACCTCGCACATACGTGATGATATGTATTGTCAAACGCCAATACCACACACATCCACGAACGACCCGTGCGGCAGCGATCGATGACCGACAAGAGGCCGGCCGCTAAGTCCCCATTTCGCGTACCAATGAGCGTCGGATGGACACGTCAACAGAAGCGCTACCTTTGTTGGGTCTTATGCAAGGAGGAGGAAGAGGGGAGGGAAGACGAATATGAAGAAGAATATGACTACACATTATACGTTGGCTGATAAAAGCTCCTCTCTGGTTTCTTGCATATAACAGTGAGTGCGTCAAAGGGTGGCTGTGGTTGATACGTACATGCCTTTTTAGAGCACAGTACTGTATGTGTATAGCAAGCAAGTAATCCCTGCACTATCACAACTACCTACCTATACAGTCAGCCTGGAAAATAGTAGGTCCAGAGAGGAGGTGAAAGTTCAACCATGTCTGATCCTATCAAGAAGGTCGTTGTCCTCGGGGTATGAATTCCCCCATTCTCCCTCCTCACACTCTTTCATCCAGCAAACGAGAAAACTCCCACTCCTCCAAAAATGAGAGACCTTCCTTTAATCGATGAGATGCACCGTTACAGGCGACAGGCAACGTCGGCAGACCCATCACCACGGCGCTCGCCGAGGCCGGCTACAGCGTGACGGCGGCGTCGCGCACCCCGGGCCTAAAGTTCCCCGACTCGACAAACATCGTGTCCGCCGTCGTCGACTACACCTCGCCGGAAGCACTGACGGCGCTCTTCACGGGCCAGGACGCCGTCGTCGAAGCCATCCCCCCCAACGCGCTGCACTTGCAGGCGACCATCGTGGATGCGTGTCTCGCCGCGGGCACTGTCAGACACATCATCACGCCGGACTTTGCGTGCGACACGTTCAACGAGCACATCACCGAGTTGGCGCTGTACGTGCCCAAGGTGGAGGCGCAGAGGGTCTTGGAGGGGAAGTTGAAGGGCTCAAAGGTGAACTGGAGCGCCATCATCACTGGGGGGTGGTATGATTGGGGTGAGTATCACCTCTCTTTTTTTTTCCCACGGGACAGACAAATACTTTGAATATGGGTCCTCTGGCGTGATGTGATGATCGAGGAGAAAACTCAAAAGGCTGACCACATTCTTCGCCTCTCTTGTATGGCTTCACAGCAATCCCTCTAGGCTACTACTGGATCAACCCGCGCACAAACACCCTCGTGGTCTACGGCAGCGGCAACCAGCGCAACAGCATGTGTCGCGTCTCCACCGCCGCCCAAGCCGTGTGCGACGTCCTCAGCGAACCCGAAAAACACGCCAACCGCCCCGTCTACGTGGCCGACCACACCGTCAGCATGAATGAGCTGATCCCAATCCTCGAGGAGATCAAGCCCGGATGGCAGATCGAGCGGGTCGATCTGGACGAGTTCTTCGCCACGGCGAAGAAACTGTGGGACGAGGACACGGAGAAAGGGGTCGAGGTGCGCTTGTTGACTCCTGGTGAGTAGAACCACCCCCCATTCTACACAAGTGCACATTTTTGGCCTATTGGTAAATACACAAAAAACTTATTCCGCCTGGAAAAGCATACAACATGCTAGGGACGTACGGCATCTTCGAGGAAACCAACCGCTACAACGCCGACTTTGGCCACTTGATCGAACCGGGGTCCGGGTATCAGAAAACCCTCGAAGATTTGAAGGAGGAGTTGAAGACGCTTGTCACATAAAAGAGAGAAAGAAAACGGCGGCGCGGAGGAAGACGAATGGAAGTAGCACGAAACGATGAAGAGGTATACAAGACTTTTGGTTCATTCGGTCCTTTTTATTTTTATTTATTTTTCCCAACTTTGTTGCAGTAGACAGACTTCATTGTCCCCGTAAATGCTTTTGAGACGTTTCAGACGGACACCACCGAAGGGGGGTCACAAGTCAAACAGCGACAAGCAAGTGGCTCAACCTGACCTCCTGTGCAATGTGCAATGTGCAATGTGCAATGTACGAGACAGAATCCATCGCCTCCAAGTAAGTCAAGACCCAGGTCCAGGTCCAAATCTATTTCCATCCTGACCACTCTCCTCGGTCCTGGACATTCAATCGTCATTGACATACTTGTCAAAGACGTCGGCGTACCACCTCGCGCCCACGTCCCTGTGACTGCGAATCTTTGTCCTGAGCTGCGCCTCTCCCCAAGTATCGTAGCGGCCTCTGAGAAAGGGGCTGTCGATCTGCTGACCCTCCGCGGACTCCCTGCCGGCTGTCAAGGTCTCGGCCGCGGCAAAGTGGTCCCACAGGGCCTTGAGGTCCGACTTGGACAGGTCCGGCCGCACGCCCTGGAAAAAGGGGACGCTGTAGCGGTCGTAGTCGCCGGGCGGGAGGAGGACGCGGTGCGTCGTGGCCTTGCAGATGCCATTGGTCACCACCTCAAAGGCCTGGCCCATGTTGACCACCAGCGTGCCGGGCACGGGCGGCGCGTCCAGCCACTCCCCGTCCTTGGACAGGACCTGGAGGCCCGGGATCGACGGGTCCGACGCCTGCAGCAGGAACGTCATCCAGCCGGAACTGTCCTTGTGGGGGCCGACGCCCTGCGTGGCGGAAAGAGACTCTGCCGTCGCATCTGCGGACGGAGACGAGGTAGGACGGTAATGCACGAGCTTGAGCCGGTCTTGCGGCCCCGTGAACGGCTCGAGACGGTGCGGCGGCAAGTCGAGCGCCTCTGTGACCAGCTCGAGGAACCTCAGGGCGAGATCGTGCATGGCCGCGATGTACAACTCGATAATCTCGCGGAACCGAGGCACCGTGTCGTTTGCCGACTCATCAAGCCACTGATTCGGGCCTTGAAGTCGAATATACAGAGGCTGCGACGACACCACACCATACCGGTCCGGCAACTCGTTGGCAAACTCAAACTGCTCCCTCTGATCCTTCACCCGCGCCGTGACCTCGGACCCAAACTTGCTGTAACCCAGGAAATGCGGCGAGTTGACGAGGGCGACCGAGTCCTTGACGGGGTCCGGCAGGGCGAAGAGACGAGGCAGGGCGTCCACGAGGTCCTGGACGATCGACTCCCGAATGCCGTGGCCGGAGAGGTACAGGAAGCCGACTTCGAACAACGCATGGCGCAGGTCTTGGAGGAGTTCGGTTCGTGTGGTCAGATCCCCAGCTTTGCGCAGGTCGATGGTCGGGATGGACATTGCTGGGGAGTCTCAAGCCGCGTTCGTGAGGGTATGTCCGGATCACGATCACGAAGAGCCAGAAGAGGAATCTCTTTTCCCCACCGATTATCCTACCTCTGACCAAGTGCGTTGGTCACCTCATACTTGTGGAAGGTGAAGACGGGAACGAAGACAGACGGAGATTCGCACAAAGAGTGGAATGATTGAAGCACGCAATCGACCGGCTGAGCGCAAAAGGGGAGATTCGTGTTATGTAAGCAAATCAGCCTCGCGACGCCCACCCACAGCCTCATTCCTGAAGGGATACGATATGCAAAGGATCGAAGAACCAAAATACAGTTGCCAGCTATAGCCCAGATGGAAATGAAAGCATGTTCACGAATCGGATACAGTGTCAGAGAGAAACTATACGACGCACAGTAACTGCCCTTACCCCAAGGTCTTCTTCGTTTGGGTAATCGATGTCTCTCGAGCATTACCTTTAATGCATCATACATGTCCTGTTCACTACCTCGTATGATTTCTGATCGCATTGACCTTTGGTTGTACCGAGCAGGCCATCGACTCTATCGAGTACGTCGTAGCCCATTTTCCACCAACCGATTCGCCTCCGCGAGTTCTGTAGCCTGTTGCGCCCTTTGTCTCTCCAATTCCGCCATTTCCTCTTCTCCTCCGCTTGCTTCGGCCTCGTCATCTTCTTCATCGCTGCTGCGACCTCCATCTCCCTCATCGTCGGCTTCATCGTTCTCATCATCTGGTTTCCTGCGTCTCTCAAAGTCTTGCGCATGGGCGGTCCCAATAATAGTCCCCATCCGTTGCAGAGCCCGCATGGCGGGTGTTCGAGGCATGCCCGGAGAGCGACGTTGACGAAGCGATGCATCTAGCGAAGGCACGCTTTCTAGATCCACGCCAGTGGCAATATGTTCTTCAGGCTCTGTAGGACGTGGAGTGGTAGGTGTCTGGCGCCTCTGAGTCGGAGATACCATGCGTGAGTCTGGTATGTCGTAGGGTAGAGGAATATCTCGGGAAGCACGGAATTTCCCAACATTGTTACAATGCTCGTTTTCGACCCGGAACAGGGACCATATCCCCCTTCGGATGACCTCGGCCAGACTGACAAAGAAGGACATGAGAGCGGAATGCTGCACGTCGGATGTAAATATGGCATAAAACACCCACTGTTGTCGAAGCAATACATCCGCCACGATGGCGGCGTAATATATCCACACTTGTTTGTAGGCGAGCCGCTCTCGGAGGAAGGGATATTTCTGCACAAAAAAGTCGCCCAAACTCCAATCCATGAACACATCCCAGAAGGAGCAATATACTCCATTCACAAGCGCAAATGTGACAAAGATGGACCAAGTTGTGTGATTCATGTCAATCCGATAAATCGACAGTGTAGCATAATACGCAATGTTGCCGCAGTATTTGAGACAATTGGCGAGATGAGGGAACCAGTTTCGTGAATCGTAGTAACGGCGCAGACATTGTAACGCTCGCCAGACCGCGGGCAAGGCGGCAAAGAACCCCAGTAAGCGTGAGTGGTTGGAGTTGCACTGTGGAGGGTTGTTCCAATCGTTGACATAGAGGCAGAAGAAGAGTTCGATCTGACCCATCGCGTACGTTTCCGAACAGTACATGTCGCCCAGGTAGAAGTCTCGGAACTCGACCGGATAGAACGGCGCACAGGCGAGCCTCATGTTTGTGACAGCCCACCATTTCCTCGCATTATGATACAGGATCGGAAAAGGGAGGAATATGATGAGCATGGTCAGGACGATGAGAATCAGCGGCCAGTAAACGTAGAACCAATCGTAAGAGCTGTGCCGAAAGTTGAGGTAGATGAATAGACCGTTGAGGAAGAGGAAAAAGCAAGGTAGTTCCGCCAGTTGCCGCCAGTCCAGCACATGTCTGGTGTCGTACTCGAAAATGAAGACGTAGTTGATGTGGTTTCGATTCCACATTCTGCAGTCCAGAACAAACATTAAGAACAAGATCACGACGAGAAAGTATCCGGCATATAGCTGCAGGAGGTAACTGGTCTGCACGGACATCCTCGGATCGTCCAGTCGAAAGGCAGCGTCGACAAGGCCAGCCACCCCAAAACAACTGCCCGCCGCAACGTATAGGCCGTTGCGAAATGTCACCGCCGACTGATCCCCGGAGCCTATCTTCGATCGCAGTTTCTTAACAGCGACCTTGTGGTTGCCGCGCTCAAAGTACCGGGCGTATAGATCTTCGATGGCCATGAGGTGATTGTCAACCACGTCGCTCGTGACGAAATAGGCATTGTTGACTTTTTCTGTCATGTATCGTAACGGAGGTCTGGCTTGGACCGCCTTGTCATACTTCTTATTGATCTTGCGGAAGCCCGTTTTGTTCAGCAAGGCATAGGATTTGAGTAATTCCAGACCGCGATAGAATTCCTGCAGCGCAAGCTTCAGCCTCTTCTTTGCGACCGAATACTTGATTTCGCTGCCGTGGTCGCGGCGCACGTAATCTTTCTTTGCTTCGTTGATCCTCTTTTGAGCTTGAGGTCCTGGAGGGGAACTCATCTGTGCCATGGCTTGACTGGTCTTACCGATCGTCGACCGACGACCCATGACATCTCCGATTGGTTTTGGAATGAAGTGACTACCACTTCCATTGGGCCTGGTATTTTCCTTGAGCACGTCCGGAGGTTGCTTTCGTATATCGTCTAGATGTGACGGTTGCGTGCCATCATTCAAGTGTTTCGCCCTCATGATTTCCGCTATTCGTCGATCCCTCATTTCGTGGAGTTGCGCCCTGAGCACCTGCAGACGCTCTGTGGCCTCGTCTTCTTTCGCCTTGTAGAAATCCTCGATCTTCGTCAATTCCTTGTCCAGGTATGTAAAGAAATCGGCCTGTTTCTCGTCGAGCTCTTGATACGCCGAGAGCTGCATGTCGTTGACGGTGGCCTCGGTCAGATCACGGGGAGCGAACATCTTGCGGAACCTTTGCGATGCGGAGAGCGAGTTCGTCCTCTGCAGCGGTCCGGAGACGGACTGGCTTTTGACCCCCTGCCGCCGCTTGAACATGGCCTTTGCTAAGCTTCCCGCGATGCTGTGCCTGGCGAGAGGCGGATGATGTGTCTGACCAACATGGTACGGATCGGGTGCGGGTGGAACTTGGGCCGGTGGAGGGAGTCGCAGGGACGTTTCCTGGGATTTCGGTTCCAGTTCTGTGGGTGGCCGCGACCGTGCAGGGGTCAAGGCAGGATCTGGAAGTTCGAGGGCGGCCATCATACCCGGTGTCTCATCTGGAGGCGTGCCAACAATGGAACCATAACTCATTACTCGCCGCGCCGATTGACTGGGATAAAGCGGCGTATTTTCTGGCGGCGTCTCTGCACTGTCGACCGGCGCCCTGGGAATGTATATAGGTGGAGACGCTGCGAACATGGTATGACTTTGCCGCTGGGGCATCGGGGGTCTGTCCCCCAACTCTTCATCTTCGTCTTCATCTGGGCCGATCTCTTCTATCTCGGGCAGGGACTGGGTTGACCTCGCGGTAGGCGGCCGGTGGAGGTTGAAGTCATAGTGGGTGAAGGGTGTGCGCGGACCTGAGAAGGCATCGAGGTTCGCAGATCGGGGTTCAGTGCCGGGTGTTCTCTGGAGGTTCCTGAGGGCCTTCGAGATGGCCTTGATCTTCTTCTTTCCCACCTGCGAGCAGTCACAGTCAGTGTGAAGCGACTCCACTCGCACCCAGAGCGACTTGCCTTGTAATTCAAGTACTTGGCTTTCCATTCCGGAACCGCTTCTTCCTCCAATTCCCTACCACGGTTAGATTTCCGGTTCGAGAGAAGGGCGTCTTTGTCAATACAGGCGTAGGACTTACTTTGCGAACTTCATGGCGCGATTGCAGGCCTCTGCATCAGCGCATCCTGCCTCTTAGCCGTAGTCATCTATCGCAATGTTCGAGAGACTCAACAAATGGCCCGGGAACGAGGATAAATGGTGTGGGGAGGGAGCCATGGGAGGATCGCGAGGGCGGAGAAAGCGAGAGAAAAGACGCGAGAAAGTTGCACTGCATGGGCGTCATAGTCAAGCTTTTGAGCTTGACTGGCTGAGATCCGCAAATCCTCGCTACCCACGTGCGTCGTCGATACGTCCATCTTCTTTTCTGTCACTTCGATCTCAATGCCATAACCCCAAGGGCTACCGGGTTTTCCGGGGTTCCCAAGGCTTCGCTAGATATCTACCAGTGCCTTACGGCTATCTGAAGATGTCAGCTACATAGTCTTCAGGGCTGTGCCCGCACAGAACCTTGCCAGTCGCCAGCCTAGCCCATCAGACCTGCTCTGACTTCATGAACACCCAATCAGGCAATCCGTCAGGCGGGGTTTGTTGATCTGAAGAGGAAAATATTGACGACGTTCAGGTACTAGGTATAGGGACTTATGTTCACCACAGGAAGAACCCTTTGCTATCCATTGCTCCTGCTTCACTTCAAAAACACCCTGATTTACCTCGAGTACCTCGAGTACCTCGAGCTTTCGCCATCCGCCAGCAAACATGGTCTACACAATAACCGTCCACCTACGCGCCAAATCCTCCGACCCGGCCATCATCCAAAAGCTCAAGAACAAGCTCATCGAGGCTTCCCGGGTGTACTCCAAAGACAAAGAGACCCTGTCGTGGTTCGTCATGCAGTCTGTCCACGACGAACGCGACTTCACCATCGTCGAGAGATACAGGCAGGAAAGCAGCCAGAAGTATCACCTGGAAAACCCGTACTGGAAGACCTTCGACCCGTACGTCAAGCCGCTCCTGGAAGGGGAAATGGATCTGAGAAGGTTTGAGGAGCTGGACACGAGCAAGGACGTCGTCGTAGAATGATCATAAAGGTCGAGCGCAGCCTCCACAAATCTAACAATCACGGAGGCGCACTATTAGTGGATGGCTTTCTGCACGGTCACTCCACCTCCATGATCAAAGGCTGTTTCTTGAGGATGCTCAGTATTGATTTTATCTCTTGATATGTACATATTGAATGATTCTTGGTCAGTTACAACAACGCCGTTTTGAATGCCTATACGCTCCTTGAACAGAAGCCATATCATAGAGAAGTCAGGTTGTAGTAGAATAGACCTCTGGCTTCATATTCCTGCTCGTGGAAGGGGCTCGACGCTCTGTTTAAAGCCGTCTTACCATCCAGAATCTCTGTTCCCTTAGAAGCACCCACCGACCGTCTTCCTCTCCACTGTGGTGTCATCCCCTCAATGCCTTTCTTCTGGCCTTCGCTCGTTCGCCAAATCTCTTCTGAGACTGTCCACGTAGCGCCATGGACGTTGCCCACCCAATCACGAGGGCGATGTACCAAATTTATGTTTAACCGTACGAAATTTGTGCGTTTGGCTCACCTGGGGCCATGAAATTGGTCTCAGGGTTGCCCGTCTCCTTTGCTGCACTGCAGCGAGCCATTGTCGGTGAGCTAGAGCATCGTTAGTATCTTAATGTTTATATGGGATTTGGCTGGGCGCGCTGGTGTATGACATACCTTCTTGAAATCACATCCGTCTGGTAGAAGTCTTTGATGGGAAGCTCCAACTTCTGTCCTGTAGCTTTAGAGCCCTTGTTCGCATCTACAAGCTGTACTTTGCTCAACCCAGTCAAAGTCTGCGGCTCAAGGGTGTCGTATCTCCGTAGCGCCGGCGAAATCTCTTCGAGACGATCTCTCAACACTTCCAAATCGTCATATGGTAACGGGGCACCCAAGAACTCGGATGCTGCTCGAATAATCTTCCAGTCCGTCCGTGCCGCTCCGGGTATTGCGACCGCAGAGCGAGTGATCTGCACCCGGCCCTCAGTGTTTACATAGGTTCCGGATTTCTCGGTGTATGCAGAACCAGGAAGAATGACATCCGCGAGCTGTGCACCAGTCTCACCGTGGTGACCCTGGTAAACAACAAATGCGTCCTTGGGGATATCGGCCTCGGATATCTCATCTGCACCCAATAACCAGACCATCTTGGGTTTTGTCTCTGCAACTTTCTGAGATGGAACGGTGAAGCCGACCTCGTAAGCTCCTGCTCTGGAAGCCGCCCGCTGAAGGACATTGTATCCTTGCCACTCCGGGGTGTTGAAGTTGGCCTGGTGCTTGTCCACGAAGGAACCCACTGACTCGAAAATCGCTGCTGCATCCGGGTGCTCGGCGACGGCGCTGCCTACGATGATCATAGGCCTCTTGGCTTCCGCCAATTTCTTTCCAAACTCACCGGAAAGGACTTTCTTGACTGCTGCGGCGTCGGTGCCCAAATGCTCGAACTCGAATGTGCTCTCAAAGGGTTCACCAATATACCCAATCTCAAGCGGCGATCGCATCCACTGTTTGCGGATACGGGCGTTAAGGACAGCTGCCTCCCAACGGGGATTGCTTCCAATAATGAGCATGCTGTCGGCTTCTTCAATACCAAAGATCTTGGAATTGAAGAGGTAATTTCCTCGAATGTCGATACCGTGGGCAATCGGTGCGCTACCTCCTGGCTGGTCAAGAGCGAGATTCTCCGAGTTCAATTTATTTGCCAGGTCTTTCATGGCAACCAGGGATTCAGTCTCGACCAAGTGGCCAGCGATAGCTTTGAACTCGTTCTCGCCAGGCTTAAGCCGGGCGTACGCGTTGCCGATTTCTGTTAGAGCTTGTTCCCATGTGGCTGGCAGGAACTTATCATCCCTTCGGATCAGCGGTGTCGTTAATCTTTGCGTCTTCAAGCCATCAAGAGCAAAACGGGTCTTATCATCGATCCACTCTTCGTTGATATCGTCGTTCAGTCTGGGTAGTATTCTCTTGACTTCCATTCCTCTGGCGTCCACTCGGATGTTTGAGCCCAAAGCATTCAGAACATCGATTGATTCAAATTTTGTAAGTTCCCAAGGCCGATAGCTGAAAGCCCCTGGTTTCGGCAGGAGGGCACCAACAGGGCACAAGTCAGCCACGTTTCCTGAGAGTTCGGTGTCAAGGTTCCTTTCGAGATATGTGCCGATTTCCAATGAATTGCCTCTGCCCGTAGACCCCAGCTCCGGAGCACCGGCAATCTCGTTGGCAAACCGAATACACCTCGTGCAGTGAATGCATCTGTTCATCGAAGTCTTGATCAAAGGCCCAATATTCTTGTCCTCGACAGCACGCTTGCCCGTAACTTCGTGGAAACGGCCACGATCGGCACCGTATCTCATGGATTGATCTTGCAAATCGCACTGGCCACCTTGGTCGCAGATAGGACAATCCAACGGATGGTTGGCCAGCAGGAACTCCATAATGCCTTCTCTTGCTTTGTGGGTCATTGGCGAATTGGTCTTGACAACCATGCCCGGTTGGACGGGCCATGCACAAGATGCGACAGGTTTGGGGACTCGTTCGACTTCGACTAGACACATACGACAGTTTCCGGCAATGAGAAGTTTTCTATCGATTCACCGGTTAGCACTGAGCGGGCGTTGTGTGCCGCACTAAGGTTCCAAGGACGTACTCATGGTAACAGTATCGGGGTATCGTCACGCCCGCTTTTTCACAAGCTTGGATCAAAGCTGATCCAGCCTCTATCGACACCTTCCTGCCATCGATGGTGAGTTCGACTTCGGCATTCCGTCTGGCCGAGGAGGTGAACGTCCTGGTCGCCGCTTGTTTCGTTGTTGAGGACAGCAAAGGTCTTGTGCGCCCGGCGGCGCGAAGAAGCTGAGACCGCATTCTGCCACAACCCGTCGAGCAGGTCCCAGCTCTAAAACTCGAAAGGCAGCGTTGTTGAGATGGAGGTGGTGGCGTCGACAAGAAGCTCTTTGAAGTTTCGCGGGTTGCAGCTTTCATTGACGACAGCAGGGTGTCCACCAATCAGATCACGAGTGATTACTGGTCCTCGATTACGGTGGATCAAAGGCCGAGACATATGCAATTCTGACATGACCCACGAATACATACACCATGCAAGATACTAACAAGATACTCACAAGCGCCATTTAACTTTCATACAGTCTGTGGCCTACCTGAACCTATATACATCCTAAGATGAACCGATCCGGGTATCTGAAACATCAAAAACCAGACTACCTTAACCCACGACACCCGCTAGCTCAATCCCTCGAAAACCAGTCTCTCACCCTCCTCCTCCAGGTCCCCAAAGTCTGTATCGACACCACATAGGCGTACATCATCGTCTTTAAGGGAACCCAGGCTATCCATCCCTTGCTGAGATCCTTACCCATTTCCTCCGCTGCGCCGTCGATCATGCCGACCAGAAACGTCACGGGTCCTTCTCTGCTGAACATGCCTTGTTTATTTGTCATGGTCTTTTTCTGGTATCTCTTTGCCCGAGGGAACATGTTCTCTTCGTACTTTCGTACCGCTTCGTCCACGTTGCCTTGCTCCTTCAGCGCTTGCTCAAGGGCCTCGGCCAGCTCGAGTGAATCTTTCATCGCCTTGTTCACCCCCTCCCCTGCGAACGGCGTCATCAGACTGGCAGCGTCTCCAATGAGGGTATACCCCTTCTTGTGGTCCCAGGTATGCCCAACGGGTAACTCGTAGAGTGGTGAAGCACGGAATCGAGTGCTAACGCGGATCAGCTCTTTCTGTTGGCGCGTCCAGTCCTCGTAATTTTCGAGGATTCTGTCCTTTAATTTCTCCTCGTTGTCACCACAAGTGACCAGCAGGTCTGTAGCCCAGCTCTCGTTGTTTTCCTTCTTCACCCAGGCCCCGATCTTGATCGAGTCATCGCCCATTCTTTGCGCAGTCAAACACTTTCCGTCCGAGTATGAAAAGTAACTGCCCTTGCCAACCATCTTTGAAAGCTTTGGGTGTTCCTCTTTCGGTTTCGCGATGCGGCTTTCAAAGCCACAGATGCCCGCATAGTGTGGCCTCACGTTGGTCAAGACGTGTCGAACTTTGGACCACGCACCATCAGCGCCGACGACCAAGTCAAAGGGGCCGGCCGTCGAACCGTCGCGAAATGTCAGGATACCGCTGTTAGGCTCAATCGATTGTAGCGTCTTTCCCCATTCCACCCAGTCGCTCTCAACACTCTCTAGCAGCATCTCTTTCAGAACCTCCCGATCTATCTCGGGTCTCTCATAGTCTAGTTGCGACTCTCTGCTCTTAGAATTGGGCTGACTCTTCATGTGGATGATGATCGTATCGTTCTTGTCGGCGATGAATAGTTCCTCCCCCTCGTAACGGAGATATTTGAGCGCTTCTTCCCACAGCCCTGCCTTTTTCAGAGCCGCGAGACCAGTGTCCGTGTGTAAGTCGAGTGAGCCGCCCTGAAAGAACCGCGATGTGGGACTGGCATCTCTTTCGAAGATAGTGATGGAGATGTCGACAGATGCAACTTGTAGGAGGCGGGCAAGCGTGAGGCCCGCGGGGCCCGCGCCGATGATGGCGAGACTGAACGGCATCGGAGTGAAGGGCCTTGCCAAGTGGCTTGGAATAAGTTGGTATTCGATATGAGTGTAATGTCGGGCTTGAGAGAATCCTGATGCACTGATGTCTGGACGTGCTAAAGCACGTTTCCTGCTGGTAACAAATAGTCGTGATGATGCTCTTATGCCGCCCTTGACTTTCGATGAGTTGCACTTGTAATTCTTTTGTGGTAGGCGAGAAAAATCAAACGAGCGAGCAGTTGCTGCCTGGGCTCAACTACACCTTATATCCTGAGACTGACTTACCTAGTAGTATTTGTTTCACTGCTCAAGAAAATGTGACACCTTTCAACCTACATGCCATTGGGCCCGACTACCTCATGACGAAGTGTTCCTGGACGTTTAGAATTTCAGAGTTCGGGCCCATGCATTCATTCAGTGGGCGGTCCTACCCATCTCGCCAGTCCTCCCCAGGGGACATCCCGCTCGGAACTACAGTGGTGTGAGTTGTGGCCAAAGTTTTCTTTTTCGGGCCCGCGCAGAGCTTTAACGGCCGAAGGCGGCTCGCAACAATGCCACATCTCGGCGAATCACAAAGATTGGACCCATTTCGATACGAGTTCATGCCAAAATGGGGAAACAATACGAGGTACCTCATCCTGGGACTCGTTCAAGGTGCTCAAAAGGGTTTATTGCGCGAGGAAGCGTCATACAGAGATGGGCATCACCGCGCGTCTTAGATCGCGAAAGCTGGCTAGATTTATGTAGATACTTCGATGTGGGAGCTTTGTGATCTATTTTGCACGCACGGATGATGTTCTATACCATCATGGCTCCAAAGCCAAACATGGCAGCAAATCCCAGCTTGCCGTCCACACCGCTTCGTTTTTGTATCAAAGCACCAGCGTTCGAACTGGTCGCCGCGGCGCTCGGCTGGCTTGAGGATTGCGATCCAGTGCTATCAGTGCTAGCCGTCGGGCATCCTAAACCATTGCAGTTTGCAGCCAGCTCCGCGCTGGGTACAAATGTCTTGATCGGTCTCGTGCTGTTCCTCAATGGGTTGCCATTACCATCAAGGCTTTCGACTAAACTCCAAGGATAGTAGTTGGGTCCAGTGAACATAGTTTCGAATCCATTTCGAGGGACGGTGCCCACCACCGTCCACGGCCCGTTGCGCGACGTACTCGAGTAAACGCGCCACTGAGTAACCTTCGTGGCACCGTTCCAGCTCATCCAATAGGATGTCGGCGCACTAGTATTGTGTGCATATGTGTACAAAGCAGGTGCATCGGTTGGACTGGAGGTGAAATTATATTTGAAGGCGCGGTAGTGCATCGATCCCTCTGTGGCGAAATGTCCTTGCTGGACCATTCGCCCATCGGGTGCGTACTCAGATATGAAAGCGTTCTTGCCCCATCCCATGAACACGTTGGAAGTCGACCATTCTTGATTGCTTCCAAGGACCTGCAGGTTGCCTTGCGATTGGGAGATAAATTGGTATGGCGCAATAAATCTCTTGAGAAGTGTGACCGAGTTTGTGGTATGGTCGAGCTTCAAGACTAAACCAGAAGAGTAGCGGGCAGTCTGGTTGTACCCATTTGACGCATTGTCGAACAACGTGATGATAGTGGTGGTTTCGTTTTCCTCACGGAACCTTGCATCATGCTGGAAGCTGAAATTAAGCCCTGCTGGGAAGGTGAAGTCGGAGGCGATTCCACCCAGGCGCCAAATGATGTGCCCATCTTGTCCTGATACCTTGTATAGGGCACAGGTGTGGCGTGCAGAGACCAGATAGTCTCCGTCTGCATTCTGATCGACGCTGTTGATATGGAAATAGTCCCAGGGGCTCGTCGGTCCAAAGCCATCCCCCGAAACCTCTGTCGTGTCTGGCAGCACGAACGTTTCATTGGGTAGTACATGATCCAGGGCAGACCATTCGAAGAGCAGTCGACTGGTGCCAATCTCTATATGTTGAAAGAAGTTGTTCATAATCCAACCCTGCCCTGATGTGATATTGTAGGCCGACAGATCATAGTGCTCCGGATTGTAAAGCGTGAATAGCGACGAGCCGTCGGGGAGGACATTGAATTCATGCTCGTCAAAATTGGCCACACCCGCTTGCGAATGGATCGACGTTTTGGCCGTGAAAGTGTCGTCTAAGACCACAGCGTAGCCTCGAGCATATCCGACATTTTGGCCTCCGGTTATATAGCATAGATTGTCTGTCCCATTGATTTTGCAGAGGTGGAAATTGTGGCTAGGGCCACCACCAGTTGAGCCATATCCCGAATACACCAAGTTCTGCCACTGGTCAGTATTTGTCCCTCTTTGATTCGTCCAACTGCAGCACTGACCCCTCTATTGTCGTAGATGTAGATAGCCTCTTGAAATGTCTGGTATGGACCGAGGAAAATATAACCAGGAGTCACGGCGTCTTCGTCGAACAGAGAGATATTCAGGAACGGCGCGTAAATGTCAGGTCTCTACCTTCAGCGTCAGCAGCAGAGGCGCAGGTCTCCAGAAGGACTTACAGATTTGTATTGAGACAACGGGCCCGTTCCGTTCGTTTTTATTGATACTTGACCTTGACATTGCACGCCCGGATAGGTACATAACAATGTCCAGAGCGCAAGCAGAACAAGCCGTAGTGCAGATGTCATGGCGGAGAAGCGAGTAGGCCGTCAGCGTCCGTCGAGGCGCCCACTCACATCAACGCAGGCAAATCGACTTCGTTTTGGACACGAGGACTCCAGGTTGGATGTAGTAATAGGAGGCGGTCAAATCTCCATCGTTTGCCTCCTGACAAACGACGCAGGACGGGGGGTTTGCCTGCCACCGTCCATCATTTTGGGTCAAGCACACGGAGAAGTTCCTTGAATGGGTTCTCCACTGATGACGCAGATTTGCATTCGGCCCATTTAGCAAGGGACAGCAGCAGAGGACAGCAACTCGAATGGGCCAAATATTAATCGAGAACAGACCAGAGAGCTGCCAGAAGAAGTTAAAGACTTTTTGCCACTGGCCATCAGCTGTCACCGCTGCCACCGCTGTATGAAGCATGTCGCTCACTGCATCAATGCAGTCACACCAGGCCAAAGTATACAACACAAAGCCGGTTTCCAGACGCTGCCTTTAAAACCAGACTAGTGCCACCCTTACGTCCAGCCGCTCAATTCCAGTGTCAACCAGGTCCTATAAGCCATAACCCAGCATGAATAAGGTACAATCATGGACCCTTGAGTGGCCTCGCACGCATCGACACTTTTGCCCATCACACGCTCTAATCAGGAATGTGCTGGGGTTTCTTCATCTCCTGGTTTCTGCCCAAGCATCACAAATCTAGGATACTGTTAGTGGAAGGCGAAACATTCAGAGAAGAAAGGATCCAGGCACTTACAACGGCCAGTAGCTATGGACCGTGCGGTCTCTCGCGTCTCTTCGGCATTCATCCAGTAAATTCTCGAGCTCTTCAAGCGAGTATCCGAGCAGCTCTGTAAATACCTTCAGGCTCAGTCCTTGAATGCCGTCGAGTATGTTGACAAGGCCGAACATGCCAGCCTGGCGGAGTTGGGGATCCTTGGGCCACGGGCCTATGGGTATTTTGTACTTGCGGCAGATAACATTGACGAAACCTGCAGTGCGCATCTGCTCCATGACGAGGTTGGGTCTGCAGAAGCCGCCCAAACCAGCCATTGCCATTCCCCTCGTCCATTCACGTTCCCAGAAGCTAAGCCGACTGTTTGGCGGGATGGTGTTATCGTCACTTCGACGATTGTAGTCAAACTCCTGGCATTCCACCCAGCCGCCGGGTTCGAGGCACTGAAATGCTTGCTCGAAGAAATGAGGCCAGCTCCTCAATGTAAAGTCACTCATGATCCTTGTGTGAACCAGGTCAAATCTCTGGGGAAATGCCCACTCTTCGTCGGCATCGGCAATCTCGAAGGTCAAGTTTGGCGTTACGTAGTTCGGCTGGATGGGACTCAGATCTGTGCCAACGACGTTTGCCTCGGGATGTGCTTCAGCCGCCTCCAGTGCCCATGAACCTGTCCCAGTTCCAATGTCGAGAATCCCCTGTGGATGGGGGATAGGAGCAAAGAATAGCTTGTTCTTCAACGACAGGCGGACGGCATGGTAAGTAATGTCGATTCTGTCCTGCTCGCTCTCGTCATTGGGCATCAAGTATTTGCCTCTGTGGAAGGAATGATAGGTGCGATTATGTAGTCTCTCATATTCGTAGACGCTTTCTGTCACCGACTGCGTGCTGGATTCTTGATCCCAGTATCCAGAGTCTGTCTCATCCAGACCTGGGTGAGTGTCGTCATCCTGGATCAGTCAATCGCAAACGAACTTTGCCGTGGAGGTTCTCTAAGGTCATGGCTTACCAAGGGATCACTGATTGCCTCCAAGGCACTGTCGCTACCAGAGACTGACATTTTGCGGGCAAGGAGACTTCTTCATACCAACAAGCCAGCAGGGGTTTTCCGATGAGATGGAGGAGAGGTTTACATTTTGAACCCGCCTGGCGAGTACAAGTGACTCAATAGAAGCGGAGAGACACAGGCAGGCACGAGACAAATTGAAAGCTAGAGAAAGACCCAAGGGATTCATCCCGCTCCATGGCTCGATTTATCTGCCTCCCAACAACACATCAGCTGTCAAAAGATATGCAAGCTGTGCCAACACCAAGTCGGATCACCAATTGGACACGCCGATCCCAGCTTCTTTTTAAATTCTCTAGCTACACACAGCCCGCATCCGGACCTTTTTGCCGCGGACGCCCCGCGTGTCCTTGGCTATCGTGGCTATCCACCTGTTCGCCTCCAGGGCCAAACAGAACGACGGACAGGCGCTTGCACAGGAATCGCAGGCCTCAAAGAGGCAAAAAAGGAGGCCGCTAAGGAGACATGGTTTCGGAGGGTGCGCAGGACGCCGTCGGAGTTCGAAGCCCCTAGACAACGTGGATAACTAAGCCCTAGACAACCCTCATTTGACATGTGTCAACGGCTTGTTTGAGATGCATCAGGCTAACGCGTGGTTGCAGATGCTCCCTTGTCTACGCGGTATTGTGTGCTCGATCAGACGTTAGGCGGGCTTTTCTTTCGTGGATCGACCTGCACAGGGAATTGTGCCTCCGTTCCATGACTTGGGTAGGCGAACACCATCTATGCAACAGCCGATAGCAATCGAGGGAGCCACTGACGCCGTTCGATCCTCCGGCTGTTCTCCTCCATCCCCCACCGTGTCTGTCCTTTTGCCATGGACGGTCTCTCACTCCTCAGGTGAGTTACAAAGAGCAGCGTTTCAACAGGACGACAATGGCAAGCTGTTCAATGAGCAAGTCGTGATTTTGGATGTCGCTGAAGACAAGTCGCCTGTGTCACTCATTCTTCTCTTCCGTCCATCATGTTGTCCATTCTCGCAGCTCCACAGACCCTACCGGGCCTGATATTACTTGGGGCAGTTGCTATTGTCTGGTTCGTGTTCAGCACCGTCGTCTCCTATCGCAAGCTTCGACATATTCCTGGGCCTTTGCTTGCTTGCTTCTCGCAGCTATGGATCTTCAATGTCACCACGAAAGGGAACCTTTATCTCACTATGGAAGAGGTGTTGCACAAGTACGGTACGATGTGAAAGGGGCGATACCCCGTTCTCTCCTTCCAGCTGCTGAACCTCGGAAACAGGATCTCCTGTCAGGATAGGGCCCAACATGATCATGACCGAGTACGCCAGCCGTCTCCGCCACCCCCGGCCTCATAATAATTGCTATTCTAACCACTTTTAGCGACCCTGAGTTCGTTCGGGTGATAACAGCTCCTCGCTCGCCGTTCAGGAGAGGCCATTGGTATAAAGGCATGAAGATTGACCCGCGGATCAACAATCTCCTGTCCGAACAAGACGAGAAACGCCACGCAGAGTTGAGGGCGAAGATGATGCCAGGAGTACCTCTTTGGGCATGCCACTACAAAATCATGAGCTAACCGTTCTTCACCCAGTACACGGGGAAAGAAGTCCCTAATCTCGAAGAGAAGATTGACGACCGCGTCCTCGATCTGGTCAACCTAATCCAGCGAGAAGGAGTTGAGAAACGGACTTCGATCGACTTTGCCATGTTTGCGCAGTACTTCACCCTCGACAGCCTCACGCATATCGGTAAAAAACTTCCGCTGTTCTGGTTGGAAATCCAGGCAGAAAGACTGATCAGACGTGGAAACAGCATTTGGCCATCCCTTCGGCTTCTTGATCGAGAATCGAGATCTATACGACTACAACAAGTCCAGCACGGCTTTCTTCCCTGTCATGGAGTTGGGCACGAACATACCACTCATCCACTCTGTCCTGTCCAGTTCCCTAATGCAAGCCCTCGCCGGGCCCAAGCCGGAAGACAAAGCAGGTCTTGGAGCTATTATCGGCATCGCACAAAAAATCGTTGCTGAACGGTTCAACCCGAACTCGGAGTCCAAGAATGAAAGAGACATGCTGAATTCGTTCATCAGGCATGGCCTGACCCAGTTAGAGGCAGAGTCAGAGTCCCTCCTCCAGATCCTTGCAGGCTCGGTAAGGCGTTGTCATTCTGTCTAATATTTCCCTTCCGGATTCTTCGAGCTTTCGGCTCCCCCTTTCCCTCCCGTCTTAAGCACCAGACTTTTTCTTAGAGCTTTGGTTTCTAGCAACAATCGATGTCCTTCGCGTGTGTGCTGAGGTGAACAGGATTCTACCGCCACCACGATCCGTATGACGTTCCTGTATATACTGACCAACCCGGCGGTGTACGCCAAACTACGCGCCGAGATCGATGAGGCCGTCAGCGCAGGCCAGGTCTCGTTCCCCGTGGTCAAGAACGTCGAGGCCAACCAGGCCCTGCCGTACCTCCAGGCGTGCATCAAGGAAGGGCTGCGGTTGTGGCAGCCGTTGAACGGGATGCAGACCAAGCTGTCACCGCGCGACGAGGAGATTGTTGTAAGCGGCGTCCGCATTCCGCCCGGCACGCAGATCGGGTTGAGCCAGCACACCATGATGCGCAGGAAGGACCTGTTTGGGCCCGACGCCGCCATCTTCCGACCTGAGCGCTGGCTCGAGGCGGATCCGGACACAGCCAAAGTCTACGAGCGAGTGTGGGAGCTGTCGTTTGCGGCGGGCAGATTCACGTGTCTGGGCAAGGGCATAGCGTTGATGGAATTAAACAAGGTTTTTGTCGAGGTACGTGTGTGGTTAGAGCTGGGGGCTGCTCTCGAATTATTCGCTTGGAATAGTTGACACTGATGCATTCTTCGTGTAACAGCTCTTCCGCCGGTTTGATTTCGGCATCGTCAACCCGGTCAACACCATGGAGACCAAGTGCCACCAGATTCATGTTCAACGACACATGTATGTCCATGTCACAGCTCGAGCACTCTGAGGGCGGCTGACGGGGATGTATCATTTTTCATTTGAATATCGTATGCCTGCCCACGTTGTCTATTTCAAGGGCCAGGCACTGGACAAGGCACACAAGGCGCGAGCACATGTCTGAAAGTTACGTTGATTGATTGAAGAATCTGGACACATTGGAAGTTTATAGGTGATGTAAACGCTGGTCTTTGGAATGGAACTACTTGATGTCTGCCCCCGTTCTCGCATGAATATCATGGTTGTCGTTATCCCACGTCTTATAACGCTGCATTCTGAATTCTAGCATTACCTCCCCTGTATCTATACTATTTGACGACACACCCTCCAACCTTGTGCTCCGCCCCTGGGCGACCCTGAATGGGGCAAGTTCACTGAGTCTCGACTGTACCCGTTCCTACATCCAGATAGGGAGTCATTGGAGCCTCGGACCGACTAACCAGAAACCCTTTCGACCCTCGCCTTATAGCGCAGCAGCAAGTCCCCCAGTATCCCCGTTCATTGTGTGCGTGTGTCGTCAAAGGCCGAAGAAAAGCCCACCATTCCATACTCAAGAATTAGACTTGGGGTTTGGCCGCTCTCTCTATTTCTATGGCAAGGGCTCGTAGGCTCCGCCGGTCTTGTGGGCCTCGCGGTTCGAGAAGAGGAAGTAGATGAGCATGCCGAGGATGGGGAAGAGGAAGACGATCAGACACCAGAGGAGTTTGTGGCTGGGTGGGCGGTTGGATTTGAGGACCTCGACTGTTTATTCACCACGCGCCCTGGTTAGCTATTGTGGTTGTATGTCCATGCGTGTGTTGTCATGTAATCCAATCCGAGAGCTTTGCGACACGCAAAAGCAATGAGACCGGGGACATGAGGAGGGAAGACGAAAGAAAGTGGGAGGAACGTACTAAACACCAAGACGTCAAGAACCAAAACGATCAGGCCGACGATGCCACCGCCGGTGCCGTAGCCAATCATGTCCTTGTTCATTGCGTGTAGGGTCCCGTCACCACCGTCCGTAATGGGCGCTGCGAAGGCTAGGGCAGCCAGGAAGAGCTGTATGAGGACGTTTTGGATCATTTTGTAGGGTGCGACGGAGATGTACTCGGTACTACTATGGGAATTTCGATAGGGATTCCCGAGAAAGGTGGAATGAACAGGTGAATAGATAATAGACGATGATGAGATGAGCGGGTTCGAGGTCAAGGTCGATGGTGAGGTGTAGAGCGAATGCAGGTAAGGTTTGGGAGGAAAATCGGAGGACTAGGCAACTGTATTTATCTCATACTTGGCCCAGGGGAGGTATTACGTGCAACCTTTTTCTCAGCTGCTCTGTAGCTACCAACACAGGAGGCTTTTCTCGATGCTGCTTCGTTATTGTGTCACTGCGGGGTCGCAGTCACTTCCTTGGTTTTGGCGCCACCAGCACCACCCAACCAGCATCACCTGCCGCCTGTGCTACCTGCAGGGGCTGGGCCGATTGGGGAAAGTCAACACGCGATGCCCGCCACAAGCTTGTCTGTATTCTGTCGATTTCTTACGACGTCATAATGTTTAAAGAGGGGTGACGATTGTGACGGCACCAGACTGCGACAACGCCAGACGGGCAAGTCTCAAGTCTCGAGCCTCAAGGCTCCCCAAGCACATCCATCTAGTGGCCCTAATGATAACGGAGGCCTCCGATCTCAACCCAAAGCCAAAGCCAGTCGACACTCCCCCTCCACAGAACGCTGCTCAACATGGCCACCACGATCCGAGGCAATCGTGTGGTCCCAGTGGAGTGGCGGCCGGCCAAAGTTATAAAGTGTCCATCTTGGATTGAGAATAAGGGGCACCATGCGGGTTTCCTCATTCTCATCGTCTTCCAGGGCGTACTTCTGGGAAATGATAGGGCACTCTTCAGGACTCCAAGAGACGGTCTCCTAGAAAGTATCGGCGGACTCCCAGTTGCCCACCCAACGCGGCACCCGGCCCAGTCTGCTGTTGAGATCCTCATCCAAGGAAAGATCACTAGATATGGTAGCAGTGGTAGACGGGGGAGGTTCAGCCCCACTCCGCTGCCACATGCTCTCGTCTTCGTCGTCGATTTCATAGTTCGTCGTGGCGAAAAGGGCCGGGTCGGTAACACTGTCGTTCTCGTTGCTGCCCTCATCGTCGAAGGTGTTGCAATCGAAGGTGGTGCCGTTGTTGTTGTAAGCTATAGAGTACAAGGGGTCGTCTCGAGGGAAAAGGGGCACTTTGGTCTCCCAGCCGTCCTCTTCCCGGATTGTCTTCTTTCCGTTATCCTTGGGAGTTTCCGGGGCATCTCGTTTCGCATTGCGAATTTGGCGCATGTTCTGATCATTCCGTCGAGTAGTGAGGTTAACGGGCTTCTTTGTTACTGATGCGCACGCGGCCCTGAATTGCGCATGGCGTCTTCGTTTCCTGTCCAGGGCACCGGGACTCGTAAGAGGTGACCGCTGGCTCTGGTCTCCATATCCCCCGCGTCCCCCCTGAGGATATTCCTGTTCCACCCCATTGATACAGGCGCCCTGCAACCGTCCACTTTCTTCGGGATAAATGCTGATTGTATGTGGAAGCTCCCGATCGACCAAGGCCCAATCTTCCAAATCACACTGGCAACGGCCGCAAGAGAAACACATTATCGCTGAATCGTGAACAAAGGGAAGGCCACCGTCGATAACAATCGCATAACGTCGGTATTGAGCAACTCGATTCGGATAATCTCGAATGAACTCTGTACAATATCAAGGCAGAGGGTTACAGACTCCACCAAATCCGAAGCAGGAACGCCGCACAGTCGACAAAGACAATAGGAAGGTTGTATCACCTTTTCATCTCAGAACGCATCCAAAGAACCGCGGAATGCGCATAGAGGCAGAAGTACAGATGTGAAGAGGTCAATATGTTCCTGGTGATTGAGCAAGTGATTGAAAAGCCATCAAGCTAGGTGGAGGCGTGACAAAATCCGGAATGACATGGCAAATCAACGTTCTCTTCCTTCTGGTTCCCGTGAGGCTGTCAAAGTCAGGGATGCTTGCTATGCGCGTTTGGGTTGCTTTGTCATTGTTCCAGAGGACGCTGATAGTTACAGCGACCACATGTTGAGCGAGATCAACAGACAAGAAGAGCGGTGAGAAGAACCAGCAACCCAACTTGATCCCAGCTTTGAATGGGCTGAGTGAATTCCTCGAGGGTGATTCTCGGGACGTCGTGCTCAAGTGGAGCAGACAACCAGCAGTGTGGCAGGCTTCGGACACTAGTCCAGAGAGATTCCTCTGGAACTGACAGATTCGCGTTTCAAGGTGTGGTGCCTGTTGGTTCAACCAGTAAAGATTGGTGGCCGCAGTTCACCAAGGCTATCATCCCCTCCAAGGGACCATCTGGTAGGGTAGTGTCAGTAATTTTGTCATGAAAAGATAACAGGATCTCTGATGGTGTATGCAGCCGTTTCGACCCCATGATATTTATGTTTCGACTTTATGAATGGAGTGGAGAGTAAACAGCTGAGCCAGAGCGCTGTGGCTCCCTCTGGTTGTTAAAAATTGACGACTCTGCTTTTCTCGAGTGGCTGCAATGCTGAGGATCCCACGACTAGCGATCCTCCCTCTGCTGTCACTCGTCGACCCGTTGATCGAAGATTCAAACAGCGTAGTACTTCTCATACAACGGATCTTTCTCGCCTTCTGCAGTTTCGCGCCAGTCATACTCCAAAGCCTTAGCCAGACCTCTCGCCACATCTTGGCCACCATAGTGTTGCGCGACAAATGCTAATGCTAGATCCATCCCTGCACTTATCCCGGCCGAAGTCCAGATCTCGATGGGGGCGTTGTTCTTGCCTTGCACTTCAGACGGCAGGCTCCGGACCCATCGAGCAAAGTTCACCCACGCAACATTTGGATTTCGGGCTGTTACCTCTGCCCACCGGGACATGTTGGTAGTTGCACGCCGTGCATCGAGCAGTCCAGTCTGTGCAAGTGCATCGGATCCCGTACAGACTGTCAATATGGCGGTGGTTATGTGAGGAACCACCTTCGGCACAAAATCGAGCAAGCTCTGGATGTTAGATGACTTGCTGCCATCAGGATGGATGCGTCTCAGTCGTGTACCAACCCCACCAGGAATGAAAAGAACGTCGACGTGGGAACCTTGTTTGCCAGAGCTGAGGGCTTCCAGAAAATCTGCGTATGTGGTGTCTGGTTGTAGATACTCGTTGAACGTGAGGTTGACTCTGCCGTTTGTCTTCGGAAAAGCGTTTGGAAGGTCGAATGTCCAGTTGGCTGATTTGGGGGAAATAGGCTTAACCGGTACCGGGTCGAGTGTCTCAGCGATAAAAGTTAACGATAGGGGATGCTTTTCGGAATCAAGTTGAGTGGAAAGTAAATTCAAGATATCCAGCGGACCAGCGAGGTCGAGGAGCTGGAATCCAGGAAAAATTGGCAACAGGTAATGAATGGGAGGAGAGGCCATGGTAATCGAATGTTTGGTAGCAGAACTGACCAGGGGGAGGGAATACAGTCCTGAAATTAGTACAATCAATGAATTCAACGAAACTTACGGCAACTTTCCTAGCTATGGCTCCAGCTTATATCGATTTATATAGAAATGTACAATCCAGCAAATATGCGGAGGAGGGGTGAAATATGGTCTCTGGATTGGAAAAAATTACCGCTTCGGTCAAGGAATACCGTATCTGTCATGGTACAGGATGTGAGAGGGGAGGAATAATACACCGGCTGGTACAATTCTCCAGTCGGTTATGTAAGCGAGGGTAACGAAAGATGACGAGCAAAGGCGCAAAGTTGCCAAGAACCCACGTGGGCTGAACGTCCTTTGGATGGCAGACGATCTGGTGGACGGCCTGAAGTGTATATTGGTTCCATATATTGGGTGCGATGGTAAATAGGCGGTCGGAATTTGCCTAGCCTCAACCATATCCACTAGGAAAGTTCAAGTCATTGTGGGCGGCGTCATGCCAAACAAAATCGATAATTGCTTTCAGAATGGTTAGAAATCAACACAGACATCTATCAAACCGTCCTCCTCCCTCAAGCTGGAAACCTGAGGGGGGATGTGACTTGTTTATACGGAGTGGCCGGACAATCGGATATAGAGTTGTTCCGGAATAAGCCGCGCGCCGTGAGTCCCAGGTCACGAGCCAGATATGACACACTGGGACTAGCGGATTGGGCCTCTACAATCCACTGGCTTCGATCGAGATCCAGCCAATGAAAGCCCTGGGCTTAGTCGTCTTCTGACTCACTGCCACCGCTAACACCGTCTGGCTCCGTCGCCGCCGTGCCAAGGAAGAAACTTCTGCCTCTGTCCGCCACACACGTATGGTTCTGCGTTTATTCTCTCTTCCTTTTTCCTCCTCTTTCCACTGCCACACCTACTGCCACCTGACTGCTGGTTCTTCCTTTCTTGTCACTTCCAATGCGAACCATTGTCTTCCTTCTCTGCCTGGAACCTTGTCTTGGGTTCGGGCGCGGCTCCTGATGCTTTTTTATGCGCTGCCCCCTCTTATCCGAAACTTATGACTGCCTGACGGCCGCTTCTGCTTTGACTAAGAAGTAAACCACCGCCTGATCCCGCCATTCCGCCACCACTCGCAGGGCCATGCTCACCAAATCACAAGATCTCGGTGTTGAACCAAACACTTGATTGTTCAAATCTGTTTGCCTGACCTTCATTGCTTTTCGCCTCCCGTAGTACCACCTGAGAATGACGCATACTCTGATTCATCCCCCAATGGCCCAGTCCACGGCTTACTCTACAGTGCCATGTTTTCTGCCTGCCGCGCCGCCTCCGCCTCCGCCTTCACTCACTGCCGCACCTGCTATTCATCCCATTCTACTGTCACCCATTGTTCTTTCCCAATTGTTCTTTCCCATTGAACGTCTCCATTGATCTACTCAATAGTCACAAACAACTATTCTACTCACAATACTGATTCTCTGTCATTGATCGCTCCATTGAGTTGGTCGCTGCCTACAGGGATATCTGTTTGACTACAAGTATCTTTACTGTCGCCATTTATCAGCACAATATTTTCCCGCCTTGAGAACTACCAACTGACCCTAAAGACATCCTACCCTTCTGCCTGTTGACTCATTCAGAGCGCAAGAAATCGACCCATTGGAACCGCAAACTCAAAATACTCCCAACCGTGGTACCGCTGCTCTCTACAACGACGAGGGACCCCACCACGAGGACCTTCAATCTCGCGACGGCGCAGCATCATATATCGATCCCTTCTCCCCCGCTCAGTCCGCTTGTTTCCCGACCACAGTCTGTTGATCAGAAAGAGGTGGACCAGACATCGCATATGCGCGGGGACATAGAGCCCGGTATTCCTCTCCTCGACTCGCTTCCATCAGAGCAGACAAAGATGGCTTCTGAGTCTCTTCTATCCTCAAGTGAGGCATCTAGCCTACCTTCTACACTCAAGATCAATATGACCGCGCTCAACCAGAACCCTTTGATCACTCCTCCTGATCCACCAGAACACGAGTTCAGCGCCAATGTTCCCGGCGAAAACAAGGACGACGACCCGGTGTTGGTGGTTGATCAGTCAGAGGTCCTCCCACCAACTCCCACCTTGTCACGAAGCTCTTCCCATTCCTCGTCGTTCCCCGTGCAGGGTCTCTTTGATTCGGAACCTGGTTCGATCGCGCCGTCGACCACTGACCCTAGCGCATACTCAGACACTGATTGTCCTGACGTAATAAACTTGATGAGTCGCGACTACGACCTCATTCTTCGGGCGGCTGCAAAGGGGCCCCTGGAGTTCCGTGCTTCTGAAATCTACTCGCTGGATGACCGGATGGTGCCGAGGGAGCGTCGCTTGGTTCGTGGAGATGAGCTCATCAGAAGAGTGGAGCGCTTCCTCAAATACCGTATTGACTGGTTTGAGCCCGGTCTTGGAGTCAATACCGTTTGTGATGCCACGTCGTGCTCGCCAGGGCCATGGCATGGCATCAAGCGACTGGCGTTCGCGGGCCTCCTGACACAATACCCGTGTGACGACATGGACTCGGTTCTGATGGACATCAGGAACCATCTTTTCAACGGCAAACCTTCTATTCTGGAGTGGATTCCCGAGGAATCATCTCTTCCACGTGCCTCCAGGGCTCCTTCTATGTCAAGCAAACCTGTCTCAAAACCAAAGGCCGTCAAGCCCGTCAAGCCTGTCAAGAACAACCAGCAACCACCTAAGCGCCCTGCTGCAGTTGCTCCCTCACAGAAAAAATTGGCAGATCTCGCAGAAGCCGCCGCTCAGTTGGCGGACGAGCCGCTCAGCAGGACCAGAGGAGTGAAACGTCGATACACTGAGGAAAATCAAGAGCCACGCAGTGACAGCACTCAGACTGTCACAGATAAGACTGTGACAGATGAGACCTCAGAGGAGCCCGACTCCAACAAGACGGTCAAGAAGCACAAGGTTGTCTCGGACAGCAAACCCAAAACTCAGCGAAGCGCGGACAGCAAGTCTAAGAACACCAGAAACCGTAATTCAGACAAACCGAGGGGTCCAAGCGAATCACTCTGCCGAAACATCAAAGACACTCTCAACAGACGCTCCGAAGACAAGAATAACTATGAGGCATTCAACGACGCGATTCTGCCTGAGAACGGGCCGGAGATTGACCTGCCTCGTTGCGATTTCACGGCAGAGGAACTGAAGGACATCCGGGAGCTTCAGGATATTGGCGATCGCACCGGTCTTCATCCAGAAGAGGTCAAGCTCTGCAAGCTGTTGGCTATGAGCTCCGACTTGTACAAGTGTCAAAAGGCACGGTGCTTCATCGGTCTTGCGTTGTTTGTGGAGTACAACCTCGAGAAACTCGGCGAGGACAATCCCAAGTTTAAGGTCTTGAATGTCGGCAAAGCCCAGTTTCAACTGTTTGGAAATGTGGATGTCAACAAACTCAGCAAAATGTACACTACCTTCAAAAAATGGGGCTGGGTCGAGGACATGACGCAGCAGAACATCCCGCAATCTTACATTGATCGGTTCCCGCAAGCTCATCGCCTGGCGCTCAGGAACGAAGTTGCTGAATACGAGGCAAACCTCCCCATCGCAAAGCGCATTTTCAAGGTCTGAGGAGAGCCATCAATGTTGAGGCCAAAGGGAAGAGATGAGATATGAGAACTAGTTGTTCCAGCATCCGTGAGAGTTAGTCGGCGGAAAGGAAAGCAAACATGACAGAGGACATATTAACGGCGCAATTTCACGGAATCTTTTACACAGGGGCTGCTTAAACGACGAAGACATGGAAGCAGCCAGAGCTCATGGGTTACGATCAGGAAACGACTGGGTGTCGAACGAACTTTTGCATGCAAGGGTTGGGACGGGAAACTGCTTTTCTTCTTTCATTCACTTCAACTGCATTGATACCCCACGGTGGACTTGGACACGGTCACCGGCATTTACTATCTTGTTTACATTTTTTGCGTGTCTTGCATCCGGGCAACAGGGGATTGTTGTATGTATTACATTACCAACAGAGCTGGCAGAACAGGCTCTACATCTATCCTGCAGACTGAATGAATAGCTATCTAATCTGTCCATTGGATCTTGTGCGTGGCCACGTCGCTTACACCTGAAAGAGACTTTGTCTGAAACATGTCATTCCACCGTCTGGTCATGTCAATGATGTCACGCTACATGAGGCACCACCAGTTCTTGTACTGGAACTTTGTGAGTTGTGTGGCCCGTGCACTGCATCCCAAGGTTTTGCCCCAGCGTGCCGGAACCCAATGACATTGACAGCAAGCAGTATTGTCAGTTTCCACTCTCCCCCGAAGAATCCTCTCCCCATTGGGAATTACAAGCACTCCTTTTTTGAAGGAACATGACGTCGAGGGAAATTCAGCCCCGGCTCCTGGCCCCACTGATGCCGATGCCGACCGGGCCCGCTTTCGGTTTTGCGGAGGTACAGCTTTTATGGGGACGAGGACGACGAGGATGATGATGGAGGAGAAGGGGGAAGGAGTGGGAAATGGAGTTGGAAAAGGGAACAGGAGAGGATAAGGACGAGAACGAGGGGGAGTCGGAGAGTGAGAGTTAGAGAGGTGCAAGACAAGGGTCCATACAAGTACATCCACGAAGGAGAAGGAAAGGGAGATTTCAACGGAGAGTGGAATTGAATGGACCGTAGTATCTCGTGAGGAGCTGAAGGGCATTTGGAATGGTAGCAGGTACGGCCTCCGTCTTGGATCAGATCAGATCAGATCAGGCCATGCCAGAGTAGGCCAGAACGTACATGTAATTAGGTGGCTAGGTAGGTAGGTAGGTAGGTAGGTACTTGGAATATGTGCAGGTACAGGTCCAGAGACAAGCCAATCGAAGGTTCTTGTCCCTCCATCATGGTGGTATGGTAGATGGTAGATGGGTACATGTAGGTACTGAGGACAAAAATACAAGATTCACGATTCACACATTGTGAGAAATAAGATACAGGCAAGAAAAACGACGGGTGCTCGATGGGATACAGCCTTGACAGCCTACATACTCTCACTTGTAGAGCCCGGTTCATGGTTCAATCCAGCTCCATTTCCATTTCTACTCTGTAGAACGGATACTCCCGAGTCCTGACGGGGAGGAGGATTCATTGATCTCTCTTCTCGTCTCTTCTCAATCAATTGTCCGGCGAGTCCATCACATACTGGCCGTCATAACCACAGAGCAGTGCGGTAGGGGGCTCGTACGTGATAGTGAACCCCACTGGCAGTGCTTCTACGCCTTTTCGCCGCCATTGTCGCCATCGTCAGGCCGTGCCTTTCTCTTCTTGCTCCCTCTCATTCTTCTCCTTGTTCGCCTCACCATCACCCATTCTCAACTCCCGCAACATCTCATTAACCCCCTTTCTCTGTCCCTTCCGGCCACTCATCCTCCGACCATGTCCTCCATTCGCGCCACCTGACAATCCCTCCCCATCACCGCCCTCGGCCTCCTGGTCATCGTCGTCGAGCCTCTCAATCTTCAATTCCCCCAGACTCTTCATCGCCTCCTCGTCCCTTTCAAACTTGACCACAGCCCACTTCATCTTGAGACTCTCCTGCCACGCGCCCGGGTCTCTCTGTCTCTGCCTCACCTGTCCCGTGCGCGGATTTCTCAGGCTCCACTTCTGCTCCAGCATGCGGACCAGGTCGGGTGAGTGGGGTTGGAGGAAGGAAAGACGGACGATGCGGTAGTACCCCGCGAATTTGAAGCTGCGTGAGGAGTCGAATTGAGTGCGCCGGACTTGACTGAAGACCGCAATGGGGCCTGGGCGTGGTTGTAGCTTTTCGGCTTTGGGTGAGGTGGTAGATGTAGCTGCTACATCGCCTTGTTGTCGTTGTTGGGCCTCTCCGTGCTCTTGTCCGGATGTCTCATTCCCACCACTGTTCTCGTGACGGTCGCCGTGAGAGGTTGAAGAGGCCTTGTCATTTACACCCAGAGTCCCATCCGCAGCAGCAGCAGCACCTCTCTCCTTAGACTTATCTGCAAGATCAGCAGGCAACAAGTCCAAACTTGATTTCGTAAAGATGACTCCATCCTCGTCCCATCGCGGATTCGCGTCCTTGAACAGCAGCACGTAGCTCACCACCCCCGGCGTGGCAGCCGAATCATGCAACGTCTTCTGTCTGGTCCCGGGATCCTCGTACTCTCGGATCTGCCAGAAATGGCGGTCAATCTCCTTTGGAGAGCAGAGGTCGTCGCCGTCCAGAATAGCGTCCGATCTGCTCGTCAGTGGTCGACTGTAATACCCTCCACGCGGGCCGGAGGGTGGCAGCGTGGAGCCAATGTCTCTATCGCGGTTGCTGGCCTCGCCAACTTGCTGATCGCCTCTCGCGCGGAGGGCGGGGGGAATGTACCGTCCAGTCATGGCCGCCGCCGTAGATTGTCCCGTCACAGCAGTCTCCTGTCTTGACGGATCGTAGGCCGAGATATTGGAACTTGAGTTCAAGAACAAGAAGCAATCACGCACTTGGCCACCATCGATCTGGCATTGGGAAATCGAGAGTTGTCAGATTATTGAGTTATGTGCAACCAATTGGTCGGGGCAACACTCTCAGTGCTGTCCACCTTCACATTTTGTCTATGTCACGAGGTCAAGGATGGATGTGAAGGAAATATGAGAAAGTCAGCCTTGCCTCGCCAAGCCATGACGCAGATCCCCAACGCGTCGAGCACAAGGCTGAGGCGCGAGTCGAACTGTTCATATGGAAATTGAAACCTCAATGAATGTCATTCTCGCCATAGGCAGTCCATCTGTATCCTATAACGCCCAGCTGGCGAGACCCTACATGGACTCCAATCTTACTCGCTTGCCATCCATTCCCATTAATGGCGACCTGTCTCATCTGTTGCTGCCGACAACACCCAACCGGGGTGCCTTCACTGATGTCAGTCTCGTAGAGTGTTCCTCATGTCGCATTCTAATCTAAACTTCTGTGCCAAATCCAAATCGCTCCAAAAATGAGGTCCGAAGGGGTTGTGGTATCATTGCTGTTGAATCTGACCGCATGGTAATACGGTTCAAAAGACGAATGGAAAGGTTGCCGCCCTTGCTGCCATTGCGTCTGCGTCGTATATCGTTGCAGCAGCCTCTCTTCCGGCATTTTCACAGCTTGTCGGGTGGCCTTGTTTCCAGGCACATACCTACCAGAGAGACAGACTTCGATTTGCGGGTTGTTCCGAAGACTGGGATGCTGCCGGAGGGAGCTGCCTGCCGTCACTGGCCACTCTACTGCACTTGGCTGACAATTTCGCTGGCTTTGCTCAGACTTTCCACCATTTGTAGACACTCCTTGCGTCGTCTGATGGTGTAATCGCTCTCCTTGAGGAGGTCGTCGAGTTCCTGCGCTCTGTAGAGTTGCTCAAGCAATTCACGTTGCATTTCGTCTTTGGTGAACCTTGTTATTGGTCAGTAGTTGGAATCAATGCACAGATGCTGCCGCACTTACTGGACGAGTGTAAGCATGATTGCTTTCGGCACCATGTCGATCATCGTCCTTCGAACGATATTAAAATAACTGTTGATCAACAACTTGATGACCTCCACTTCTTGATTCTCCCGCTCGGATAATGTTCCACTGGCTTTGAGCGTGGCCGGAGGTGGTTCCATGGCTGCCATCTTCTTCTTATTCTTACTGGCGAAGAATGACCCAAAGAAACCTGAGTTTTGATCCGAGCCATCAGTAGGCAAGCTGGGTGACGCTGCCCGAGGTGGCACCTGTGGCGGCAGGGGTTTGCCTGTTTTGGGGTCGACTTGTGTCGGCTTGTTGGCATTGTGTCTGTCATTCACGATGGCCATCGCACGATGGCCGTTGAGAAAGTCGGGATGGCCGGTGTTGATGTAGCAAGCTTCCATTGCAACCAAGTCTCTCACCAACTTGTTTGTTGGCTCCATGGATTTCCGGAAAAAGGAGATGACGACGCCGTGGAATTTCTCTTTGAGTTGAGGATATCTTCGGAATAATTGCTTCTGCAGTAGTTGACTGAGGATACGGACCAGCTCGTCATACACCAAGGAGACACATTTCAGAGACGGTTCCTCAAGCCGTCGAATTTGTTGCTTCACAATGAGCTCAAAAGCAGTGGTGCCAACGAACAGAGCCGGGGATGATCCAGACGAATTGTAAAGAATAGTTCGAATATCAATATCCTTGACCTGGTCGAACGGATCGATGGCCTTTATCCCATTCGAGTACAGCTCGTGATAAACAAACGATATTCTCGCACCTCCTGAAAGTTCGTTGCTTGACAGTTCGGCACTGTTTCCGTCTAGAACTGTTCGGTATTCGTTGGCAAATTCGGTAATGATGTTGAGAATGATGTTTGAGCTGTTGTTCCCAAGCAAGTCGCCAGCACCCAGTTGCTCCAATTCCTGGCTGTATTTCTGCAGCGAGGTCGCGATGCGGGTCTTGATGTCCGGTAGTGTCTGCTTGATATGCATCATGAGGATGAGGTTCAGCTTTCTGGCCAGATACGGAGTGCCACAGTATGAAGCCTTGTTCCGGTAAGATGGATGGTTCTCAAAAAACTCCTTTTCCGCTTTCAAGGCCAAATCTATCCGCTTCTTGTTCTCAATGTCGCGTTGGCCGCGGTTGACGACAGGGACATAGCCCAGCCTCAGTGGAATGATTCGACCAGCAAGAATATCGACCACGTCGGTACCAGAGTCCATGAGATCAATCTTGGTTAGAACACCGATCGTTCTCTGACCTTCAGGGTCGACTTCTCGAGCAAGTTTAAGACCGTCCGAATTTGCCAAATCAACGTTTGCTGCCGTAACTGCTAAAATGATGGCGTTGGGCTTTTGTATTTGCTTGAGCACCATCTCCTTGATCTGCTTCTCGATATCTCTTGGTTGATCCCCTACGGGCACCTTTGTCAGGCCAGGCAAGTCGACCAATGTGAGAGTGAGTACGTTAGGCGAGTATATCCGCAAGTTGATGGGCTGTGGTGAAATGCCAACATTTCGGCCTGCCTTTGCCTCTGTCTCCTTGACAATCTCATCCCGGATCTTGTTAAAATCATGAAACTTCTGACCGGGTAGATGGAGAAACTCTCCCCACTCGTCCACGTTGGCTTGACTGTCGGTAGTCTTCTTCATGTCCTCCTCGGTGACGCCATTGGTCTGAAGTTTGGCCGGGGCTGGTCTGTTGATCAATTGTAGGACGAGAGGTCGACGAGTCACGATTCCGGAACCTCGAGGAAGACTGGAATAGGAGTCAGTGGATGTCTGGGAGGGTGGAATATCAAGTCAAGAGCACGCGCTTACAAGTCTCTTCCCACTATGTTCTCGAGTACTGAGCTTTTGCCGCTGGATTGCGAACCCACAACGACAATCTGAGGTAGATCAATGGGATTTTGGACCTGGGAGAAAGACGGTCAGATTGGGTGCACAGAACAGCTGGCGACTGGGAATAGGGCATTGATGGACGGCATACCCCAACAGTTGTGAAGACATCTTGTAGTTTGTTGACCAGAGAAATGAGGGTTGGGTCGTTCACGTTAATCCTGTAGAAATTGTCAGAAGACCACGGTTTCATGAATTTGTTGACATTTGCTGCGGGAAACGCACGAATAGCCCCCCGGTGCTGCCGCCATGGTTGGGCCAAAGGTCAGCGGAAGAGGATCTTGAAGTAAATCGGAGCGGGTGGATTCGATGCTGGTTCTGGCAGAAGTTTGAAGAGCGAGGTCGAGAGATCTGCGCGCAGGGCGAGAGTGAGTATGATGGGGAGTGATATCGATGTTGTGGATGTTGGCCAAATCTTGGGACGAAAGCGTCAGTGGTGATGCACCTGCGCCTGCGCCTGCGTCTGCGTCTGTGTCTTTGGGGGCTGCAGTCACGGTGGGTGCAACTCCTGCTGGGCTCGCAGCTGCCCGACGACTCGGTTGTTCTTGGCGGCCAAATAGAAACGGAAGGTTGCGCGTCGCAGGCGACATTCAGCAGGCAACCTTCAATCCAACACCTTTGGTCACCTCCAGAAGGGGTGGTATCCTCACTATTGTGTATGTATGACGCGACAGGTTTCCCAGAGGGCCGAAACTAACAGCACCAAGCGTTGTCAGGGTGGTGGCGGTATGGCTAGGCACCATTCAATCTCTATCACCGTGTGGCGGCAGATGCGAGACGAAGCCCCCTCTGCAAGAACTTTCTCGAAGATGACCATGAATTGCACCCCTACTCGTATTGCCGTTGACTGGGTATAACCGCAAGAGGGTTGGATCACGGTGCTAGGGATCTGAGATATGAGCAGGGAAGCCAGGTTGCCTGGGGCCTCGTGACTGACATACTTGTATACCTTGTCCCGGACCACTCACCTCGCAGCATTCACTCCCTCCACCCAATGCCTGACACGCTCACAAGTGCCTTTATCATTTCATAGTATTGAGCAAAGTAGTAGGCTTTAGGTCCTGGTAAAGATAGGGCGATGTAGCTATATCTAAGTAGACGTCGATCAGACATGCCGCTGACGGCGGAATCCCATCATGCTCCTTTCACTCCCACCTACGCATCCAAGTTTCATTCTCTGTGGGATGCATCGATGCTGCTGGTGAAAATGAACATCCCAATGCCCGAGCCTGTGCCTGTGCCTGTCAGGCGGAGACTTGCTCTTGTTTTGGTCCAAACACAAACCACACTGTCAGACACCCCCAAATGCAATGCTGTATCCAAACTCTCTATATCTGTGCAAGTCGTCCCTCGTTACCATAAACATAGTCCATGTGGTCCTCTGTCAAATGCCGCCAACTCCATTTAGAAACTTGATATGCCGGGCATCAAAGTGTTGACCTCAAGGCGCTAGTGCGTTCTGAGTCGTGGCGAGCAAGAGACCTGTTCAAACTGCTCGGAAGGCCCTCAATAGGCGAACGCAAATTTGTCCATCTGTATGCTGTTAGCATTGAGAGCCCAATCAGGGAGCTTTAGAAACTCACATTCGCACTTTGCGGTCATCCCCTCCAGACGCAAACATGCCGGCATCTCTGGGGTTCCAGTCCACCGTCGTCACGCACTCCTTACCACTTTGACCTCGACCATGCCCAGGCAGCTTCTCGATTAGCGATTCGTTCTCCTTGTGCCACACGTAGATCAAGCCATCTGATCCCTCAGTTAGTAAATCCTTAACACGGATGGCAAAAGTACTCACCTTCTGAACCACTAACCACAAAATTCTCTGCGGCTCCCCCAAAGCAGCTCCGGATCACAAACTCGCCTTGTTTCTGTCCGCTGAACTTGCGAATGGTGTCTCTCGTAACCAAGTCAATCATATGGACTTCACCAAGGACCAGGTTGACCAGAACCGTGCGGCCATCGCGACTTAGAGTAATGCTTGTCGTCCTGCTCAGTACCTTAATGGGTGGCTCTTCTCGATAAGTGTGCATGTCGAAGACGCGGATGATATTCTGAAGGTCAAGCGCAACTAGCCAATTTCCGTCCTCGGTGATGGCCACATCTTGCACGCGGAAGCCCTTGGGCCAGACGTGCTCCGGTTTCTCGCGCTTCGAGCCTCGGAGATTCCAATAACACAGCTGCGAGTTGCGGTCGTGACTTGCAGTGACAAAGCCTTGGGAGTCGGGGCACCACGCAGCGGCGGTGATACCGTAGTTATGTTCTACGCTTTGATGCTCAAGGGTCACCTCGAGTCGTCCTGTTTCGATATCGTAGACACGGGCTTTGCAATCCTGCGAGCAAGTGATGATTTTGGTGTCGTCTGGGCTCCAAGACACGTATGTAACCCCGGCCGAATGATGAGTGAGGGTGTGAAGCCGTTTGAATGTCACTGTTTCATAAATGTTGACGGTTTGGTCCTGGCTTGCCGTAGCCAATTTCGTACCATCGTGAGAGAATTGCACATGCCAAACCTCACCGGTGTGATCCTCGAGTTGGAGAAACGTCCGCGATGGGAAGTCCTCACGGTCACAGATATGATCCGAGTACAGCGATGGAGGTTCCGCGGTGTTGTGGTAAAGACATTGGTTAATCTGGCTCTGCTTTATATGGTCAAAGAGCTCCGCTAGCCTATGATCTCGAATCATGACTGAGGGTGCGATTGACCGAGATAGGTCCTGCAGCAGCATCTGTCTTGACTCGTCCACTGTGCCGGACCAGCGCGCCTTCGTTCTGAGATCTTCAGGTGGACACATAAGTAATGTTGAAAGGGCATGCAATTGGTGGATATCGTGTTCGAGGGGTGTCAGCTCTTGTCTTAGAACCATGAGAGCCATGCCCAGGTCGCGTCGATCGAGTAGCTCGAGAAATTTCTGCTGCCGGATCCAGAACAGCATCTGCCCTCTATCGGCGCCTTCCGCGAGTACGAGTCCATCTCCATATTGTTCGTCACCCAGAAGGGGTCCACCCCGGTCTGTCTGATGCGATCCTAACAGTATGGCTTCTGCCTCGGACCATATGCCTTCCAAGATAGCTTGTCGGAAGGCAGCTACTGAAGGGCTTTCGAGCTCATATCCACTCTCACTAGATAAGACATTGGCAGCGTCCGAATATCCCATATCTAGCAAGCCCTGAATCAGAATTCTGACCACCTCTTCCCTGTTGTGACCTCGATATGTGGCCGACCTAACGGGAGCCAGTTTTTTGGAGGTTCCATTTGCGTATGAAGGGCTAGATCCGTTCACATGGCCGTTCAGACCGGAGTGGAAGGGCTTCCTTGGAGTAGAACCGTTGGAACTTGTGGAATGGCCATTGGAAAATACTTGCTCCGAGTCTTCACTGACTCTCATATTGGATCTCTCGGTTCGCCTGCGCTTCGGCCTATGTTCGCCCCCGGATCGAGGCTCTTGAGACGTTTCTCCCGATGTCTGACCAGGTCCTCCTTGGTTGTTATCGGCTTCAGCGGATCTTTCAAACGATGACCGCCTTCTCCTGCGTCTCCCCAGCTCTTGAGAAGCCAGTACCTGCTCTATAGGTGGTTGGCTTGCCGTGGGGGTTTCTGAGTTGGTCGAAAGCGGGTCTCCAGTGGAATTGGAGGCTTCGTCAATTGTGGTTGTATTGGGGTTGGGGGAAGTAGAATCTGTGAAGGAAGAGTATACGGGGTAAGTCGAGGTGGATGGGTCGTCGGTAGTGATTAGGTTATAGTTGGTTAAAGGTTGGTTTGCCAGCTCGTGGTGGCGGCAAAGCCGCCAATATCACCGCGGGGGCTCCTTCGATCAGGAAATGAAGGCAAGCAGTTGTATCCAAATACCTGTCCGTGCAAGTAGAGGCGGTGAGCGGCTCTGTGGACGTCTGGAGGAAATTGTATGCTATTTCATTCAATGGCACATGCAAAGACTCTCGCAGACAGGCAGAGAGGTCACAACCGCAGTGGTTGATGTTCAGGGAATTGCCCCAGTGGACGTCAAGTCAGAGAGGACACCGCAAGTCGATAGCGTTGCTCGACCAAGACGGATCACGGGTTTGGGGTAACAACTTTGCCGACTGATGAAGAGAGATGAGGTCGTGGAGAGATATCAGGATCAGGAATTGTCGGGGCGGATGTTAGAGGAGTTGTAGTGAGTGGGAATGCTCGTGGTCTCAACTCAAGAGGGAGTAGATGACGAGATGGGGACGGGTTGATGTCGGAGCCAGTAGCCTGCCTTGCCTGCCCGCAGCAGCAGCGTATCTCCAACTAAACTATAACTGGGCACCCACTGAGCGGCGAAACTAATATAAGTAATCCACCCTACTGCGCAGGTAGCAGGTAGCCCTTTGCCCAGTGTTTCTAGGCTCTCAAGCTCTCTTCACCTGGCCCAGGTGCCCAGGTAGCCCACCGCACCTAGACTATGTGAACCACCTGATCTACTCTTCCAAGGTCACTCGTTAACACCGACACTGGTGACCAACCATTCCAGCACCCAAACTACTTACCTGCCAGGCCGGTTTCACACCATCCCACGTTCGTTCCCCTTCCTTTCAAGCTTTGGAGCCTGACAACATGATGCACCAAGATAAGACGTTGCGTTCACATTTTAGGAACCATGGTTCCCTGTCCTGCGCGCAAACAAATTGGGCCCCTTCTTGCCTCTTAACGAGTCCCCAGACAACCCTCCACGATGATTGATATTTTGCCATGTGGCAACTCCGCCAGGTCGATGTGGTGCCAGGCGTTGGCAGCAGCGTCCAAGGCTGGCAGACGCTGCCATGGGTGGGGTTGGGGTCATTGGTTGGAGCTGGGAGCTGGCAGCTGCAGGGGAAGCCTCGGCCAATATGACGGGGCATTGGGTCAGATTCGAAAGCGAGAGATCAGGTATCAAGGTCCTATGCGAGAGTCAATCACAGACATCTTCGGCGAGTATCGGTGGGATATCCAAGTGTACCAGGTATATACAGGTCCTCAGTAGATAGGTCATCTTCCTCCGCAACCAAGGAATGCTTCCAAGACAGTATCTTCACTACTACGAGGTACATTCCCAGCGTCGGCCAAACTTTGAAGCGTAACTCACCAGGTGTGCCTGCAACTTATTCGCAGCAGCCTACCCCGACCCCCCGAAATTCAAAAGTGCACCTAAACAGCTTCCCGCAGAAGATGATTTCATATGCTTGGATTTGGTCGCCCTCGCCTCAAACGTAAAAAGTCGGTGATTGAATTTATAACTGGCAAGAGTATTGACGACCTTGCTACTGTATCGGATCTTAAGTACCTTCACCTGCAGCTTGGCCTCCCCGATCTTATCGAGGACGATTTAGACGAGGGAGAGCTTGCGGGTCCCAGCTCCGACAACAGCTCTTCCGTCTTTGCCTTTCCACAACCACTCCAGACCCTACACACAACTGCTCGCACATACAGAAGGATGCCCGCTTCAAAGGAGAGTGGTATCGGCGATGACCACCAGAATGGAACTGTCTTTTCCGTCTCTGGTCCGGTCATTGTCGCCGAGAACATGATCGGGGTCGCCATGTATGAGCTCTGCAAAGTCGGCCACGATGCACTGGTGGGCGAAGTCATTCGCATAGAGGCCGACAAGGCGACGATTCAGGTCTACGAGGAGACTGGTATGTCAGCGCCCGTCCCGACTGACTCTGGTGCCCTTCATTGACTGTGCTATAGCTGGTGTCACCGTTGGAGATCCTGTCCTGCGAACTGGCAAACCTTTATCCGTCGAGCTCGGCCCTGGCCTCATGGAAACAATCTACGACGGAATCCAGAGACCGCTCAAGACCATTGCTGGCAATACAAACAGCATCTACATCCCCCGCGGCATTTCCGTTCCTTCTCTGGATAGAGAGAAAAAATGGCCCTTCACCCCCACCATGAAGGAAGGAGATCATATCAGTGGTGGTGATGTCTGGGGCAAAGTGGTTGAGAACAGTCTTGTCAACGAACACAGAATTCTCTTACCCCCAAGAGCCAGAGGCACGATCAAGAAGATTGCCCCCAAGGGTGACTACACTGTCGACGAACCTCTGCTTACGCTCGAGTTCAATGGCGAGACCAAGGAATACCCAATGATGCACACATGGCCCGTCCGGGTTCCTCGACCTGTCAACGAACGTCTACAGGCCGATTCGCCTTTCATTGTCGGGCAACGAGTCCTCGACGCCCTCTTCCCTTCAGTCCAAGGAGGCACTGTGTGCATTCCTGGTGCATTTGGGTGCGGCAAAACTGTTATTTCCCAGTCCGTTTCCAAATTCTCCAACAGTGATATCATCGTCTATGTTGGGTAAGTTGCTCTCTTCCTTTGAGGGATACATCTACTGACGAAAATTCGCAGTTGTTTCGCTGCTGGCACGCCTGTCATGATGGCTGATGGGACTAACATGAACATCGAAGACATCACTGTCGGCGATTCTGTCATGGGAAAGGATGGTAAAGCTCGCGTCGTCAAAGCTCTTCCCCGAGGTGAGGAGACCATGTACGAAATCGGTATCAAGACTCAGCATCAGGACGAGACATTCCGAGAAGTCTCGTATACCTGCAACGCCATGCATCTTCTGGTCCTTCAGACTCCCCAACGTGTCAGCATCTTCGATCATCACCTTGAAGGCAAGATGCAATCCAGTGTGTCCTTCTTTGCTTTCGATACTCGCCAAGCAGCTACTGAAGATGGCGTCAATGTCGTCCGCGAATTGAAGCAATACACGAAGTCCTTCCAACACGACTCTCATGGCGGCAGCGAAAGGGCTCGCAGCCTCGCCGAGGACTTTGCTGCCAGCATACCACGCGATGATTTCCACTGGGCTATCGAAGCGCGCGACATTGATTTCGTCGATGTTCATGTCCGCGAGGCGACCCAGCAGCTCATCTCCCCCATCTTCCTCCAAAACGAGACGCTCAACTCCCACCTTGTCCAGAAGGGCTTCGATGGCCATCTCGCCCCTCAGATGGCCTATCTGCTTGGATCCTGGGTCGGGAATGGCCATCACGCAGATTCGAGGATGTCGGTCGATCCAGAAGACACAGAGTTAGTTGACCGCCTCGAAGAGTACGGCAAGATGTTTGACTTGGAGTCTGACCTGGTCACTTTCGCCCCTGGCAAAAGAACGGTCTTGGGTGAAATCCATGTCAAGCATTCTCGACCGGCCAACTCTATCTCCGCTGCACTCGAAGTTGCTAAGAATCTCGGATTCAACTTTCACGAGGGCGATGACCTAGCTGTCGAGCTTCGAGGTAAAGGCATGAATACCGGCTCGACCAAGGGGCTGAACACCAACAATGTCTTCTGGGACATGGTTCTAGCCACTGGTGTCCGTGGTTCCTCCGATGACCGGCTCAAAATGGTCCCGCTCTGGCTTTCTTCCGAGTCTTTCGAAGTTAGGGAGCATTTCCTAGCAGGTTTGATCGACTCTCAAGGGCAGGTCGAGCTCAACGATCGCGAGCAGAGTGCAACTGTAAAGACCGTCTACCCAGCGGTTTGCGAGGGACTCGTTCGTGTCGCTCGCTCCCTCGGCTTGTGCGTCAGCGTCTTCACCGAAGAGGAGAAGGCCTTCTGCGTTTACATGACTGCTACTGGAATCCTTGAATCAGTCCTGAGTAAATGTGCTCTCTCAAGCAACAGAACTGCCGCCCCAACAAGTGTTGAGCGCAAGGCCCAGCCCGTCTACTTCGATGTCGTCGAGAAACCAGCTGCTCCCTACTATGGCATCACTTTGCCCGACGATTCCGACCATCAATTCCTTCTGGGTAACTTGATGCTCGTGCACAACTGTGGCGAAAGAGGCAACGAGATGGCCGAAGTTCTGATGGACTTCCCCGAACTATCCATCACCATCGACGGTCGCAAGGAGCCCATCATGAAGCGAACTTGTTTGATTGCCAATACTTCCAACATGCCCGTCGCAGCTCGCGAGGCTTCCATCTACACCGGAATTACAGTAGCTGAATATTTCCGCGATCAGGGCAAGGCGGTGGCGATGATGGCGGACTCATCCTCTCGATGGGCTGAAGCGCTACGTGAGATCTCTGGGCGACTGGGAGAGATGCCTGCGGATCAAGGATTCCCGGCGTATCTGTCTGCGAAACTGGCCTCGTTCTATGAACGTGCAGGTGCTGCCACCGCTCTAGGCTCTCCTGAACGCAATGGTAGTATCTCCATTGTCGGGGCCGTGTCACCGCCGGGAGGAGATTTCTCTGATCCAGTCACGTCTGCCACATTAGGTATCGTCCAAGTCTTTTGGGGGCTCGACAAGAAACTCGCACAGAGGAAACACTTCCCTAGCGTCAATACCTCGCTCTCATACAGTAAGTACACCAACATTCTCGATAAATTCTACGCCAAAGACCACCCTGAGTTCCCTCGTCTGAGGGACCGCATCAAAGAACTCCTCACAAACTCCGAAGACCTCGACCAAGTGGTCCAACTTGTGGGTAAATCGGCCCTTGGCGACTCAGACAAGATCATTCTCGACGTCGCGGCCATGCTCAAAGACGACTTCCTTCAACAAAACGGATACAGTGACTACGATCAATTCTGTCCCCTCTGGAAGACTGAATACATGATGAAGGCGTTTATGCAGTTCCACGATGAGGCACAAAAAGCCGTCAGCAGTGGTCTGAGCTGGGCGAAAGTAAGGGAGGCCACGTCAGAGATCCAGCATGGCTTGAGAAGCATGAAGTTCGAGTTGCCGGATGATCAGGAGGAAGTCAGTGGGAAGTATGACCGATTGTTACAGCAGATGAGCGAGAAATTTGCGAGTGTCAGCGATGAGTAAAGGGTAGGAGCGGAGTTGGTGGATGTGACTGATGGTCAGGCGGCTCCATAAGTTTGGGGACAGATCTTGAGGGCTGAACAAGTAGAGGTCGATGCTCTTGACGCTCGTATACATATTAGAAACTGGCACCGGAGGTTCGGTTGGGTTCAAACCGGGTGTAATGTCGACGACGAGGCGGCTACACTCGATTCAAGCGGCTCCTTCGGCACGGAACAGCAATTGGTTTTTCACATTCAATCAAGAGTCAAGAAGTAAGATTGTCCTTGCGATTATTGCAATTCGCATCGAAATACTCCTTAGCCTGGAAGCCTTGCGAGGCTGCGCCTTTCCCTTTTTGGTATCTGCCTGCCCGCTGCGTTTTATGACAACATGTTTGGCGGCTTTGCAGAGTAACCCTCGTTTCCTCTCATGTTCTTTCCCCGCTCAACTACGTTTGCGTGCATATCGCTGTTTGTTGCTGGCACTGGTGTCTCTAGATGATGATCAGAGATATCTCGAGCGCCTTGGGTCCTAGTGATATCTGCTGACGATCCGCCGTGGTGGCCTCGCTAATTCCAATGATCGCTATCAACCATATCTGAGGCAGAAAGTCCCGGGATCTCCAGATTGCCACATCATGCCGGCCGAATTGCCCGGGTACTATTTCGATGCCGAAAAGAACCGTTACTTCAAAATCCAGCCAAATCACGTGGCGCCATCGGGTTCGAAGTACAGTCGTCAGGCGGTCAGAGCCGACAAGATAATCAAGAAATCCCGACGGCAGGATGAACTTCAACACCAGTTGAAGCTTACCCAGACGGTGACGCGGTCGAGGCTCTTGCAGCATCCTCTGCTGGTATTTGACAGACGACTGGGCAATCTGCGGAAGACTGCTGGAGCACTGGTGTCGGAATACTACGCTGCTCAACTCACGGATAAAATAGCCTTTAGTGACTTCTCGCCACGCTCGACGCTGAGGGCGGACTATCTGAATGAAAACACGCTGATTTCTGGGTGCTTTTCCATCGAGGAAGCTTCAGGCACCTTGTTTACAGATTGTATCTTGAGTACGGGGACCAGGGCAGCTATTCGAACCCGCATGTATGGTTTTCACCTGGGATCGCAACTGGACGTGGCGGAGCAAGAACTGGTAGACTCTTCAAAGTGGCCCCTCCCGCGAAACCATGAGAAGAGCGCACTGTACACGCCCAGAAATGCCGAGGACATTGGAGACGCAGCTAGAACCCAGCATATCCTTTCCATGGGTTCCGGCCTGGTCCTTTGGTCCGAGTACTGCACTGCATATGCTTCCCCTGCGGAGGCGATGGTCAAGGTGGGAGCATGTGGTTCCGGCCCATATGCGGATAGACACAACATGGTTCACCAGGCATCACTGGTACGCACCGTACGGAACCTGGCTGCACAGCCGGACAGTTACACCACGGCGGCGGCGGCGACGGAGCGCGGTGTATACCTCATGGACCTTTCGCATACGAGCTACCCGCACATAGAATACCCGATGGGCACAAATGAGCTGCTGAGGGCGACCTTCAAGGACCACAACGTCATCATGGGCGGTGCGCGTTCAGGAAAACTGCTGTTGTGCGACATCCGGGCACCGCCGCCGTCGACCAAGGGCGGCCGGACGACGGCGACGCGGCTCCAACACTCAGACGCCGTCACCAACCTCGCAGCGCTCCCTGACGGCAACCGGATTCTGATCAGCGGCCAGCGCAGTGTGAAGATCTACGACCTGCGCTTCGCGCCGCCACCGACCCTGAAGAGCCAGCTGCCCCGGGCAAACACGTACAAAGCAAGCCCCGCCGTGCTGACCTTCAACGTCCCCGAAACCCACCAGCACAGTTGGTACGGCGTGAGCTTCGCGTACGACCCGGAGCTCAACATCGTCCTGCGCACCTCGACCGACGGCTACAAGAACAACTACGTCGCACTGTGGTCGGCCAGCACGGGCCGCATGCTCCCGGGTCCGCTGAACGACCACCGCTTCGAGTCCTCCGTCGCCTGTGTCGCCATCGCCCGCGTCAGGGACGGCCCAAAAAGCATCTTCGTCTCCTGCAAGGGGGCCATTACCGAATGGACCCCGCAGGGCAGGGGCGTGGAAGACGGCCAGGAATGAGGCCTCACCTCGAGCCTGGTCATTTCTTGTCAATGCACAACGTGTACAAAGTAATTGGGCAAAGATGCTCCATGAGGAAGTGCACGCCTTTCGCAAACAGAAGGCGGCAATATGGCGAACAGGGCACGCCTTCTGCTACCAATGTGAGGTCGGGTGGGAGCGGAGCGGAGGGATGAATTGCGGATACTTGCTTGCAAGTTCCTTAGAATTCCCTGTGGACGGTGATGACAACAGATGTCTGTGGCACTACGAGTCTGGGTCTATCTCGTACTCACTGACTCCCATCCCCCACACGTGTCCCATATTCACAACCCATTCTCTACCAACATTGACCCGCCACTTCTCGTCTCCTGCATCGTCACCCGTTCCTCCAGCCCCAGTCACCGCGCCAGATCCAGACGACCGCACAACGAGTCTGAGTCTTTCCAACTCCCCAAGCTCACGGTATATCCGATCGCTTACACCACGACCTGGCCGATTGGGGATACCTTGGGGGTGGATTGCGCGAAGTATCGCGACAAGCCTCTCAAGGGTGAATGGCCGTGGGATGCCCAGATTCGCCCCTGCGGCAAACAAAGACTTGTTGCGTGATTTGGTGGGGGTTGTGGCGTCCTTTGTTGGCGTCCCGCTCGGGGTAGATGTTGTTTTTCTCTTTGTCGGCGTCTGCCTCAGTCTGCGGATTTTCTTGCTGATCGAACTGGACGTGGCGCTTAAGCGGGAGAAGAGCAGGATGTCGTGTTTAGGTAGTGTATGGCTTGCAAGGTAGGCTGAGAGGAGGACAAGGGTCGGGAAATGCTTGAGGAGTGATGGCCGCGTTATGGATGATGATGATGATGATTGTGATAGCCACGGTTTTGAGGGCAGTTCATTCGATGCTGCAGATTTGCTCGAGTCCAATGTGGATCGTTTTGATGGCGTTGCTGGCGCACTGCTATTCCTGACCGCATCTTGTCGTAGTTGTTGTTGTAGAGACGAACCCGCTTCAGGAGGGTTATCTGGCAACGGGGTCCTTGGAAACGTGTTATGCAACGCATCCTCTCCCTCTGATCGAAACAGACCACGATTCCGCACCAGTAATCTCGCAAAGTCCCACGATTTGACTCTTCCCGGTGGTTCCTCACCAGACACGATGGGCTCGATGAACCGCGGCCACAGCCTCTCACAGGCCAGCCGGAAGGTGTCTATGGATGTCGACGACGTCGAGGATATCAGGGTGTCGTACACCGTCACCGCGAACTGGGCGTATAGCCTCGACAGGAGCGCGGCGTGCTGCTGCTGGTCGGTTTTGGCGGTGGAGGTGGAGGTACCTGACAACGAGGCTGAGGCTGAGTGCTTGAGTGCAGGCGGCGTCGGTCCAGAAGATACGATGATCGAGATGGCTTCGGAGCGCGTGTAGGGCGGGAAGTGGACGCACGGCACGCCGGTCTTGTGCAGATTGAGAGGTCGCGGGGAGCTCGAGGTCAAGATGACTGAAAACCCAGGGATCTTTCATACAAGGTATCGAGTTAGCTTAAGGTGTGCTCGCTCGCTCACTCAATCAATCAACCACTCATCCAAGACTCGTGTAGAAGTCCATTATAACATACCACATCTCCCAGCCGTGCCAGTGCAGGGAGCAGTGTTGGACCCGGCTGTCTCAGCGCATCGGCCTCCTCAATCACTGCCACGAACTTGTTCTTCTTGTTGCTCTTCGAGTCCACCACGACCCGTTCGAACAGCCTGCGCAAGTTCCCCACCAGTGCGTTGATACTGTCCGTCCTGTCGAACTGCTGTTCTGTCTGGCCCTCCTGTTGTTCTTCCTGTTCCCGTCCCAAGGCGGCGACGCAAACAGCAAAGATCTTGGACAGCAGGTGCCGCTGCGAGAGACACTCCCTGCTCTTGACGATTCCGTGCGGAATTTCTCTCCATCTCAGCACTTCGACGATGGCGGTGGTCTTGCTCGTGCTTTCGAGGCCGTAGGCGACGAGGACAGAAGGGCTGGGGAAGATATCCTGCGTTAGGTCTCTCGAGTCAGAAAGTTGGGCTCGCCCTTGGATCAAATCCTACATTTATTTGCGACGAGGACAAGTTCAGTTCAACTCACATTGTAGTATGTTGCAAGTTCTTGGATCTGCGGCCTCCGGCAAGGGCATTTCTGCAGGATCGAATGTAGTGATTCAGGTGATAACAAAGCCACCATCTCCTCTGGCAACTGTGGTAAGGTGGTGCTGCGTCGAGTCTTCGTCCTGTCGAGTCTTCGCTTCGAGTCTGCTTTGAACGCGTCGTGAATCTGTACGCGCGCTTCCCCGCACATTAAGGAGGTGAGGAGAGGCACTGGTGGTACAGGTCTGTCAGTGCCGCAACCGCCGCAAAAGGGCCTCAGCACAGCAGCTGAGCAGCTCGTAGACTACTACATGGTCCATTCATTTCTACGAAGCTGCTGGTAGCTACTGTTATCGTTCATCGCCACGGTGTGCAGTACAAATCAAGGGTGACCACATTCAACCGTCGCACGAAACCCCCCTAAAGCTATGCACACTCTGAAAGGACCAGGACTTCGTCTAAGATACAATTGCTTCTAGCTATCGAGTCTAGTCTCTGTTTGATGGTACAGGCTCTGCATTCCCTTGAGAAAGACATAGCCAAAATGAGACCTTGGGTGTGTTGAGTACATAGACCATTCCTCCACGGCACCACAGTCAGGCATCCATTGCTTTCCAAAATGAGCAATACCATCTCTGTGTAGAAATGAAACATTTCGCCAGTTCCCAGTCAATGCTCGTGAATACGAGACAAAGGTGTCGGTACCATGCTTCCTTGAATGACACATGTGTTTTTTTTTGGTATTTTCCCAATCAAGTTTTTTGTCCAGAAATGCACACGAAAGAAATATCTCCTAACCCTCCCAACTTGCATACCCGTGGGACAGAAGAGAAAAGGGTAACCAAGCCATCATTCATGCAAGAGCTCTAGGTTCTTTCCAAAACTCGCCATGAGTCTTCGATCTCCTGCCAGACTGATGCTGGACCAATGAATAGCCTTTTTTTGAGCATAATACAGGTGTGAGGGCCGTGGAATGTTTGTGTCGTTAAGAATTCGAACGCTTTTTTTGGTGGTGTCGATTGGTACAGTCGTAAGAAAAAGCACGCATGAAGATGAGGCGACGCAGGCCACAGATCTAGGAATGCGTTTGCAGAAAGGAATCTTCAAATTTTCATCATTTCGTGACTCGTAAGCGTGTCGAGAGTCTCGGTGCCGGAGCCAAATCATCAGATGACATTGTTGGGACCGCCAACTGAACCATTGATGAAGCCAGCATAGCCGTTTGGCCCGAGATCATTGCCGTAATTGTGGGCGTTGTACATGTTGCCAGTTGAATCCATCAAACCATAGGTATTTCCATTAGCAGTGACATTGTTTGAAATATCAGCAGAACCATAGGTGTCGGCAGTGCGAATGCCGTTGAAGCCGCCACCCACAATCTGAACATTGCGGCGGCCGTTCGCGCGGCCAGTGTTGAAACTTGCGAGGATATTATCATTAGAAGGCGCGTTGCCACGACCTGACACATCGTTACCAAGAATCTTGCTGGCGATTCGTCGGCCGTGAGGAGTTTGCTTGATAAGGGGAAGAATAGGACGAATGGCATCAACGAGACGCATCTTGGTGGTAGGATCCGCATACTCCATGGCGGTCTGGACCACGTAGTTGGCGAAGGAATCGCGGAGCATCTTCTCAAGCTCATTCCCCATCAGCATCTCTTCGATCATGGCTCTCTTGGTATCCGTGTCGGCAGTACGCAAGCACTTTTCAATGACATTGGAGCTGAATTTTTGCTTCGACAAGGCTGGAACCCGACCATAGAAATTTTCACACAGTGGCTTCGTGAACGCAGCTTCATCCAGATCGAGAATGTACTGCACAACGTAATTTCCAAATGGGTCCTGGACGAGGTCAAAGGCACAGTGGGTGATCCTGGCGATGAGCTGAGCCCGCTGAAAGCCCTGAGCGTGATCGATGCAGCGCTGCAGCACACAGCATCCGTGACGATGAGTGCCAACAATGACACAGAAGTTGCCAACTGCATCATAGATGAACTGAGAACGTTCGGCGCCCAGACGAGTGAGGCATTTCTGGACCACGTGGTTACCATTCAAGTCCTGGACTAGCTCGACAACACGGGGAGACAGCGCTTGGATGATGGTATCGACCTGGGATGGAGTATGAACGAATTCAATCATCTTCTGAAGGGCACGGGTTCCGTGTTGGTTAAGAGCAATAGTCGCCAGAGCTGGTGCAGCAGTGTTGATCAAAGTGGTTCGCTGCTCCTCGTTACAATGTTCGAACAACTTCTGGCAGAGGTAGTTGCCGAAGGGATCAGTCATCAGTTCGATGATATGAGGACAAGTTTCCACAAAGATGGCTTGGATATGCTCCTCGTTGCCGTCTTCGAGTTTGCGCTGGAGGTAGCGACATCCATGTTGGTCCTTGCAGAGCTCATACAGATTTCCTCGGTAAGACTCGAGAGGAACATTGTTGAATCGAGCTTCATCGCTGTGGTTGCGACGACCAGTGCCAGAACGCTGCGGGCCGGAATACGTATTGCTCACACCATAGATCCCTTGAGACTGGCCAAAGGGCTGGATGGTTCCGGCAGCGGGGGCCTGGGGATTCATCTGGTTGACGTTGAAAGTTTGCATATTGTACATGTAGGGTTGCGGAGGTGGGTACGTCGAGGTTGGGCTCGCCAAGGCCATCACGTTGGAATCTGAGGTACTGGTGAAAGATGTGCTGAATGGCGCTGCACTGGCGTGTAGGCTTGACAGCGGGGCCGTAGAGGACATGGCTTTGTCTTCTAGCTTGACAGATCCGTTGGCAACTTCTCGACTCTGACGGTTGTTGACTGCGTTCGCAGGAATGCGTCCCAAACTGACGTTGTGGTTATGAAACTGTTGCTCAGCCTGAGTCTTGGGAGGCGTGGGAGCTGTGTCCAAAGTCAAAGACTTCTTGACTGTCGGGACGTCGTTGGTTGAATAAGAAGTTTGGAGAGATGTGGGCCGAGAGACGGTCAAATTTGCAGGGATAGGGGCAGAATCTTCAAAGGTGACTCCGAGTGAATGACGCTGAGACTTGCGACGCGTCAGATCTGCTGGACGGTCCGCAGGTGGGCTGCTGAGGTTGAGATTGGCAAGAACAGGTCTGTACATGGAAGAGTCTGTATGAGGCATGCTCTGATGGGCTGGTCTGTAGCGAGATCCAAGAGTCCAGTCAAGATCTGGTGTCTTGGAATTTGCGAGATCCAAAGCGGCTGAGTTCGCAGAAAGCTTTAATAAAGAGTGAGCTCATGCCTAGAAGAGCAGCGAGGTGAATAGCATACCTTAAGGCCGTCACTGGTCAACGTTGGGAAGGTGTCGTCACCCTCAAGCTGCGCAAAGGCCTTTGCAATAGGGGAAGTCAAGTCAAGTGGGTGCAGTTTATCATCGTCTTCGTCAAAGAGAAAGCTGGTGGTGTTTGCAAGACCAAATGAATTGGCACCAGTGCCACTGACACTGAGACGTTGGGGATGACGACTGCTGTTGACTGGCATAGAAAAGCGATTCAACCTGGAGGTCAAAGAGGTCAGAAGCTTGTTCTCCTTGATAATGACAAAGAGCAGTGAGGTAGATAGGCGATGAGTTGAATGGATCAAAAAGTAACGTGATTCGTCGCCAAGCGGTGAAGCGATGTGAGATGAAAAAGTGAAGCCTTAGTCATGTGCTTCTGAGAAGACTATTATAGGAGAAGACCAGGGGAAGGTGAGGATGAACTGAAACTTCCAGTCAACTTACGTAGCAGCAGCTCGAGTGGTAGGCAAGTCCTCGGGGTAATATTCGTCCTCATCAGACCCTCGTCGAGATCCGGGCACTGATTTCGCAGATGGCTTCTGAGCTTGACTGTAGATACCGTTCCCCGATAGACGATTTGCTGGGGGTGAGGTGACTTGAGAGCTAGATTGAGAGACTCGCTTGCTGAGACCTGGGGGCGAAATGATACTGTTCATAGACAGTCTGCTAGAGCGCGAGAACCGATTGCTGAAACCACTTTCAGCATACTCAGGAGGGGTGGTGGGCTCGCTGACAGGTCCGTTGAGGCTGATTCGATTCATACGGGTAGAGATCCGCTCAAGGTCTTGAGTAGAGGCTCCCATCTGAAGGCTCCGTTCTTGCAGCTCCAAGAGCCGCAACTGCTCCTCCGCCTTACGCTTCGCATTCTGAATATCATCGTACATTTGTTTGTTCTTCGCCTGTTGTGGATCGTTGTCAGCCATGATGATAACCAGAAGTTTCGCGTTCAAGGAAAAGAGATGCGTAAAAGTTGTTGGATAGTGTAAACTGAAGAAGAGATCGTGAACAAAGAAGGATCATGGTTTTGCCAGCGGTGTTTAGAGGATCTGAGACCAAAATTCACTTCACAACCAGGACTTGGCTCCACAATGTCCTATTGTTTCCTTTCTCAAACATCACAGCCTGACATCACACTAAGCGTTGTACAGAAAAGGTGACATACCGCCGCTGAATTCATGGACGTATATTGCTGACCAAACGGTCTGGCCACAGGCATCTTACTCGAGTCTGTTGTGAAGCGACGTTGGAGGCTTGCACGGGCATCGTTGGACGAAGAGTGCATGTTTGAGAAGAATGGGTTTTGTTCTCGTGTAGAGGAGCCATTCGAACTGTATGGGCTCTCGGCGTCCGGGGACCGCAGGCTGGGAAAGCGCAGTTCTTCCATACGTCCACTAAGTGTGTTCGGGAAAGCCATGCTCGACGACTACATGTGCAATAGAGCTGTTAGCAAACTCGATGCATCGACTTTCCAGACCCAGATGATTCGTGAGGCTGACCCTCGAGGGGTAGGGCTCAGATCGGGGGTGACTGGCTGAACAGACTTAAAAAATGACAGGTCGGTACGCGTTTTGCTCGAGGCCTGTGAAATGCGTACGTACCTGGAATGGAGCAAGGCCGATACTCCGAACTCTGACGGTTCAGCAGACGGTGGTACTCAGTATAGGAATGAACAGAGACCTGTGAGGCGATCCCCCGCAAAGGTGCGCGTTGTCCCCCAGATGACAAAAAGGGAGTGGGAAAATAGATGCAGCCAACGCTGCGTGCGCCGCGAGAAGGAGCACGGCAGTCGAGATATGCTATAAAGACAGTGATAGGAAAATGCAGAGTGCAAGGAAAGAAAAGAATATTGTTACAAGCGTGCAAGAGGTCAAGTAGGAAGAAGGCACCTCAGAAACGGGATTCGAATCTGGAGAGTGCTAGAGTAGCAGTGGAGGTTGGATTCGACCCTTGGGGCCTTTTTGGTGGTGCGCATTTAGGCAAGCGCCAGAGCCCAGCGTGGGTACTGGCGCTCGATGGGTAGCGGCCTAGACGAGGTTGTTAGCTTGACCTGGCACCTGCCTGCAGCGTGGGTATTCTGGCTAGGGGACTTGCCTCTGCCACTACTGGTGCTTTTCCTCTGGTTAGCCGTGGGACTAATCCATCGACTGACCAGGGTCAGAGTCGAAGACCTGGACAGCCAGGTCGAACGGTCGAAATTCGACCTTTGTTGCCATTTCTCTTGTTGGGGTTCTCTAGGTGGCTCGGTGGTACCGACTCCGGTATCCTTGGATGCCCTCTCGGACTGCTTTGTCTACCTCTTTTCACACCTTGCCCTCTTCAATAATCACCAGGCACCCAGTTAAGGGTTGTTGAATTATGTACTGGAGTAGATAGAGTTCTCCGTCTGCAGGTTACTGCAACTTGGCTGGTCAGCCTATTCGTTTACAGGCAGGTCCCCTGAAGCATACTCGTATCTCACTGCGCACAAACCCTTGGGTGGGCTCTTGTTGAGCAGTTTCCCCTCGGCAGCCGCGAGCCAGGGACCAGAAGCGAGCAAGTGACGAACAGTGACCAGGTCAAAGCCTGCAAGGAAGATACGTCCTTCTCCATCAGACCTTGCGGGCAGTGGACAGGGCCACTCAGGACGGAATTGGCTGCTGCAGGATAGGCAATGGGTGGCCACGCACGGGGCGAGTGAGAAATCTTTTCTTTGCTCATCAGAATGGCGACGCAACTCAGGTCTGCGCCAATAGGGTCAAGTCTTGTATGTGCATCAACAGTGTCGGCACGGTGGCTCAAGCCTTCGCTCACTTTGATGCGTCCATGCTCTCTGCTCGTCAGACGAGTAAATTGTGTGGGGAAGACACTTGGACCCGGGAGGCGTTATTTGGCTCCCCCAATCCCATGAGCCATGGTCTATCCAGGGCAAAAGGCGGTCAAGCGGGAGAAATGAGGGTGTCTCCGCCGAGCAGCAACCCCCGACCAAGTCCTCATCGTGGGCCTTGCTTCAGAGACAGTGACACCAGGAATGGAATGGAATAATGGAATCCATCCGCTGGCCGAGGTTTGTTAGTACATCCCAAGTACACCCTCGTATGTAGGTACCTCTGTGAACCGCTGTGTGGAACGGCTCTCGAGTGTTTCTAAAGTTCTGCGCCCGAGCGATACTTTGGTCTCGTATATCGGTTCAGTGTCCACTCTCTTTTTGATCGGCATGGCGCAATGATCCAATTCTGGCCCTGCTTTGACCACCGGAGTGTCACTTTGAACCCCACAGCCCTGGCCCCTGCCTGGATAACATTCAGAGAGCAGTGTCATGTCATCTTTCCGCAATTTTGGAATCTTCAGCGTAAAGGCCATTGACAGACGCATGACCCGAGGGCAGACAGCTCGTGAGAACCAAAGACGTGGACGTTTGCATTCAGGAGTCGGCCCGACGTCAAACGCACCGGTGCTTAACATATGTACCTCTAGTTTGGTACGGGCATGCTGTGACCCTTTAGGAGCATCACCAAGGCCGGGAATCCTGGTCCGGGCTCTAGAAGCAGTGAATGGCATATTGAGCCTGCTTCCGAGATGTATACCTCAGCAGCCTGCCAAAGACGGTGCTACGGAATGAGGTTTCCTGCCCAAGCTAATGCTCGCACCGTATTGTGGTGATTCTCTATAGGACCACAAGCGACAAGCATGAAAAAAGTTGAAAGGCCCCGTCTTCTGTAAGCGACTGTGAAGTGGGCTAACGATGTGGCCACTTCATATTGCAAATCACTCCTTAACGCATTGTTGAAAGCACCCCGGCAGCATGCCCAATCAGCCATAGCGCAAGTGGTCCAAGTATCGCGCACGCTCGAGCAGACTCCAAGCTAGAGCTTCGTTAGGCTTGACGCAAGTGCTGAACCGGGATCGAATCTGATTGAGGGATAAGACCATCAACGGGAAGCACGCCACAGACCCGCTGGCCAGCTGTACAAGTGAATCCCCTGCATGAAAAGAATGAAAAAGAGGCCATTGACCAGAAAAGCCCCCACACTCGCTGGTGCAGACCTTGAGAGTGAAGGCGTCCACGGCGTCCCCAAGAGCAAATCATTCTCCTTGTTGGGCATTCGCATCCGTGCTCTGGCCAACGTCGGAATCTCAGACCATTGTGTGTTTCAGACTGACAGGGTCATCCCATGGATGGATAGTAAAGGAGGGGAAGTTTGCCCAGAGGCTTTCAGGAACTTAGGTACAACATGGCGTTTGTCCAATGGAATAGCCCCTGGTGCTGATTGTGTGGGAAATTGTCTTTGATCGCAGACGCTCGGCGCACTTTCCACACTTGAGCCTGACCCCTCCTTTCACCGCCCTGGCCTCGCTTAGTCATTCATCCTGCGGCAGAATTGATTCACGAAAAAAGTTGCCCACCTCGACGGATGATTCGTTTGAGCCTTGCAATATTGCATTTACCAAATCGTCCGCAGTCTGGGATCTTTCGCTGTAACACAAAGCCATGCAAGGCTTGCCTGTGGACCGTTCACCCTCCTCTTTTGCTCTCCCCTGACGAGCAATGCCACCCAAGAGAAAGACCGATAGCGCGCTCGGTGCGCCATTACACGGGGCTCGAAAACCCATCCCGAAGGTAAACTGAACCTGCTCTTGTTCGCTAAGGAGGAATTTGACAGAGACAGACTTCCGCAGTGCGCAAAGCATCTGCTAAAGATGGGGCGTCACTCGACGAGCGTACCGCCCAAGACTCATTAGCCGGGCAGACCCTGAAGGAAACCCTTAAGACTGGAAGACAGTCCCGAAGACCTCATCACCATGCAGACAGCTTCGATGCGGCGCTGGAACCTTTCTACTATGATAAATCCCTGACCGATCCTATCGATACTGCACGAGACAAATGGAACTTGCTCCCAGCTTTCCTGAAGGTGAAAGGGCTGGTCAAACAACATGTGGACTCATTCAATCACTTTGTTGACGTCGAGTTGAAAAAGATCATCGATGCTGAACCGATCATTACGAGCGACATTGATCCAAGATTCTACGTCAAATACGAAAACATTTACATTGGAAAGCCCTGCAGGAATGATGAGATGGACAAATTTCAACTGAAAGAATTCAGGGAATCGACTGTCACCCCAAACGAGTGTCGTCTCCGCGATCTTACATATGCAGCTCCAATCTTGGTCGATATCCGATATACAAAGACCAAAGATGCATGGCGTCACAAGGCAGTACCAATCGGGCGCTTGCCAGTGATGTTGCGGAGCAACAAATGCGTTCTCGCCAACAAGTCGGAAGCCGAGATGTGCGCTATGGATGAATGCCCCTTGGACCCTGGAGGTTATTTCATTGTCAACGGCACTGAGAAGGTCATTCTAGTCCAGGAACAGCTCAGCAAGAACCGCATCATCGTCGAAGCCGATACTAAGAAAGACCTGATCACTGCCTCGGTCACTAGCTCCACCCATGCGAGAAAGTCAAAGAGCTATATCGTCCTCAGGAAGGACCTCTTGTATATGAAACACAACATTCTCAAGGAGGACATACCCATTTGTGTCCTGTTGAAGGCAATGGGTGTTTCGTCGGATATGGACATGATGAATATCGTTGCTGGCCTCGATAGGAACCTACAAGACGACTTTGCCATCAACTTTGAAGAAACGATCAAAACACAAATTCACACGCAACAACAGGCTTTAGAATACATCGGAGCACGCCTCAAGATTACCGCAAAGTCGACTCCCTTCGGACAAGCTCGCAGAAATTTTGTTCAGGAAGCTGTCGAGGCCATCAGTTCCGTCTTCATAGCTCATGTCCCGATCGAGGATCTCAACTTCAGACCAAAGGCCCTTTACGTAGCCCATATGGCACGTCGCGCCCTGATGGCAAAGCGAAACCCGGGCTTAGTCGATGATCGAGATTACGTCGGCAACAAGCGGCTGGAGCTGGCTGGACAATTGCTGTCTCTTCTCTTTGAGGACTTGTTCAAAAAGTTCAATTACGACGTCAAGCAGAAAATCGACAAAGAATTGAGGAAACAGAATAAAACCGCCTTGGTAGACCCTGTCAGGATCATGGTTGGAGCACAAGGCAATATCACTCAAGGCATGAACAGAGCAATCGCGACGGGCAATTGGAACTTGAAGCGATTTCGCATGGACAGAGCTGGAGTCACCCACTTGCTCAGTCGACTGAGCTTCATCGCCTCCCTCGGCATGATGACCCGCATATCGAGTCAATTCGAGAAGACACGCAAAGTCAGCGGCCCGCGGGCCCTCCAACCATCATCTTTCGGCATGCTTTGTCCTGCAGATACGCCTGAAGGTGAAGCCTGTGGTCTGGTGAAGAACCTAGCTTTGATGACACACATCACCACAGATGACGAAGAGGCACCGATCAAACGACTCATCTTTATGCTAGGTGCTGAAGACATAGTCACCGTCGGCGGATCCGAACTCTACTCTCCTGGTTCGTACCTCGTGCTGTTGAACGGCACTCCTGTAGCCGCCACTCGGCAACCCTCTCACTTTCTTTCTTCGTTTCGACGGCTCCGCAGATCAGGACGAATCTCCGAGTTCGTGTCCATTTTCATCAACCATCACCACAACACAATCCAAGTGGCAACAGATGAAGGTCGGATATGCCGGCCCTTGATCATCGTTGAGGATAAGAAGTCCAAGGTCACCAAGCGGTACTTGAAGTCCCTCAGGCAGGGTTCAATGGACTTTGACGACTTCCTCGCCCGCGGTCTTGTTGAGTATTTGGACGTCAACGAGGAGAATGATAGCAATATCGCCATGTATGAATCTGATATCTCCGCAACGACTACTCACTTGGAGATTGAACCTTTTACGATCCTCGGAGCCGTTGCGGGGCTCATTCCGTATCCCCATCACAACCAGTCGCCTCGAAACACCTATCAGTGCGCCATGGGAAAACAAGCTATCGGGTTCATTGCTAACAACCAGTTCTTGAGGATTGATACATTACTTTATCTTATGGTCTATCCTCAGAAACCCCTAGTGAAGACCAGAACCATCGAACTGGTGAAATACGACAAACTCCCAGCTGGCCAAAACGCGACAGTGGCCGTCATGTCATATAGCGGGTACGATATCGAAGATGCCCTCGTCCTCAACAAAGCATCGGTTGACCGCGGCTTTGGCCGCTGCCAGGTTCTTCGAAAGTATCCTGTCAGCATCAAGACTTATGCGAATGAGACAAGCGACATGGTCTACCCACCCACCAAGAATAGTGACGGCACCGTAGCCAAGGGTCATGCTCTGCTTGATTCAGATGGTGTCGCGTCTGTCGGCGAGAAAGTCAGTAGCGGCGAGATCTACGTCAACAAATATGTCCCCAGGAACGCCAACTCTTCAGGCTTGTCAGAGAATGGCTCCGATAGTCCTCGCACTTTTGGAATGGATCCACAACCACAGAAATATCGTCTTCCAGACCCGAGTTATATTGACAAAGTCATGGTGACCGAAGCCGAACCTGGCCATCAAATTATCAAAGTGCAAACGCGGCAGACACGGGTCCCTGAAGTTGGCGACAAATTCTCTTCCAGACACGGGCAGAAAGGTGTGGTGGGAATTATTGCCGAGCAAGTCGACATGCCCTTCTCAGATCTTGGTATTACGCCGGACATTATCATGAACCCTCACGGTTTCCCCTCTCGAATGACAGTTGGTAAAATGTTGGAGCTTGTGTCTGGAAAAGCTGGTATTCTCAAAGGAAAATTCGAGTACGGCACCGCATTTGGTGGTAGCAAGCTCGAAGATATGTCAAGAGCCCTGATTGAAGCAGGCTACAGTTACGATGGCAAGGATTATCTCACCTCTGGAATTACTGGTGAACCCCTCCCTGCTTACGTCTTTACTGGACCCATCTACTATCAGAAACTCAAGCATATGGTTCAAGACAAGATGCATAGTCGTTCTCGTGGCCCGCGAGCCATTCTGACACGCCAACCTACAGAAGGACGTTCTAGAGACGGAGGTCTGCGATTGGGAGAAATGGAACGTGACTGCCTCATCGCATATGGTGCGTCACAACTGCTTCGCGAGCGCTTAATGTTATCGAGCGACCAACATCAAGTGGACGTCTGTGAGAACTGTGGCTTCATGGCCTTTGCACGATGGTGTCAGCGGTGCAGCAAAGCAGGCGAATCGGGATCGAACGTGGTCAGAATGACTCTGCCATACGCATTCAAGCTCTTGCTGAACGAACTTGGGAGCATGAATGTCAATACGAGATTGATTGTGTCCGATGAGTTTCCTGCCGACGGCTCGAGGCGGGCATGAAAGGGAATCGAGGGTTAAAATGGGCACGAAGTGGACGGATTTCCTAGAGCAGAATCGGGGGGGGGTTTTTGGCACATATGCATAGCGGTGGTGTCCTTGATCACTAACCAAGGCAGACTTGAGGATTTGTCACGGCATACTATGCGGCATACTTTACGGGATGTCTTTCATCCATGTTACGTGCAGGGCATCAGCGACGGCGCTTTATTGTTTGCTCCGAATTTTCAGGGACTCTTCTGTCTTAGCAACGCCTCGCTAGTTGGCGACCAGCCCTTTTGTTACCGGCATGTGGAATGAATGAGAGGATACCCCGACCGACACTTGTCCTTGTTCTTGTAGAGAAAAACGAAAAGCCACGACTCAGATCGAAAAGCATTACTCAACCACACTTCTTGAGTATCTACATGTTTCTTTTTTCTGGTAATCTGGAAACACCAACATCGCTGTTGACCACGTTCTAGTCTATCGAAATGAGATTTCCTACGGTAGAAAGTTGATCCATACACACATAACAATTGCAATCTGGCTCTTTAACTGTTGTCAACTCGACACAACCAACACTACCGCTATCATAACCACCGCAACCACCGCCATTCACTCTCAGAATCGAAGCCACGAGATGGCGGGGGAAAAAAAAACAATACTCACCCTTCTGTCTTCTGGAATGCCCCGTTGGCCACTCGATGCTCGTCTTCGTCTTCATCCTTGTCCATTCTGTCTGGCTGCCTTGGATTGTCGTGTCGCATTGTGTTGTTTCTCGTGGACTTGCCCCCGTGCGCGGTGAGCCACAAGGCCGACTCAACCTCAAGGTACCTACGTACTTGTGTCGTTGTCTCTAGCCTCACGGAGCTATGACCAGGTTTCCATGCCGTACGGCGAACTGGAGTTTTTTGGGTTTTGGCTGGGCTGTCTTCGTGCCCTGGCCCTGGAGGTTCCCGCCGCCACCGTTATTGTTGTCGTCATTGTCATCACTGGAATCGTCGCTGTCGTGACTACTGCCGTTGCTCGATGGGGGCGGCGGCGACTGCGGCGCCCGGGCAGCGACGGCCGCGTTGTCGAGCCCGTTGAACCAGCGATCGTGCGGGTTGCGCTGGCTGTACAGGGTCTTCCAGTTGGCCGTGGACCAGCCGGCAGGGAAGCCGCCGTACTTTGCCGCGGGCAGCTTCAGCATGGGTTCGTCCGGGTCGGTGAAGGCGTGCTCGATCAGGCCGCGGAACTCCTTGCGCGAGGGCTGGAAGCCCGCGTCCCCGAGGGGCATGTCGTTGATCTCGTGCCCGCGGTAGTAGACCTTGGGCGGGTAGTTGCCGTGGCGTTTGGCGCGCTTGATGGCGAGGCGGAGGCCGCGGCGCGTCTGGTCCATGAGCTCGAGCTGCGAGGGCCGGTTCGCCGGGTCCGGGTCCAGGCAGCGCCGGATCAGGTGGCGGAGCCGGCTGCTATAGACGCCCGGCGTCTTGGTGTGGACGTGCGAGATCTGGTGGTTCCCGTTCCGCCGGTATCTTTCGAGTGTCTTGGCTCGGATCTGGCTGAGGTGTTTGGGGCTGCCTCGGAGTGTCATGAGATCGAATATAGTCTGTCCAGCGCCGTAGATCTAAAAGAAAACAAGGTGGATATATCAGCAAATGTGTCTCTCTCTTAAGACATCTAACAACGGTTCTCACTACCACACGCCACCCAAAGAAGGGACGGCATCTGCCAGGATCGGTTCCGCAACTGGGATAAAAAGACCAAACTTACATTCAATGCGTGATCAAAGATCACATCACCGCCAGAACCAAGATTGTCTGTCTCACGTTCCTGCGCAGCTCCGTACCAATCGTGAGGCCGACGTATGGCATCGTGAGTCCTGACCCAGCCGCCGTCTGGCGGGATCTCCCAATTCGAACCGAAATGTGCTTGTTCCTGCATCGGTTCCTCGTCAGCTTGGTCCGGATGGCTGGATCACAATCCATAACATATCAAAGGAAGGAAGGGCAAGCAGAAGGGACAAGGGAAGAAGATAGAACGCTCTGCTTACCGTTGGCTTGTGGGAACGCGTGCCACGCCACCACGTTTCAGTTGGGTTCCACACTCGCAGTTCTTCCGAGTCGTGATAAGCCGAGTACAAGGATAGGCCGTAGTCATTCAACAGAACGGATGGGTACTCCTCGCCTCCGTGCGGATATCCCAGGAGCACATTGTCTGGTTTCCAATCTAGGTGAAGGCAGAACAAGTCTTCCAGGTGCACAGTCTCGAGGTACTCCTCTTTGATGGCTCTGCTGTCGTACGGGGGAGCATCCCGAAGAGCCTCGCACGCCTTTGCCAGGGAATGAAAGAGGTGCCAGATGAAAACCTCGGGGAAATAGGTGTCCCAGCATCGGTAAAGGCGGGAGAGGCGATACAGACTGCCGTAGGGACAGTATTCCAAATAAAACCGGTATCGACCTGTCTGCCCGCGACGGTCGTCACAAATGAACTTGTATTCGCGCAGTTGCGGTGAGACACCAGGATATTGAGAGTTGATGTCCCTGTGGATGACGGCCTCTGTCAGCTGTCTCGGATACGTGGCAGGGTCGGCTTCAGTGGCCTCGACGTTGGTGGTGGCTTCGTTGTACTTGGATTGCTTCAGGATAAGCTCGTCAACAATCTGATTTTGGTCATTTCGTTTCTGCCACAGGCCGACTATGCCATATCCGCCTCTTCCAATCAGTCTGACGGGACCCCACTCCGCATCGTCCGCTTCGTCTTGCTCAAAGTAGAGCCATTTGCGAAGGAAGGACTCCTCTTCCGGTACCTGGCCAAAGGCGCCTCGCTGTTTTCTATCGTCGTACCATGCCTGGTCAAAGTCCTGAGGAACTTGTCGCTCTGCGTCGACTCTGGAACGGTATCTGATGATGTAGTCATTGCCGTCACCGAAGTCGAATTCCTCGAACGGCTGACCGTCCAAGCGCTTGCCCTGTTCAGGCATGATGTGAGGAGGACGTATACTCGGGATCAGAAAGTTAAGCAAGCTTAGCGGTCTTTGGGGCTTGGAGCTGAACGTGAGAAAGCCATCCCTTGACTGTCAATGATGGAGAAAGATCGGGGGTGCAGGTGGTATCACGATTAAAGTAGAACCTGAACGCATCCAAAACACAGATACAATGAACAAAGGAGATGTGACCGTCCAGACCATAAATAAAAGATGCATTTAGCTCGTGCATCTCGATAAAGAAGTTTGTGGTGCCGCCGAACGAGGACTTTACGACGCAAACTCTGGCTGCATTTCGTGATGAAACTGTTCTTCAGCACTTGTTTGCCATTGCCATTGCCTGAGAGCCATAGCGGACCTATAGCATAAGGATTTTGAGAGGTCATCATTCCCGGCGAGGCAGAACGCAGTATGTCCGCCCCAGGATGAAGTTGACGCAACGTCCACGGACACAAAGAGTTGGTTGTTTGATTCTGTCCGTCCATGTCAAAGAATAGACACAGTTGCCGCATTGAGCCTAGTTGATTTATTGGGCTTGGCTCTTATGTAATCCAGCCTCTCGGATGCGGCGATCTGTCTCCGGACTTACCATGATGGGCATCCCGCCGACGGGAGTTGATCGCCGATACCGAAGCCCCACGTCCCCTCAATGATCAAGGCTTATTCCCTGTGTTCCTGTACTACAGCCGACATCAGTGCCATTGAGGGGTTGAATGCTCAAGCAGACTCGTTCGCTCTAGGATCCTTTCTTTTCTAGCCAACACGACAGACCAAAGTAACTACTAACCCAGGAAAGACTGGATCTCTCAACATGGCGATCGAGGGCGTCCCCAAAGAAATGCTTGCGGTGCAAATCGTAGAGGTAAGTCCAGGACGTGGCTGTAAGCAAAATCAATGAACCACCATCTGCCAGAGGCAAGAAGCTGATATGAGGTGCCTATGGGTGGCATCAGTTCAACAAACCGTATACGATCCATAAAGTTCCCACCCCTTCAAGCCTCAAACCGTACGAAATCCTGCTCAAGACGGTGGTCGCATCGTTATGCCACACGGACAGTATGGTAGTTGCCGGCAAATTCCCGACGAAATTGCCCTGCACCGCATCACACGAAGGGACAGGCATCGTCGTTGCCGTCGGCGACCAAGTCACCAATTTCAAAAAGGGCGATCGTGTCATGTCTGGTCTCCCACGGGCCCCATGTGAGAAGTGCTTCAACTGCCAGGGTCCGAATGATTGGCACCAGTACTGTGAGCACATCGAGGGCCACATTGGTGTCTTCGTGGACGGCGCTTTCAGTGAGTATCACGTCGTGGACAGCCGGACGAGTTGTCATATTCCGGACAAAGTGAGCTTCGCAAGTGCAGCACCCCTCGCTTGCGCTGGGTGTACAATATATCGGGCAATCATTGTTGCCGAGGTTCCAGAGGGGGGTTGGTTGGGCATTGTGGGTGCCGGTGGCGGGCTGGGCCACCTGGGCATTCAGTTCGCACTGGCCAAAGGGTTCAATGTCGTTGCCGTTGATGCCAGAGACGAAGGGCTCGAGTTGTGCAAAAAAGCGGGCGCAAAGCACATTTTCGACGCGCGCGAGGGCAAGGAGAAGGTCGTGGAGCAGGTGCAGAAGCTCACAGGTGGCCTGGGCGTCCACGCTTCGATCAACGTGTCGGAACACGAAACCTCGGCCGACACGGCCTGTGCCATCACGAGGATGCATGGAACCATGGTGCAGACTGCACAGCCGGACCGGTGGGTATACCCTCGCTACAAGTGACCACAATGACGCTGACTTCCAGGGTAGGGTCTGCGTGGCCTTCCAGGAACTGATTTTCAGAGACATTCGCATCAAGGGGACATTGATCGCCGGACAGGAATACAGCCAGCAAATGCTAAACGACGCGGCCAAGTACGGAATCAAGGTCGAAACGAATCTCTTTTACGGGTTGGAGGAAGTGCCCAAGATGGTTGAGCTGGCTCACTCGGGAAAGATGAAGGGGAAGGCCGTTTGCGTGGTCGACAAGGCCGAGTTTGAAAAGGAGAAGCTTTAAAGCGTCACTCAAGCTGTAGGAAGTATGGCGAGGGTTGGTATGGTCCACGTCGGAATGCCACACCGATTCTAGCGGAGACGAACGGTCTTGGATGGTTCGCGGTCTGATCTTCGCGAACAGCCTTGTCTACCTATCTTTCCTCCACGGACTTGTCTCCAACACACACACGCCTGCTTTCTGCATTGACACTCTTTCTCCCTGATGATTCCGGGATAGATATTTGCCCAATGAGGGACCGAAGATACCCATCTCACGCCTGTTCTTCATTGTCTGGTAATTCGACAAGACACTGTGGACGATGTTCTTGTAATCGGGCCGTTGTGGCCATTTGATGCCTACCTAGGTAGCTGGTGCAAAGCGGAGAGAAGATCTATCATCACAACACTTGCCCGCTCGTTCGCACGCCATATATTCGTGCCGTCTTCAGTCCGGGCACATATAATAACAATAATACGCACAACAATTCCGTCACCGTTGCGCCGTGATGCCGTTCCTGCTCGAACCTGAAGCCAGAGGTTCATTCCCATCAAGCCATATCTCATACAGCCGGAACCTTATAGTTGGCATCTCTGCAATTCGGTCGAATATAACAATCGCATTCTTTCAGGAGATTCCCCTCGATGCCATCCAAAACCTTCCTCTTGCGCCGTGCAAATGCCTCGCTCAACGCTCTTCCCTGCGACCATATATGCAGGTGCTGGCACGATATTCGATATCGAAAATCCGAAACTTGTGCATGCTGTACATTTATTTCCATGAACAATTCCCAAACGCCGGTGAACTCCATGCGTCGTGTGAAAACCAAAAATCCATCTCCAATTAGGATCCATCGGCTTGTTGATCACACAACAGAGAATCGAAAGTGTCTTTTGTCTTTTTTGTCTTTATCAATCAGTCGCTCTCCGGCATGCGCATGTACGCATCGATGGCCGCACTGAAAGCTGCGAAACCAGCACACCCGAGCACAGCAGCCTGGGGCCCTGCCTTGTGCGCCAATATCCCGCCCGTTATGCAGCCGGCAGAGACGCTGTTCGAGAGATCGCTCTTGGCCCGGAAGCCTTCTATGCAGCACTCTGTGCCACTGTAAAGCGCACCGATGAGGGCGAAGTTCTTGGCCGACGAGTATGATTTCGAACCCATGTCTTTGAGGCCTCGGCGGAGTTGTTCGCGGACCGGGAGGTTGGTTATTTGCTGGCCCTGAGGCGATAAGGGAGTGTCGTAGGCCATCTATTGCAGAGACCAGTCAGTCAAAAGGATTTGGCGACGGAAGACATGACCACGAGAGACAGAATCGTCCACAGGTTGGTTGCGGGTGAAGGGTCGATGCGAAGAGGAGGGAAGATAGTGTAACTTACACTCGACATGAACAGACCAAAAGCGCCGCCGAGTACGAAACCCATTCCACCCGCCAAAGCTGATTTGGCGACGCAGGATTCCATTCCTTTTTGCATCTGTGTCCGCGCATCCCATTCAATTAGCTATCGGATCTTCTGGCGCCATTCCACGGCCATGGTGCCAGAACGCCAGAGTGTCATACACCGCATCCTGCCCCATACCACACGAAAGTTCGAGGATATTTTGTGCTGGCTTACCATCTTCACCATCTGCTGCTCCTGCTCGCTCAAGCCTGCGTTTCCTCCTGCTCCGCCGCTCATCCCCGGTCCGCCGAATGCGCCTGGGAACGCCATCGTGGAGGACGTCGTTCAATTTATGGTAAGGAGTGGATGTGGTCAGGAGGAGGAGGAGGAGGGTTCGTTTTGTCCGAGTGCGAGATTGGGCGGGATACTGATGCAAGCACTTTTGTACTTGTAGATGAAGAATCGCTTGGGCCCATGTGCGCAAATGCCTGCGGCGAAAAGAAATTCGCGTTTGTCGATCGGAGCGGGATTTTGCGGCGAAAGCGTTCCGGGCTTCCGATTGGCGGAGAGATGGACGCCAGCAAGGTACATGGCAAGGCTGCCGCCACACAGGGAGAAAAAGGTACTAAACCGCGTACTTGAAGAGTGTACCTCGAGAGGGTAGAAATGAGTTCTGCGACCGCGAAGCGGCCCATAGTCAAACTTGTTTGAATCTGGACGGCAAATCACTCTTCCGAATCAACTATATTCGATAACACGTAGAACCCGTTGTACGATATGCCAACTCCCGTTCTGCGAGGTGCAAAGTGGGATCCTGAATTCGTTGCACTCCTAGTCATCATCCATTGTGTTGCTCGGCAAACTGGTTCGGCCGGCTGCTGCAACATTCAGTGTCTGAATGTCCTCGAGCCACAATCTAACCCGGAGGGGACGAGTTTTGCCGTGTATCCTTCCCGAGTAGGCGTTCCCCAGACTTCTGCGCTTCTGCGCGCGTGCTGTGAAGGTAGTTCATTCGTCGTGGCCGAGAGTCCTTGCCACGCTTATTCTGGCGTACAACAAGCCAGCCAACAGTCGTCTCACATTGGTCCCAGCCAGGGACAACCCGGCCTCTGTTCAAGAGTCTTTTAACGATGAGTTGACGACCGGGATCGCCTTGCTGAGATCACCCCGCCTCGAACATTCGTACCGGAGAGCAGCAGCCTTCGGGCCATGTGTCCTTGGTCCAAAGGTCTTCGACGGGCAGTTGCCTTGCTTCATGTAGCGATATTTGGAAGGGTTTCAATGGATTGGAACTCATTCATCTTCCTCTGCCCCGGCCGCCCCCGCCGCCGCCAAACATTCCTCCCATCTGCTGCATGAGAGCATCCATTCCACCGCCTCCACCTCCAGCACCCATACCCATGTTTTGCATCATCTGCATCATCTTGCCTAGATCACCACCAGGCATCCCGCCCCGCCCGCCACCCATACTTTGCATCCGTTTCTGCATGGCTGCGAGCTGCTGTTGCCTGTTACCGCCTTGCAACATACTGTTAGCTTTGGCCATGTTCTTCTTCTGCTGGCCCATGTTCTTGGCGACGCTGGCCATCACTTTATGTTGTGTCAGAAGTTCTTCGACATCTCTGACACTGGTGCCCGAGCCACAGGCGATTCGCACCATTCGAGACGGTTGTGATATCAGGATTTTGCCATCAGAGTCCAGTTCTTTGGTCGTCATGCTGTCAAAGATGTACACCATTCTTTTCAGCTTTTCAGTCCCGTCCTCGTCGGACATGCCTTGCATCAGGCCACTCATACCGGGTATCATGCTGCCGATCTTGGAAAGCGGGCCCATCTTCATAATATTCGTGATTTGCTCTTTCATATCGCGGATCGTGAAGATACCCTCTGCCAAATGTTTCTGGGTTTCCTTCATCCCTGCTGACTCCCTTGTGAGTGTTTGAATGTGCTCAATCAGACCGCTCATGTCTCCATATCCAAGGAGCTTGGAAATAAATGATCTTGCATCGAATCGCTCTAGATCTGCCAAATGTTCACCAGTACCAAGAAAGATAATAGGAGTATGGGTTGCAGCTGCAGCAGCGATAGCACCTCCTCCGGCTGCACCACCGTCTGTTTTGGTGATGATAAGAGCACCAAAGTCAGCTGTGGCTTTGAACGCGGCCGACTGTGCCTCGGCCGCTTGACCAATCGTGCCGTCCAAAACCATGATTGTCTGATCAGGTTTGATGGCATTTTGTACCAGAATCATTTCTTGGAACAAGTCTGCTTCCTGTTTATGTCTCCCTGAGGTATCAACGATGATAACCTCAAATTTCTCTTTCTTGAATCTCCCGACACCCTCAGCAGCTACCACTGCAGGATCCGTTTGTGTGAGTGAACCGTAGTACGGTATCTTTGCTTTTGTAGCGTTCTGTTTCAGCTGATCATAAGCGCCTGCTCTGAAGGTATCCGCGCAGACTAGACAGGCCTTGAAACCTCGGGCGGCGTAGTACCTCGCCAGCTTCGTACAGGTTGTAGTCTTTCCCGCGCCTTGAAGACCGACCATCATGATCACGTTCGACCTGCCTTTCTTCGGTCTATATGGTTCCGCATGGGGATCGACGAGTTGGACTAGATGTTCGAAGACCGCTTGTTGGATCATGCGCTTCTTGCCATTCGAAGTTGTGTGAGGTGGAAGGTCTTTAAAGTTGACAGCACTCTGTATCGACTTTCGCAGGTTTTTAACAAGCCGAACATTGACGTCGGCCGACAGGAGGGCCGAACATATCTCCTTGATCATGGCATCGAAGGCTTTCTCGTCGAGGTTGGGTTCTCGATTGAGGTTCGACACGGCGGCATTGATGCGCCGACCTAGGTCTGAGAGAACCATCTTGCAAGGGATGGGATGGGTATTGCAAGAGGGTTACTGATATACAGGTAGGTTCAAGCCTTGGGGACGGCGAGATTAAAGAGGATGGAGGCGGACACGAAGTTGATGGTCTCGATGCGAGTGTGGGGAAGAGTGCGACATCAAAAGTGGGAGTCCAAGTCGCTCCGCAGTTTTGCCGGGAATTTTCAAAGAAATTCCAGAACAAATCTTGGCCGATCTCGAGCGGTAGCCAGCACGCCTTGTTTCTCCATTAACCATAGCGATCCGCCCGTCATACCACGCCCAAGATGGCTCCTCTATCACAAAAGAAGCGTAAAGTCGAAGATGGGATGCGTGGGAAGACCGAGCGGCCGAAGAAGCGTTTTCGCAAACAATTCGAGTACCACAGCTCAAGCGACGACGACGACGAGGACCAAGAAGAACAAGGATTCACTCCCGTCAATTTGGATGATAGCGACGATGAACAGCCTGCAGTGAAGAGGACCAAGTCAAAAAAGAAGACGCCACCCCCTGCGGAAGCAGAGGATGCATCTGATGCACACACGGAAGGTGAAGACGAAGAGAAGCACTCTGACGAAGCTGGGACTTCGGACGAGGACAGCACGGAAGAAGGCCCTCATGAGACAGACAGACGGAGAAAAACAAGCAAGAGGAACGACCCGGAAGCGTTTTCTACCTCGATATCGAAAATCCTGTCGACCAAGCTGTCACAATCAGCTCGCAAAGACCCCGTCCTGTCGAGAAGTAAGGAGGCGGCGGAAACGAGCGCCTCCCTCGCCAACGACCGCTTAGAGAAAAAGGCAAAGGCCAAATTGAGGTCAGATCGCAAGGAAGAGCTGGAACGAGGAAGAGTCAAGGACGTTTTGGGCCTCAGTTCAGGACAAGCGGGCGAGGTGGCCGAGGAAGAAAAGAGGTTGCGGAAAATCGCCCAGCGTGGTGTGGTCAAGCTCTTCAACGCCGTCCGCGCCGCTCAAGTCAAAGCTGAACAGGTGGCCAAGGAGGAGCGGAAGAAGGGGACTATAGGAATGGCAAACCGCGAGGAGAAGGTCAACGAGATGAGCAAGCAGGGATTCTTGAATCTGCTCGCAGGGAAAAAGGACGCTCAGAGCATATCGATGCAATAGTCGGAGAACAGCCTGGGTGTGAAACAGTTTTCTGGGTATGACGCCCAGCCAAGCGAAGAGCAATGGAGAGCGGTTTGTGATAGTACATGTCTAATGCCCGACCCTCAATCTATCATCAACTGCGCTTCTCGAAATCCGAAGCCTGCATGTTCCGTGTCATTTGCGGCAGTTTCACCACCAACCCGTCCAGTTCCTTGGTCATCTTGACCTGGCAGCCTAATCTCGATGTTTCCGTCAGGCCGAATGCCAGGTCTAACATGTCGTTTTCATCGTCGGTGGCCTCTGGGATCTTATCGTACATTTCGTCCGATTCGACTATAACGTGGCACGTAGAACAGGCGCATGAACCGCCACAGGCGCCTGGGTAGAAGTTGTCAGAATAAAGTAACGTAGACGGTTTGCGCACGTGGATTCAGAACACACCTTCCATCTCCAGGTCATTGGCCTGCGCAATATCGAGCAGGTTGTCGCCCTCTGCAACCTCAAACGTATGTTCGTCCCCTTCCTTGTCTACAAATGTGACTTTGAGCCTGTCATCACCCATCAGCATGTTTCAGAAATTCCCGGGGTAAAAGTTGGGTCTTACTCTTCACCTGGCTTTGGCGGATCGATATGTCCATGTCTCGACACCTGGGTCGTGGAGAACCTCCTCCGGCGCAGCTCCAGAGAGCGTATGTGATCCCTGATCAAGACCCTCTTTATCCCAAGCTCGTGTTGATGCCGCCGGCATAGCGTTATCGTTGTGGCATGGAGGCTTCGATTGAGAATTCGAGTTGCGCCGGATTGCAAGGGTCGCACCTGGTCAGATCGAACACATCGTAGGGGATTTGCTCCGATGAGACTCCGCACACCGTTCCATCCAGACATTCTTCTCCCCGGGATCTTGCGACGGATAGCTCGAAGGGTTCGCCGCTGCTCAACAAGAGGGCAGTGAGTGTAGAGGGTTCAAAGGGCAACGGAAACTTTTTAGTCAAGAGTTGATTGGACGTGACGCAAACCATCCAAAGCTCTCGGCCGAAGTAGACCCGCACCGAGCCTCTTCGCTCAATACGGCGCGAGTGTGAGACACCAAAAACTATGTAGGAGTGCTCTGAAAATAGCATTCGATTCACTCTGAGAATCAAGTATAAAGTAATGGCACGTCGTCCCGCGCACCGGCATTGAGAACCATGGGCAAGCCCGCAAAAGCATATACGAGAAGTCAATAAAAGTGCCTGCACGCCTTCGATCAATCCACCTACGATCCCCCAACCCATGCATTCCAATTGACATCTGCGCCAGCACACGCTGCGCTGATGGGTGCCCCATTGACAGGACCAATCTCAGTGCCATTACTTGCGGTCACAGCCACTGTGACATCGCCAGTCATATCGTTGAACGGCACACTGGAGTGAAAGATGCCAGGTGTGGTGGCAGAGACTGTCTGGGTCAACCCGCCAATTGTCACATTGACTGTGGCCAGAGCAGTGTCTGGCACAAACGCAGTGAAGAAGACAGCGTCAATATCACACTCCTGCGGATTGAGAGCCACCTGGCCTTGTGTTGGAGTGTTGCATGTGGTTCCAGCGCCGCATGCTGACCCGGATCCAGGATTGAGACGGTACCAGAAGGTGACATGGCTATCGTCCGGCCGACTCTTGTTCTTGTACGCTGCAATATAGTGAGGCAAATCTTTCAGCCAGGCGTCATGCGGGTTGTTCTGGACATACGGGCCCGCCCCGGTCGGAATGGCGGAATCACTGGGTGGCATTGGGCCGATATAGTGGGATTCTCCCCAATCGTTCCCTCAATAAACATTTAGGATTGTTTGTCTCAAAACTCGAAATAGTTCGCTTCACTCACATGTCAGGATCTCGACCAAAGCTGGCTGAATGTTGAGAACTTGACTCCAGCGATGATGCCATAGGTCATCGCCGCGCCAAAGCCAATTCTTTGACCACAATGGAAGATTTGTATAGAACCAAGGAGAGACAGGCATCATGTAGGGTCGACCGTCGAGTGCTGTAACGTATGCCTTATCATCATCGTCTGTCATGTCGTTTGCACCGTTCGGCCATGCATTCCATCTGCATGGGTGTCAGCAGGCACTTGTTCAGAGGAGATACCGGGTTGCCGCTCAAGGAATTAGTAAACTTACGAAAGAAGACCATCGACATTAGGCTTGCCAGCAGCACCTTCGGCACCTTGACTTGAGAAGTCCGGGACGAAGAAACAGTTGGTCTGGGCTTTGATATAGGCCCAGTCTCCGGCATGATCGGCGCCCTCAAAAGTTGAGACCAGAGGCTTCCCCTCCCATTTGAACTGACTTGCGTGCGAGCTGTAACCATTCACCGTCCTGATTACCGCATTCTGATCCCAAGCTCCCTGGGCTAGGTAATCAAACGACAAGAACATCTGAAAGCCAGCCGCGTCGGCGGCTTGATATGCATTATCGAGTTGAGCCTGGACAAATCCAAATGGATTAATCGTGTCTAGATAACCAACATTGAGCGCGAAGCCGTCGATACCTGCAGCGGCTGCAGTGGCAATGTCACTTGCCCAGTTGGCTTGGGTATAGCTGTAAGTGTTCCCCACCTATGTGAATACTGTTAGGAATTGCACAACCAGCGTTTGAAGACGGTCAACTTACTATCACATGAGCAAAGACTGATTGAGCCAGAATGGGCGAGGCGAACCCAATGAAAGTCAGACAAATCAAGGGTAGGGACAACATCGGAAACACGAGTCCAGAAAAAGAGCGACTAGGTTAGGAAATTTTGACTCGAGTCCGGCTCTGGTTAAATCGAAATGAAACAAGGAAGAGAAGTGTCATATCTCGATGCGAGGTTGGCATTGTGACTTCCATATAAGTTTATCCTTGAGTATGGCTCTCCCCTTGGAAAGCTGTCTGGATCATCAAAGAGGATTCAACATGAACTCCATATCGAACTCCTACCTTTGAAATTGAACATCGTTCTGTCAAAAAGCCATGGTGGAGCACAGCCGTGCCATGTTTGTCCAAGGTGCAGATTAAGCAGTGGTCGAAGGATCGGGTCACTGAAGCATTGAGCTACAGTGTTCAGCAGCCGGTCTTTTTCCATATAGCACGAGTATAATCAATTCCCCTCTCAGGCTCACCGATGGAACCTTGTGGCGGCGGCAGGAAGATGAAGATTGTGCAACCTCGGATCTCGTTATACAAGGGAGCCATGTAGTGGCCCGAATTGGGCGTCTTTGATGAAACACCGGATCCAAGTGTTGCACGAATACATTGGAGGAGTTTTTCTGCTGGAATTGTCATCGAATTGAAAACCAACACAACACAAACCAAAATATTGGTTCCATGTAGGATACCAAAGTCAGCGTCCACATATATTGGACGGTGATGTAGAGACACAACATGATATGAGCTACAGAAGTATATGCTTGACAGGTTCGAGTGTGGAAGTGAAGTGGTACAAGACTGTGTTTCGAAATTGACGCCGTTGTTTCGGGAAAATGGGGAAAGGGGCGGCACCTTCTCCTATAAATGTGTCTTTGGTAAGGCTGAGTCTGAATCCATCTGAGGATTGTGTAAACTCCCGAAGACTTGATTGTTAATATATCCTATTCGGAAGACGAGATATATGTGTCGATTTCTTGTTGTTTGATGCTTATCAAACATACATAACTAGCTACGTGTTTGCTGTCATTCGCCCGACTTGTCAAGCAGCTATACACCCATATTGCTAGCACAACGGTGTATTCGTCGTCGCACCATATCCTGTGCACCAAAGTACCCAAAGGTGAGGATCTCACAACACAATTCTCCGATTCTTGATGACGACAACGAGAATGTAGACACTATGGGATATTGTAGTCTGGAGACTGCCTACTGTAGGAACCCCCCTGTGACCTTTGTCTCCTACTGCGTCCTATTATATCCGCAATAGAGCATGTCGCACAAAGTCGCTGTGCAGTGGCAAACACATTATCGTTCACTGCATTTGGCCATTTGCCATGCTCGTCCCTAAGTCAATGTACCGAGCGAGTACATCGCACTGGAGGGGCACCAGTGACTTCAGCCTTGCAAAGCAAAAACGGCCGTTTCAAATGACGGTCAAATGCGCTTTACCAGGGCCTTGCTGCACCGTACAATTTTCGGGGCAAATTACGTCGTGATATTTCGCTTGTATTGAACTTGCAATTCGATCACCTTACCTCGTATGTATTCTGCCACTGCTTCAAAACAGCTGCAGGCCAGAATCCTGCGTTGATCTCAGGATATCTCGTCATGCAGGACTCGAGATACGTTCCGAATCCTCTCAGGCCATACTACGTCCCTCCTTCCATTGGAACAGATCCGCTACCTAATTCTACCTTGGGTGCCTCGAAACCCGTCCCTCAGGGCACTAGCTTCGCATTTCCCGACATCGATTATTCCGACTATATTTCTGATACCTCGCCATCTCTACCGGGATCTGTCAAATCAATCGTTGATAACGCGTTATGGAAATATGCAAATGTCGTGCTGGCGCAGCCATTTGAGGTGGCAAAGCTGATCCTGCAGGCACGCGTTGCACAAGACGATGAGCTGGAAGACAAAAAGCCGCGAAGGAGGCATACATATGGCGAGCTAGAAGAGGAAGACGCCCATGAGCATGACGAATATGACTACGAACACTCATCAGATGACGAGCCCAACTACTTCACATCTTCTGCGCCCTTTGAGCAATCGATATCGAGTCGCTCGCCAACTCGTGGTCGGCGCGGGAGACCACCTCGAGGAACGGCGTCGTCACGAGTACCTGATCGCCCTCAACAAGCCGATGTCCAATTACAGCTCAAGAACCCTCATTCCCTGATTGATGCTCTATCGTCTCTATCATCGAGCGGCGGAGCGTTGGCTATGTGGCGGGCAACGAATTCTACATTTGTGTACAATATACTGACGAAGACTTTGGAGACCTTCTTCAGAAGTTTCTTAGCGGCTATTCTAGGAGTAGCAGAGAATGACATACTCAATACGCCGTCACCGGGAGCAATTCCCGACAGCTCTATCCTCACCTCTACGGCTCCAGTGGCAACCATCATGATCAGCACTGTGGCAGCAGCTATGTCCGCCCTTGTCCTTGCACCGATCGACGCTGCCCGTACCAGACTCACTCTGACACCTTCCAGTCAAGAGCCGCGAACACTCCTTGGGACACTGCGGACACTACCAACTCCATACCTCATACCCAGCCATCTCATCCCTATCACTTTCTTCAGCTCAACTCTACCAACGCTGATCTCTGTAAGCACCCCGGTGTTTCTCAAAACCTATCTCGGGCTGGATCCTATCATAAATCCAGCCACTTGGAGTGTTGCGACATTTGTGGGATCGGCATTGGATCTATCGGTCAAGTTCCCTCTGGAAACCGTTCTCCGTCGAGCACAAATTGCGACCTGGACATCTCCAGCGTATGCACCCCCTTCCTCATCTTCCAAACGCAAGGCGATTACGACCATTGTTCCTGTCCCGCAATCCTACCGAGGGATCCTGCCCACCTTCTGGAGTATCGCACGCGAAGAAGGTTATTCTGAGACTCAAAAAGATAAAACTGCTGCGTTGATGGGCAAGGCACCCAGGCGTAAGAGAAAGGGACAGGGGATTGAAGGGCTGTATCGCGGCTGGCGGGTTGGCTTGTGGGGGTTGGTGGGTGTCTGGGGCACAGCATTTGTGGGAGGTCTACAGGGCGGCAGCGAGTCTGCAGCCGCTGAAGCTGGTCTTCACGGTGGTAAGTTCTGACGAGGGCTTGAAAAGATGCTCATACAAAATTACGAGGAAGGGAGTGATGGTAAATCTAATCGTGGATGACAGCCCATTGACATTGGGGGCTGTACCTGGTATGTAGCACGGCGTTGCAGGCGTCATATGTGATACCCATACTCTTCTCCGTCACGATATCTGAGGGGTACTTGATGAATACCTATCCAACTTGAATGTACAAAGACTACATTTTCTCCCAGGTGACTTGGCCCTACCTAAGGCCCTGCCCAATCCTAGTGGCCTGATACCGCCCAGCCCGGACGACTTGTGCCCCGCACAGCCAAGGCCGATTATCGGTGACATCTAATCTGATAAAATTTGATCCCAATCTCGACCTCGACCTCTTCCCGACTTGTTTTCTTGTATGCGCCTCGTCGATTCCTTCTGTCCGCCTTGCTGTGATCTCAAGAAGAGATCCTTTCTAGAGCTTCCTCTGCAAACAAATGCGACAAGCGTACAAGGGCCATAGCGTCCTCCACGCCGTCAGCGACTAATTGCAGACGACGTCCCACAATATCAGCTCCAAACAAATACCCTCGGTAGAAGGCGGATTGTCCCAAATTTGTGTAACATGGCCACCAGCGCCGCGTCTCCGCCGGCCGCAGCAACAGCGGCGGCGAACAGCCCTCACGTCGACGTCAAAGTTGCCATACCGCGACCACCATCTCTATGTATGAAACCAGCTCAGACCCCGCCAGCCGCTTCCCCGCCATCGTCGTCTGGCTCAGCGCCGATGTCTCTCACCAGCAGAGAATGGATCGTCCCTCCACGGCCCAAGCCAGGACGGAAGCCAGCGACAGATACACCGCCTACTAAACGCAAGGCGCAGAATCGAGCAGCCCAGCGAGCGTTCCGGGAGAGGCGCGCCGCCCGGGTCGGCGAGCTTGAAGAACAGCTGAAACAAATCGAGGAAGAGCATGAACACGAACAAGACGTCCTGCGAACGACGGTCGACAAACTTGAGAAGGAAATTGAGCACTATCGAACTGACCTGGCACACTGGGTCGATCGATGTAGGCGACTGGAAAATGAGCTTGCTGCCGCGAGATCAACGACTTCCGGATCATCTGCACAGGATAAGAACCCAGATTCTACCGACAACGCGGCAGATGATACGTCGATCGGATGCGGAAACTGTACACTAGAGACTCGCTGCCAATGCATAGACGATGCTTTTACAGCAATGGGGGGAGAATCAGCCGATCTCCGCGACGCCCATCATCACGAGAAACGCCCGCTCTCCCCGTCGCAGCGAGATGGCGGGGAGAAAAGGATCAAAATTGAGAGCAAGGAAAGTCTAGAAATCGACTTTACGACAATGTACACCTCAAACGCTCTTCCAGAACGGCTTCGGCTAGACCATCACTCTCCTACTTCGGTGGTGGCGGATCCGTGCGGCTTCTGCTCAGATGGAACACCTTGTATCTGCGCCGAGGTTGCAGCCGAACAGGAACAAGCGCAGACTGTGGCCAACAGCAGATCTGCCGCCGCAGCCATCTCGACGCACCTGCCACCAAGACAACTCGACCAATTTACACCACCTCCATCTGAAGGCGATGTGTCCATGTCTGTCCCACCAGTAGCTGCGGCCCCTTTAGGGTGTGGAAGTTCGGGACCAGGAACGTGTGCTCAATGCCGCGCCGACCCGAACAGCACTCTTTTCTGCAAATCTCTCGCAGCGTCTCGTGCTCAGTCGCAGGCTGCGAACTCACCAGCCTCGGGGTGCTGCGGGGGCCAAAGTGCCGGCGGGTCTTGCTGTCGGTCGAACACCGAAAGCAACGTGGTGCCTCTTCCCAAGAGGAACCGCACCACCCGGTCCCAAGCGGCAGCCATCATGTCGTATCAAAGCTTGGCCAAGCAAGCCTCTGCAGATGTGCCAAAGGCAGGAGTGACACTGACCTGTGCAGACGCCTACACCACTCTGTCAAGACATCCCGCGTACGAACGTGCTGCCGGCGACATTGGCGAGTGGATGCCCAAGCTACACGCCACAGAGCCAGCCAACCCAGCCATGGCCGGCAGACCGGCGCTGGAGATTGACGCTGCAAATGTCATGGCAGTCCTAAGGGATTTCGATCGGAGATTCGGCAAGAGCCCATGAGTCACTCGACAGGAATGTCGCTGTGGACAGGTACCGACTTTCGGCGTCGTGTGGTGGGGTTAGTCAATAACGGGCCGGCTCAATCTCTTTTATATATATCCTAGACGAAGTCACGGTTTGATATGGAAACGGGGGATTATGTTGATGACGGCGTTTCTTGTGGATTGGTGGATGGATGGATTGATGGTAGGAAACGATCAAGGAAACTCCCCCCTTTGCGCGTCCAAAGGTCTCTTTTCTTTCAATTAGAAAAAGTTGAATGTATATATTGTCGTCGATGTCGGTGTCGGCGTCGATTTTCCGGCGTCCATGGAGGCCACCCCTCCCTCCCTCCTTGGTGCGTATGTCAGTGGCCGCGGAGGAGGAGGAGGAGAAGGGGGGGGAAATTGAGATGAGACTACGAGGACCGGCGGACAGCTTGAAAACCCTGTTACTGTCTCTATGCACATAACTCATATTCGTGGGTCAGGTATTTTCACGTATATATATATATATATATATATATATATCATCATATATCACCGAATCACTTTTCGTTTTTTTTTCTGATCTTTCAATTATTGGGCTTGGGCTTTCTTTTTTTCGTCGCTATTCAATGCGCGCTCCCCTGAGGCTCACCTCCTACCTCGTGCGAGGACAGGGATGCGTGTATCGAAGTACATATACACCTACAGTATCTAGGCACGTAGTAAGTACGTACTAAGTAGGTACTTGATTTTACGAGATAATTATCGAGCGTGGATACGCTAGATACATACATAAATTCAATTCATTTTTCGGGTGGCCAGACCCCCTCCCTCCCTCCCTCCCTCCATCA